TATTAACCCCATAAGACTGTAAATTCCTTGAAGGCATGGAATGTACTGTTTTTCAACAACATATTCCCAAGACCTAACACAGTTCCTTATAAAAATCAGGAAATGGTTGAATTGAATAGCACACCTTAGATTATTCTGTAATAACAGCTTAAATTTACACAACGCTTTTAGAATTTGAAAAGTACTGTACAAACATTATCTCATATAATCCTCACAAAAATCCTGTGAAGTAGGCACCATTATTATTTCTATTTTTCTAATGAGAAAATTGAAGCTTAGAGAGATTAAGTGATTTATGAAGGCTAACACAACTAGAAACTGTATGAGGTGAGATTCAAACCCACATCTTCCTGACTCCAGCACCATAGCCTGTCCATTTTATACTTTACAGTTTCATGTGTGCTAGCCTCATTTCCCCAACTGGACTCTAAGCTTTTGCAGACAGGGATCATACTATCTACTTGGTTTTTTTGTATCCCCCGTACTGTTTAGTGCAGTAATGGTCACATTGCTTTTCGATCTGGATCTATGATTTCACTGATATAAGGAACTCCCAATCTGGAAACTTTCTTCACCAGTACACATCAGCATCTTTGGTGCAACATTCTCAGAGAACTGTCTGGGTCTGTGAGAGGTTAAGTGACTTGTCTTTCGTCACTTAGCTAGTATGTATCTGAGGCAAGACTTCTACCCGGATCTTTCTGATTCAAGGCCAACCTTCTATCCCCTCTATCATGCTGCCTCTCAAAAGAAACATAAACACTAAAGGAAAATACTATTTGCCCCCTTTGTGTCTCCCCGACTAGACAGTAATACAAAATTAATTTGGGCCAAATAAGATAATATGTGTAAAATGTCTTCCAAACTTCAAAGTGCCATATAAATGCATATTTGTTATAAGGGTTTGGATTCTTTTTTTTTTCCTCAATGGGAGAGGGAGAGAAAATAAAATTGTGTTAATTGGAATAAAATAAAATTTAAAATGGTGCTATACAGATGTCAGCTGTTGTATCCTCTACAGGCCTAGTTCAGGGGTGAGTGTGTACTTGGCACTTTATAAAAATTCATTAAGTGACCAACATTTTAATTAAAGCCCTCTTTGTGGTTTTAGTTTTTAGACTCTAGCAAACCCTTCTGAATTTGCCCTTTTTGTTTGGGAATATTGCAGAAATTTTGTGGGATTAGGAACACTCTGAGCATGAGCTCTCATTGTCCAGTGCCGGAGCGGAGAAGACACAGATTTAGCTGAAAGTGTACTGATGCCAGGGCATCTCCCACAAATGTTTCTTTGTTGTTATTGGTTTTTCTTTTGACTAAGGCCTTCATAAGAGCTTGTCAACTAATCATCGAATGAATATTCCTCTTCCTTCAAGTGGAACAGGGTATAAGTCCTGATTCACTGAGGGGTCTGGTCCTTTGGGCCACTGAATATCTTGGTTCAGGTTTATGGTATTAAACGTGAGCAAAACTCCCCATTTTATTCCTCAGGCCCTGACTCTAGGGATTTTGCTTCCTTCTGGTTAGCTCACCATACCCCAGCCTCCAGTCTACTACCATAGGCCTGTCTCTTACTAGCAGAGAAAAAGGATCTTCATGTAGACAACTGGCAGTGACCTCAATGCCTACTTTTGTGGCTTTGTCTCTGAGACAAAGTGGGAAAAGCATTCTTTTGCTCTCCCCCAACTGCTTTGCCCAGGACTGGGGCAAATGGAAAGATCATAGAGGATTTGAAGGGGCTTTGGGGGCCATCTCATCCCTGACCCCTTCATTTTATAGATAAAGAACTGAGGCCCAGAGATTATATAGGTAGCTAGAAGCAGACCCTGGATTCAAATGCAGATCCCCTGACTCCAACTCCAGCATTTTGCCCACTGTATCACACTCCCTAAGCTATGTAAGTTGGTGAAAAAAGAAGCTAAGATAAGCAAGGAACCCTTAAGAGATACTGAGGTTGAAAGTGGTAATGGCCACCAATGAATTTGTGAGGGAGTCTGGGGCTTAGTTGTTGTTAGCTTTTACAGTCTTGACAAAAATGGTAATTTAGTGGTGACTGGGCTTATGACATCACAACAGAAATCTTGATGGGTAAGGAATTTGGTTTGTTTGTCAGATTTCTTGTCTGTAAGATGGAGACTTGAAAACAGTCTGGCAGAACTATTAGGAAAGACTAGGGAGTATGATCAAAGAGAGGGGAATTGAAGGAAAAGAGGGGTTAAGAAGTAGCTGAGGAGTGAAGGAATGAGGAGTCTCATGGAGTGGCAAGAGGCAGGAAAGACTTAGTCATCCTCCATACCTATCTCACCCTTCCAGAAGCCCAGCTCAAGGCTCTCCTCATCCACAGTGCCGTCCTTGATTTCACCAACTTTGCCCTTCTCTAACTTCCTATTACATTTGAAAAATACATCATACAAACTTAAACATTATGTTGAACTAGCTACTCTGATTGTTATCTGTGTTTTAGTCTAGTATTCCCACCCATGTTGTGGGCTCCTTGAGGATTGGAACTTGCCTGTTTTAGTCTAGTATTCCCACCCATGTTGTGGGCTCCTTGAGGATTGGAACTTTGCCTTATGGTTCTTATAGCATTACTGAGTTAGGGCCAGAAGAGACATAGAGGGCAATGAGTCCAACTTCCTCATTTTATAGAAGAGGAAACAAATGCCAAGATATTGAGTAACTTTTTCAGGGTCACACAGGTATTACATATGTAAGGCAGAATTTGAACTCAGGTCTTTCTGACTCCAGGTCCAGTACTGACCACTGTAACTGTGGTTTTGAGAGTTGCCTTGACAGAGGTAAAGTGATTTGGCTGTGACTACACAGCTACTAAGTGGCAGAGACGGGATTTGAACCCAGGTCTTTCTGACACCAAGGCTATTATTCTTCTCCCCCTTATACTGGGCATGTCTAACAAACATACCAGAATTTATATATGCAAATCTGAGTATTAAAGTTGTTACTTCGGGAAGTTACACACCTAAGCCAGCAATGTTGCCTCCACTTAAAGCAAGAAACCCCTCTTGTAGAACTATCTTCAGTTACCAATTTAGGAGCCATAGGAGAAAAAAAATGTATCCTTACTTTATGGCTATTATCTTGTTGATTACAAACAAAACAAACAAACAAAACCAAAAAAACCCAAACAAAAAAAACTTACCTAGTTAGATCATTTATTTTATTTACCCACTGTGGCTCCAAAAGATTTTTCTTGGCTGTTTAAAAATTGAAACACACCACAACTGTCCTCAGAGGCTGAAGATTTACAAACATTGAGGTTATTCAGGAGGCATGGTTGTACAGTGGCAAGAGCATTGGCTCTGGAGGACCCAAGTTCAAATCCTGCCTCTGACCTGTTTGACCTTGGGCAAGTTACTCAATTTCATCTACAGAATGAGGGGATTGGACTAGAAGTCACTTGGAGTTCTAGATCTCTCTCTCACACACACACACACACACACACACACACACACACACACACACCACCCATACTCTGAAGTAACTCCAAGATATGTTTCAAAGATGTTTTGATCAATGACCCCATCCTCGGAATTAGTGTCTAGCTCCCTGTGGGATCTACTTTAAGGTGATAGCATTCATAATTATCTAAATTTTTCTCTGCTTGTTCAACTATCAGTCCTGTTGTTTTGTCCTCATACCCTGTAAAAGTTAGCTGTCTTTTCTGCTCCACTTTTGTTAGCCCATTGGTTCCAAATCACCTTTTCTGTCTGAGAAGCAGAGGCTCTGGGAGTGAGCACTGCCCATCTAGGAGGAGCAAAAGTTTGGGACACTTGGGCTGGAAACAACAGATATTGGAGCCTTCTTCCTCCTTCCTCCTCTGTGCTCCACACTGAGCTAGAGTCAGGTGGCAAAACTGGGTCAGAGGTGGGGGGGAGGGGCCTTGGAAGAATTCCAGGATGGGGCATAGAGACCCAAGGTACAGAGCTCTGATAACTGGTTGATACTGCTACAGTCAAAGATGAAAAGGGCCTCCTATATCCACAGAGACTCTCCCTTGGCATTTCCCATCTTTTAATCTTTACCATCTGCTAAAAGAGGAGCGGGAAGGAAAGCTGGCCAGCTATTATCTAGGCTTAGTAAATGAGCAAATTTCAAATTGTATGATTTTGCTAAGTGGCTGGGTTGTTCTTGCTTTCTGGGATGCAAGGGAATGGAGTAAGTACTATGGTGAGTGAAGGGACTGTCCTACTCTGCTTGACTCTTAGTGTTTTGCAAGAAAAATACCATTATCTGAGAACCTGAAGGCTCACAGAGGAGGTCAGGAGAAGCCCAGGGAGCTACCTATCCAATAGGTGGCCCAATTTTCCCCACCCCTTCATTGGCCAAGGCAAGAAAGTCCCAGCACCCACCAATCTTACAGCCCCAAAGCTTTCAGATTTTATTTTTAATGACACATCAAATACACAGGTGACTATCCTCCCCTCTTTTTGGAACAGACTCCTGCCCCCTTTTTTGAGGGGGAGGGGAGAGTCCTACAGCTCTGAAGGATAGTGAAGAAGGCAGGAAGAGCAACTAGTAGGGAGTGTATTCTGTTCTTCATTCCCTCCGAGTTGGGTAGTCTCCCCATATGGTTCAGCCTGGCTCTCCAGTCTCCTTTGGTCAGTTAAGTCACTTCCATCCCCCAACACCCAAGGCTCCATGTTGATGTAGAATGTTCCAGATAGAAAAGAACCTTAGAGTTCATTCAGTCTAACCCCCTCATTTTACATATGCAGACCTGAGTCTGAAAGCGATTCTCTTTCGGTCATCCTCACTCAAGCATCCAGCAGGTCGAGAGAGAAGGAAGGAGAGTGGTGGGGGTGAAGGGTAGCTGCAGGAGGCTGAGACACAGAACAGAGGTGTTATATTGAAAAACTGAAGGTGGACAAGGAGTCCAAAGGAGGGGAAGCAGTATGGGAGCCTTTGAGCAGTAAAAGGAGAGCAGTCAGAATGGAGATAAAAACCGCAAGGGACCTGACCAGCAGTTAGGTGAGAGAGGGTGCTGAGGGGCTAGACAGAAACCTGGCTGAAGAGGGATAGAGCTCTCTTCCATTCAGAGGAAAAGTGGTGTTGGGGCAGGCATTGTGGGGACAGGCCAGGTTGGACTTTGCAAGCTGGGGTCAAGATGAGAGATTTCACCATGGGTGCGCTGGTGCCGGGCCAGATGGGTCTTGCGACTGAAGCTCTTGCCGCACTGCGAGCAGGGGAAAGGGCGGGAGCCGGTGTGGACTGCCTGATGGCGTATCAGATTGGTTTTAGAACTGAAGCAGCGAGAGCAGACGGTACAGGCGTGGGGGCGGCTCCCGGTGTGTACTGCCTGGTGACGGCCTAGGTGTGACTTGCGGCTAAAGCCCCGACCACACTGGGCACAGGCAAAGGGCCGGGCGCCGCTGTGCACCTTGGTGTGGGCGGCAAGGTTGGGGCGGGAGCCGAAGCGACGGCCACACTGGGTACAGGCAAAGGGACGTTCGCCCGTGTGCACGCGTCGGTGCCTTGTCAGGTGCTGCCCGTGGGAGAAACCGCGCCCGCAGTCTGGACAGCGGAAGGGCCGCTCGCCAGCGTGGGTCCGCTGGTGTGCCACCAGCCCTGGACGCTGGCTGAAGCTTTTCCCGCAGTGAGTGCAGGCAAAGGCTTTGATGGCTGCGTGGGCCGCCGCCGCTGCCCCGGGGGGGCGCCGCTCACCCTGGCCCCGCGCGCGCTCTGAGAACCCGAAGGGTCGGTTCCCTCGGTGCACCCGCTGGTGCGAAACCAGGTTCTTCTTCCAGCCGACGTCCTTTCCGCAGTCTGCGCAAGGGAAGGCCTTGGGCCCTGCAGAGGCCGTGGACTCGTCCTGGCACAAGGGGTCAGTGCTCTGCGGCTGCGGAGGTGGAGGTGGGGCAGGGCCTGCTGCGTGCACCCGCCGGTGGCGCACCAGGTGCTGCTTGTGCGTGAAACTGCGGCCGCACTCGGTGCACTGGTAGGGTCGCTCACCCGTATGGATGCGCTGGTGGCGGATCAGATGCGTCTTCTTGCGAAAGCGCTTTTCACACTCGGCGCAGGGGAAGGGCCTCTCTCCAGTATGCGTTTTCTGGTGGGAGCCCAGGTGGATCTTTTGGCTGAAGCGCTTCCCGCATTCCTCGCAGGGGTAGGGTCTCTCCCCAGTGTGCGTGCGGAGGTGGCGGGTCAGGTGAGCCTTCTTGCTAAAGCGCTTACCGCATTCCGGGCACGGAAAGGGGCGCTCGCCCCGGTGGCTGCGCAGGTGGGCCAGCAGGTGGGTGCGCTGAGAGAAGCTGCGGCCGCAATCTGGGCAAGCACACGGGCCCTCGCCCCGGTGCAGCCTCTGGTGTAGCCGAAGGGTCAGCTGGTCCCGGAAGCGTCGTTCGCATTCCCCACAGCCGTAAGGTTTCTCCAGAACCTGGGGCCAAGATGCCAGAGCCAGCCCACTCAGAGGCGCCGGAGCTCCAGGCTCCAGCTTACAGGCGGTGGCCACAGCCGCCAGAGGTCCCAGGTCGGCTGGCAGGAAGGGGCCGCAGGGAAGTAACTGGGGGAGGTGTTGGGGCCATGCAGCCTCCTCTTCCTCTCCCTGGTCCTCATCCTCCACCTTCACCTTTCGGATCATCCAGTCTTCTAGAAAATTAAGACAAGGAACTGAGACTTTCAGACAGACTTTTTTTTTTGATGTTTTACTGACTTTTTTTTTACATTGCTATCATTTTCTAGTAGTCTCCCCCCCACCCCAACATTCTTGTAAGAGAATTAACTAATTCATTAATGTTTGACACCCTGTACCTCATTCTGCACCTCCAGTCCACCAGTATTGCTTTTGCCTCCTTTGATCTTTACAACAACCTCGTGAGGTGGGTGCTGTTATGATCTCCATTTTAAAACAGAAGAAACTTGAGACAGAGATTAAGTTACTTGCTCAGGGTCACAAAGTAGTAAGTGTCTGAATCCAGATTTGAACTCAGGTTTTCCTGACTCTAGGACTACCACTGTAGTCACTAGGCCACCTAGCTGCCTCAAAGTATCCTCATTGTTGGAGCAAGAGGAGTCAGTGCCTAGATCTGAGTTCTGATGTCAGACAGACTTTTCTTTTGTTTTGCTTTTAAATGAATTTGCATTTAATCACAACAAAATCTAGGAACATTTGGAAAATAATAATACATGCGTGCAAGACGTTATGTTCACAGAAGGTATGACTGCTTATTTATTGTATTGAGTCATTTAATGAGATTATATGTATATGTATAGTATATTTCATATCCCTTCTCTCAATGTGTCTGTGGCCCTCTGGTTGGGCACTATTTGACCAGGTGATTTCTAAAGTCTTTTTCTGTGGTAAGAGCAGAATTTGCACTCAGGAAGACCTGGATTCCTAGGTGCTCTGATACTTACTAGCTGCATAAATGTATGCAATAGACTTTTCCAAGGAGTGGTCTATACAGTGTTCTTCTACTCCTTCACCACCAATTTTTCCTCAAACTCCACCCTGTTCTGTCCTCCTCATCCTGTCTAATAAAACTATTCTCTACATGGTCACCAATGACGTCATCGACAAATCCGGAGTCCTTTTTTCAGTCCACATTCCCTTGACCTGTCTGTAGCATCTGACATTGATGACCTCCCCTTCTTGGAACTCTTCTCCCTTGGCATCCCAGATACTACATTATTGTGCTTCTGTCAACTCCAACATTTCCACCTATTAGGTCCTGTCTTTACTCTAAACTCATCTTTACTGAAAAATCTGCTCTCCCCCTACTAACCTTCTATTTCTGTAAAAGGCATTACCTTTCTATCACTTATTCAGGCTTGAAACATGGGAGCCAAATTTGATTTTTCCCTGTTTCTTCATCTCCCCTTTACTAAGTCATGTTGATTTGGGGGGCAGCTAGGTGGTGAAGTAGAAAGAGCACTAGGTCTGAATTTAAAACTCAGCCTCAGACACTTAATAGCTGGGCAAGCTACTAACCCCCGTTTGCCTCAGTTTCTTTAACTGTAAAATGGAGATAATAAGAGCACCTATGTTCCAGGGTTGTTGTGAGGATCAAATGAGATAAAAATTGTAAAGTACTTGGTACTATTATTTTTTTTTTATTTGTAATGTATTATTGCCTGGCACATAGTAAGAGCTATAATAAATAATATTATTTCACCTTTCTCCTTGTCCTTCCTGTTCCTACTGCTACCACCCTAGTCTAAGCCTAAACTTTTTATTGCTTATCACCCTTTTCATCTCAGCCTTTCAGAACTTTAACCTTCATTCAAGGCTAAACTGAGGTGGTACCTGTTCCAGTAAGCCTTTTGTGATTCTCCCAGCTATTAGGGCTCTCTATCTTTATAAATACTCCTGGAGCTCTTTATCTGATCTCCTGGCATAACAGTTTGCCAGCCTAGGAGGTAGGAAAGATCTGAGTTCGAAACCAGCCTCTAATGCTGAATGACCCAGCCAAATCACTTAGTCATTTCAAGACTTTGTTTCATCATCTGGGTTGTTGTGAGGCTCAAATGGTGGACAAAATGCTTTGCAAACCTTACAGCCAAATATGAACCCCAAGGATTATTTATTCCCTATCCTGCATTATACTTATCTAGATTAGACAGTTACTGGCTTTTTGAGGGGAGTTGGGGAGGGTGTCTTTGTATTCCCATGCCTCAAGCAGTGCTTGGCACAGAGTAGGCACTTAGTAAAGGCAGCTAGATGTTGAAGTTTATACACAGCTGGGCCTGCAGCCAGTAACAGCTTAAATCTTCGCTGAGACACTTATTGGCTGTGTGAACCTGAGCAAGTCACTTAACATCTGCTTCAGTTTCTCATCTGTAAAATGGGGATAATAACAATAACTACCTTGCATCGTGGTGAGGACCAAATAAGGTAATATTTGTAAAGTGCCTGGCACACAGTAGGAGCGATATAATTGCTTATTCCCTTTCCTAGATAGTCACTGAATTGAATTCACTGTTGCATATATAGACTATCCATCCAAAAGAGAGCTACTGAGTTACTCTTCCTAAAATGCTATTTTTAATTATGTCACTTGTTTATTCAAAAACATTCAATGACTTCCTATTGCATTCAAAATAATCTCCCTCTGAAATCCCATCCTACATATTTTGTGTGTCATTTAGCATGCTGTTGACTTGTATTAACTTTTTCTGCATCTGTATCTTTTCACTCAGACTGCATTTCAAGCTCCTGGAGGGCAAAGATGGTGTCTGCTGCTCCCCGTGCACCCCCCACATTAGTTAGTGTAACACTTAGACTGGCCCAGTATTCCGCAGGTGTAGTAGCTTTGTTAGATGAAAGAAGAGACATCAGGCAGACAGACATAAGGGTGATGGCAGTGGGAAGGGAGAAAAGGGGATGCATGTCAGTAAAGGGCCTGGTGAATGATTGGCCTTGTGGAATGAGAGAGTTAGGGGCCAAGGATAGCTGCTGCTGACTCTGTGTGTGTGTGTGTGTGTGTGTGTGTGTGTGTGTGTGTGTGTGATCACGTAGTGTGGACAGCCTTAGCAAAAAATATTCAGCAAGTGTATAATGATTAAGTAGTAGTGAAAAACTAGCTTCCCATTGCATCAAAATAAAGTAATATCCCTTTGAATTCCTGTTGTATTTATTTTCTTTAGCACTTGGCACTTAACGCAGCCACCTCAAATTAATTTACACTCTTTCCACCTGATTGGATGGCAAACTCTCTGAGGGCAGGCCACTGAATGGAGCAGTGGGAGGAGAAAGGGGAAGATTTCCATTGTTGGGGAAGGCCCGAGGGGATCCTAGGGGAAGGTCAGGGTTTGCTTATTTTTTCCTTTAGGGTCACTGCCCTGTAATTACCAGTTTCTAAGACAGTGGAATTTCAATGATCTTTCCTAGAGAGATATGTATGGTTACTGGGAGGAGGGTTTATTTAACTCTGGGTTACAAGAAAGGGTGGAAGGGACAGGGGCTTAAGCTCACCTGGGCAGGAGCCATCAGGCTCTGTTTTTTGGGGTCCACCTCCTTGTTCTGCAGTGCTCTGTTCTTCCCCTTGTTCACTCTGGAAAACATCTTCAGGTTTGGGAATCAGGGACCCTGGAAGAAGACAGGTCTGATTTTATTAAAGAGACTAATGTGGCTCTGCAGGGACCAAAGAAAATAAGTATGGAGTGAGGGTAGGAGTCTTTGGGGCTCCCTGGCTGACTACAGGTAGCAGAGGGAATGTCAGGGACAAAGATCATAGTTCAGAGATTAGAACTAGAAGGGACCTTAAAGTCCTAGTCCAGGAGTAGGGAACCTGCGGCCTCGAGGCCGCACGTGACCCTTTAGCTCCTCAAGTGCAGCCCTTTGACTGAATCCAAACTTTACAGAACAAATCCGATTTGAATTCAGAGGACTGCACTTGAGGACCTAAAGGGCCATGTGGGACCTCGAGGCCGAAGGTTCCCCACCCCTGTTCCAACACCATCATTTTACTGATGAAGAAATCTGTCTGATGCCCAGAGGGGCCCAGTGACTTGGTCACCCCGGTGGTAGGTTGCAAAGCCAGGCCTCAAACCTAGTTCTTCTGAGTTCCAATCCAGCACCCTTTCCACTGGACCTGGAGTTCCAATCCAACCAAGGCTTTTAGTAGGACAGTATACAGCCTGGCCTGTCTGACCAGAACAGGCTCTAGATGACTAAACCACTGGTTTCAAGTAGTGAGAGTAGGGGGTCCTTTAGAGCTTAAGTGAAGCTTCAGGTAAGGGAGGATTGTGGGGCTCCCCAGAATTGCTGGAGCCCCAGAGCTAAGGCAAACCACTGGGCAGAATGAAGATTATCAGATATTGTTCCTTGAACTTTCCACTCTTCACTCCCACTTCCAGTTGCTTCCCTTCCTCCCTCTGCCTTACCTCACTGCCCCTGCTAGTCTTACCTGAGTATGCACCTGGGGGTCCTTCTCCCCCTGAAGGGGTTGTCTGCTCCTGAGCATCATGAGGCCTGTCCCCCGGCTCAATTTGTGGGGCCATCTCTGGCTGACCTGCAGAGTATCCTGTCACAGGCAGACGAATGGACATCAGCTCTGTCTCCCCAACCCAAGTCCCTGCTGAGCCTTGCCTTGGTTTGGCAGGTCTCTGGGCTGCATTAGTGAGCCCCTCCCCTTTCCTCCCCTCCGTTCAGTCCCATCCCCTTCCCTCCCCTTTCCTCCATCAGGACTGGCCTAGATGTGTTTACTCCTCGTGGGGGAAGGGGATACAACATAAAGCAGTTATGTTGCAATACTATAGAGTTCTGTGTATATCCACGCAAACATATGGTCTAGCACAGTGCTCAGCACACAGCACAGGGCTAGTAATTGTATGGTGATTTTATGAGAAAGCCACCTCTACAGAAAGAGGGTCCTTGGGAAGGACTGTCTGTGAGGTAAAAAGTTCCCTTCCTAGCTCCCAAGTGTCCCTACCCTTTCACCTGGGCTCTTATTGCCATCTGAGTGGCAGGGATGTTTGGCATTCGGAGGGCTTCCCTGATCGCCCTGCCATCAGGCCAGCAGCATCACTCAGCTCTCAGAGTACTTAGGTTCCTCCCACACCTTCACAGACACTAACTGATCTCAGTGGAAATGTCAAAGGGAGTTCTTTCTGGGTTATATCTGGGGGAAACTGAGGCACAGGGCAAAAGGGATTCTGTGAGGATGGCTCACTAAGGAGTCCCTGGGACTATGCTAGGATGCTCCTCCTTCTGGGCTGTTCTGGTGGCCTCTGCCCAGCTTCTCCCCCCCCCAATCCCAGGGTGAGGCAGGGTGAGGCTCTGTGTGTGTGTGTGTGTGTGTGTGTGTGTGTGTGTGAGTGTGTGTGTGTGTGTGTGTGTGTGTGTGTGTAGTATGCTGAGGAGATGGGGCGCTCAGGCTCCCTACCAGCTGTCACTGGGAGCTAGTGAAATAGGAGCCTAGTGGGAGGGAGGGGGGGAGCTCTTGGGTCCTATTGGGCAACTGGTAGTGGGGGGAGGGGTAACCACAATTGGGGGAGGGGTAGATCCCTCCCTCATAGTCTCCCAATAGGGTCTTCACGGGATGTGTGAGATGGCTCTAGCTTCCTTTCACAGCCCAAACCCTACGATTCAGCCCCAACCCCAAAACCAAAGAACCCTCTGCCCCTCCTTCTCCCCAGTGGCAGTGAATATTCCCCTCCCCTTTCTTTTCCTTCCTCCCCCTCCCCAGCCCGGCTGGCTCATTTCACCTCCCCCTTTCCTTCTCTCGGCAATACCTCCCCCTTTCCCTCCCCCTTGGGGTAGGCTCCCCCTCCCCCTACTCTAATCTCTCTGGCTGCCTTTCCTCTGCCCCTCCCCGCCTTCCCCCTTTCCTGCTCACTCTCCCTCCCTCCTTTTCGCCCTCCCTCCCTCCCTTCACCCGAATCTGGCTGGCTCCCCCCAGCTCCTCCTCCCTCTGCCCCTCCTCTCAGGCTGCCTGCCTGCCTGCTTGCCTGCCTGCCGGCTGGCTGGCTGGCTGGCTGATGGGCTGGCCTGGCCTACCCCTAGTGGGCCCCCCTCTGCTCTTCCCTCTCCCCTCCCCTTCCTGCTCCTCCCCAGCCTCCTCCACCCCTCCTGGCCTCCACCAACCCTTCTGGCTCCCTCCTCCTCCCCCTGACCCTCTCCCTTTTTTTCTGTCTCTGGTGGCAGTACTCACTCCCCTCCCCCACCTTCCCAAGCCTGCCTTTCCCTTCCCCTTCCCCTTCTGGTCCCCATCCCATGCCTCCGCTCTCCTTTCTCTTCCCCTCTCCCTCAACCAGTTTATACTGTACTGCCTTCTCTCTCCCCTCCCCCTCTTCCTCTCACCCTCCTTTTTTCCTTCCTCCTCTTTCCCTTCCCCCATCTTCTTTCCCCTCCCTCCCCCTTCTCTTCCCTTCCCTCGCCTTCTTCCTCCTCCTTTCTTTACTTCTCTCTTCTCCCAGCCTCTCCACCTCTCAATCTACACACTCCTCCTGCTCCCCTCCCCCTTCTCTCTCCTCCTCCTCTCTCTGATTTCTCTTCCTCTCCTCTCCCTTCCCCCTCTCTCCCCCTTCCTCTCCTGTCTTTCTCCCTCCTCCCTTTTTTCTTTCTCCCCTCCCCCTCTCAGTTCTCTCCCTCTATTTTGCCCCTTCCCCTCCCTGACCCCCTGCCTCCCTTACACCTTCCTATCATACTCACTCTTCCCTTCCCCACCTCCTCCCAGAGGCAGGCTCTTCCCCTCCCCCTTCCTGCCTGCTATCTCCCTGCACCCTCCAGTTTTCTTCCTTTGCTCTAACCTTGGGGGGGTTTCTGCTTTCTCCCTTTCCAGACCCCTTTATATATATGCCCCCCATGCCCCACCCTTTCCTTTTTTTTGGTCTCCCTTCACCTTTTTCCTTCTGGTCTTCTCTTTCCCAAACCAGATTTACCTTTTTCCTCTCCCCCTTTCCTTACCTAGCTTCAACCCAATCCCACCAGAAATCTGCCCTCCCTATCCCAGCCTCCCTCCGACTTCTGGCTTCCCCCTCCCCTATAGACACCCTCCTTTTCTTTCTCTTTTAGAATCTCTGCTTCCTCTCTTGAGACCCCACCCTTCCACCCCCTCTCTCCAGATCCCTGCTCCCAAACTCCCTCCTCTCCCCCCTAAATCCCTGCCCCACCCCTCCACCTTAAAAGACCTTACCCCCAGATTCTTCCCCCCTTTCTCCTCCTCACCAGCCTCCTATTTTTCCCCTTGCCCCCACCCCTCAATACCTTTCCTTCTCCCTTCCCCCACATTTTTCCTCTTCTGTGACACACCTCTATTCCCTGCCTCTCCCCCAGGGGACACCCTTCCCTCTCTTCCCCCAATTACCCGCCCCTCCCCCAGGACACCTTTCATTCTCTCCCCCTCCTCCTTAGATCATCCTTACTTTTCTGTCCCATATCCTCCCCCCTTAGACCCTTTTCCTTCTTTCCCTTCCACCCCCATCTCTTTCAATCTTTAATCCCTTGCCCCTCCCACCTCAGACCTCTCCCCCCATCCCATCCCCCCTCCCCTCTTCTCATATTCCCTCCCTCTTCCTCTCCCTTCTGATCCCCCTCTCCCTTCCCCCTTTCCTCGGATCCCTGCTCCTACTTCCTTCTTTCCTCAGACCCCTGCCCCCCCAACCTTCACCCTCTGCTCAGACCCCGATCCCCACCTTCCTTCTCTCCCATTCCTTGCCCTTCTTCCTCAGACACCCACTTCCCTGACACCCTTCCTCCTCCCTGTCAGAAACGCGTCCCCCACCCCCACTGCAAGCAGCCCCCACCCCCGGGAGCTGTCATCAGTATGTGCGTGCGTGTGTGTGTGAGTGTGTGTGGTGCGTGTGTGTGTCTGGGGGGGGGGAAGGCGGACCGAGCCGCCAGTTGCACTGCCTCTCTCCTTACCTGGCGGGACACCCGCGAGCAGACGTTCCCCGGACCCAGGCGTCCGGGGTTCCCCGCTCCCCTCCGCTCCGCGCACAATGGCGCCCGCTGCCTGCAGCTCTGCTGCGGACCCACCGACGGACATACAGACGGACAGACTGATGGCTCTGAAACTTCCCCGAGACGGGAGAGGGAGAGTCAGGGCGGAGAGGGAGGGGAAGAAGCGAGAGGGAGAGGGAGGGAAAGAACTCCGAGGAGGGGAGGAGAACGGCAGGGGGGTTAGAGAGTTAAAGGGAAGGGGCAGGGGGTTAGGGACTCGAAGGGGAGGGGAGGGGCAACCCGGAGGGATGAGGAGGGAGAAGGGGAGCAGGGGGTTAGGAACTGAGGAGGAAGGGAAAGAAGGTTAGGCACTCCAAGGGGAGGGGCAGGGGGTTAGGGATGGGGCGTGAGGAGCATGGAGCACCTAGACGGGGAAGGGAATTATTGGGGGAGAGGTGATAAGAGGACCTAGAATGGGCGATGGTAAGTGGGAGAAAAGGGTTGGGGGGGGAGGAGATGGGAGGGGGAGAGAAAAGGGAAGAGGGGGAGAAGGGAGGAGGGGAGAAAGGAGGAGGGAAAGAGAAGGGGGAGGGAAGGAGGAGAGCTGGGGAGGAAGGGCATGGGGGACTAGAAGGGAGGGGCGCTAGGGAGCCATAGAGGGAGGAGCCAGGGCAAAAGGTGGAAGGCCCCTAGAGGGGGAGTTGGAGGAGGAAAAGGGGAGGGAGGATCTGTGGGACGGGGGAAGGGGATGTGAGAGGGCACTGTTAGGAGCTTGAAGGGAGGGAGATGGACTGTTGTGGAGAGGGTGATCGCATGTGTGTATGTCTGTCCTTCCACATCGGTGCCTGTCCTTTTGTGTATGTGACTTTGTGTATATGCTAACTGGTCTGTCCTGCGTCTGTCTGGAAAGCATAGGCTTCCCTTTCTCCCAGCTGGCTCCGCCTGCCCTGGTCAGTGCCCTCTGCCCATTCTGTCACTTCCAGTCCTTCCTTTGGCCGGACCCTCCACCCGCCTCCGGTCTCACCCTCCTATCTCCCCACCACTCTCTCAGTTCCCAGAGAGATGGGCACTGTCAGCAGGAGCCAGGAGTCACTGGGGGAGGAATTGGGGGGGGAGTGGACACCTGACCACTTCGGGTAACTGAGGTCTTCTCGACACGCCACCCCCCAGCCTGCCCAGGCCATTAGCTGGTCAGGAAGAGGGTTGGGGGCGGGGTTCAGGAGTGGATAAGGAGAGAGAGAGAGAGAGAGAGAGAGAGAGAGAGAGAGAGAGAGAGAGAGAGAGAGAGAGAGAGAGAGAGAGAGAGAGAGAGAGAGAGAGAGAGAGAGAGAGAGAGAGAGAGAGTGAGAGTGTACGGGGGGTGGGGCTGGGAGGGCACTTAGGGGAGGGACTGGGGCGGGGCCCTCAGGCAGGAAAGGAGTCTGATCAGGGAATTGGGGTGTGGGGGCCTGGGCTAACTTTACAGCAGGGAGGTGAGGGATTGTATGGCAAACCCCAGGGAAAAAGCTAAAGCTCACCGCCTCTGTGGGACTAGAATTCCCCTCAGTCTGAATCGATTGCATGGACGTTCATGCAGCCTTCCTGCCTCTTGTCCAGCCTCAGGGCTGGGTTGGGATCTACCTTGTTGCAGGTTGGTGCATTTAAGTCTGTCCCTCTCCTGCTTCGTGGCAAATGCCTGAAATGCATTCCTCTAACCTTCCAACGGTCCCCTTTCCCCCTCCCCCGTCCCACTCCCACAGCTGGGTCTCCCTCCTCTCCTGGAGCCCCACTTTCCCGGTCCCTAGAGGACACTTCTCTCGGTTTTCTCTCCCTAGGGATGGTTAGGGTTCTGGGAGCAAGATTTCACCCCAACGGCCTGCCCCTGGCCAGTTTTCTGAGCCAAAGGTCAGTGATAGGAAAACATATGACAATTCAGAAGTGAGTAGAACCAGCAGGGCAGGTGTTTATGGTGGGGACAGTCACACTCATTGCACTCATACCTTGCCCCCCCCATGTTTATACAGGTGAAATCAGGGTCAAATGAACATGGAGGGCAATCCTGAAGAAGTTACATCCTCCCCAGAGAGGGGAGGAATGAGCACAGTAAGGGAAGGGTGTGGAAGAGGGAGGAGTAGTCCTCTATTTTAAGTAACTTGATGAGGCGGGCCTTTTAGTGGGTGGATTTTACATATATGTATAATCAGAAGAAGCAGGATTAGATGCAGTGGATCAAAAGTCAAAAGACCTGGCTTTGAGCCCTAATTTATTAGCTACAAGACATTTAGCCTCTCTATCTCACTTTGCTCATCTCTAAAATGAGAACAATAATCACAGAGGGGCATCATGGCCTTTGGAATAAAGGGTCAGCCTTGGTATCACAAGGATTTGGATGCAAGCCCTGCCTTTTACACATTCTAGCTGTGTGACTGTGGGCAAGTCATTTAAGTTCCCGGTGTTGGTGTTTAGTCCTGTCCTACTCTTCTGGATCCCATTTGGGATTTTGTTGGCAACTGGAACTGGCCATTTTCCTTTCCAGCTCATTTTACAGATGAGGAAACTGAGGTAAACAGGGTTAAAGCACTTGCCCAAGACCACACAGCTAGTATGTATCTGAGGCTGGATTTGAACTCAGGAAGTTAGTCTTCTTGACTCCAGGCCCGATGTGCTATCCACTGTACCACCTAGCTGCCCCAAGTACTCCGTGCTTCCAGGTAATTCTCCATGACTAAAATTTGTAGATAAGTTTCTGATCATCGACAGTGAAGGGAATTTCCACACTGAGACACTAATGAATCAGTTAATCAACATGAATTTATTGATCACCTATTATGGGCTAGGTATTATACTAAGCTGAGGAGACAAAGTAAAAGTTAAACAGTCCTTGCCCTCAAGGAGCTTACATTCTAAGGGGGGGCAGACAACATGCAAACATATACAGACTATATACAAAATGAATACTAGGTAGTATACTAGCAATGGTGGGGGGAGGGAGCAGAAAGTAGATCATCATCCTTCATGTAGAATATGGAACTTGGAGCTGAAGCCTGAAAGAAAACCAGGAAGAGGGAGAGCATTCTAGGCTTGGAGGACAGCCAGTGCTAAAGTAGAGAGAGATGGGAGAGGGAGCCTTGAGAATGTGCAACAGCAAGTAGTCCAGTATGGCTAGAGCATAGAGTATAGGGTGTGGGTGTGGAGGTAAGGAAGAAGCCTGGAAAGATAGGAAACAAGCTTGGTTTGAAGGGCTTTCAGTGCCAAAGGAGTTTGTATTTAATAGGCAGCCACCAAAGGTTATTGTGTAGGAAGGTCACTTGGTCAGACCTGTCCTTTAGGAAAATCACTTTGGCAGCTGTATGTAGGATGATCTGGTTAAAAAAAAAATTAGCCAAGTTAGAACCCCAAGAATCCTCTTTAGAGGCCATCTATTCTAACCCTTTCCATCATACAAATGAGGATTCTAAGGTGAAATGACTTGCCCAGGGGGTCATACAGTTAGTAAGCAAGTGGTAGAGCTTTGACTTGTATCCAGGTTTTTTGATTCAAAGTCTGGTTCATTTATCATAGGTCTGCCCCACCATACTCCTACCATCCACCTGGTGGCCCCCATAGGAACATCGTAAGGAAAGCACTTTGTCTCTGCCACTGAAATACCTCTTCACAGTCCCTTCCTATCTGTCTCTTACTTTTCACTCACTTGGTCAACATCAGGCCCTCTTCACCTTTTACATGGACTTTTATAATAGTTCCTGAGCTGATTCCCTCTCTCTCTTCTCTGATCCATCTTTCTGCACAGCAACTGAAATAACATTCCTAATGGTTATATCTGATCAGGCCCTCAAAAAAACTCCAGTCACTGTCTCTGAAAGGGGAAGGGAATGCTTATTAAGTGTCTACTGTGTGCCAGGCACTGTGATAAGTACTTTACAAATGTTATCTCATTTGAAAATGAGGACAGATTCCTTAACCTGTAATTCAAGACCCAACACAATGTGGCCCTGACCTAAGGCAGAATAGTACAATGGAAACACAGAGGGTCAAAGGCCAGGAGCGTTTGAATCTCAGTTCTGTTATTTACTGCCTGTGTGATCATGATCAAGTCCTTCCATACCTCTGTTTCCTCCCATTTAAAATAAAGGAATTGAACTAAATGACCTTCAGGTCTTTTCCAGCTTTAAATCTAAGACCCTATGCTCCATTTGTTTCTAGTCGTATTTCACACTATTCTGCTTTATGCCCTCAGTTTCCCAGCCAAAGCTGACTCTCCAATTTGCTTGGGCCCAGACAGGCCCAAATTGACCTGAAGTGTTTCCTCCCAATCCCCACTGATTGAAATCCCTTCCTTCAAAGCCCAGCTCAGCTGCCTCAAATTTCTTAGAAGAAAGCAGGGAGGGGAATAGGCATTTATTAAGCACCTACTGTGTGCCAGGTCCTGTGCTAAGCACTTTAAAAATCTTATCTCATTTGATCCTCACAACACCCCTGAGAAATGAGTGCTATCATTATCATCATTTTACAGTTGAGGAAAATGAGGCAAACAGAGGTTATGATTTGCTGAAGGTTACACAGCTAGTAAGTGACTAAGGCTGGATTTGAACTCAGGCCTTCCTGATCTACGCCTGTGGCTCTATCTGCTTCACCATCTAGATGCCTCAGAGTACTTCCTCTGGAGCTTTCCTTTGTGTTTATCTCATTTTGTTGTTCATCATACTTATTTACTTATTCATATTCATTTCTTATCCCTGCTAATAAATTATAAACAGCACAGTGCCTTGCTCAAAATAGGTGTTAAAGAAATGTTTATTGAATTGAGTTGAATAGTTGAATTGGAGCCTTAGGTCTTTTTTTTTTTTAAAGATAACTAATGGAACTATCTCCTCTCCTAATTGTTGCCTTCTTGAGTCACTGCTCTGCCTGCCTATCATACCCTACTGTGACCGGGTGAATGTGTATGAGGGAGAGATTGGGGTAGTGTGTTACTGGGAGTGTGTGTGTGTGTGTGTGTGTGTGTGTGTGTGTGTGTGTGTGTATCAGACAGACAGACAGACATAGAGACAGAGGACAGAGAAAGAGAGACAGATCAAAACAGTGGAACGTATGTGTGTATGGGAGACAGAAAAAGAGGCAGAGACGGCAACTGCTCAGGTTAGTGTGTGTGTGTGTGTGTATGTGTGTATGTTGAGCCCAAGATTGTGATCTCTTGCCAGAAGGGATTTTAGAGTTCAAGACAATAAAGAAAGTCAACCCCTTCCCCCATCAGTCTTATAAACTAAAGGAAGAATGTAGAGATGTAGAGAGTTTCGGTGACTCCCAAAATCACACACAGGTACTTACTAGAAGTAGCAGGACTGAGATGGAAACCTAGGTCCTGGCTCCAAATCTTTTGTTGTTTTCTTTACTGTAAGCTACAATATCCAGCTACCCCTTTGACTAGAGAAGGGAGGGGAAAAAGGTGCTGGGAGCATGTGCATGTGTGTATCTGTGAGAGAAAGAGAGAAACAGAGAGAGACAGTGAGACAGAGAGAGACGAATGCATAAAGAAAGACACACACACATACATACGAAGACAGTGTGCCTATACCTAATTAGCAGTGTGTACTCCTGTGGCCTACTCCTAAATTGTCCTTAGGGTGTCATTGTGGGGTGCATACAGTCTGGCAGTGGGCCCTCAGAAGACGAAGGATCAGCCCTTGGATTGGTCCCTAGGGATGGGATGCTGGTTTCATTCCCTTCCCCCTGCCCCCATTCCTGCTATCCTCAAGCCCCAGAACCAGCCTGGCCACTGGCCTGGCTCTGCTTCATTCAGGCCTCCTTGTTACTGGGCAGGAAGATTGTGGAGAATTCTTGGGCTGCTGCCTCAGGCTCTGGAGGAGGGGAGGGGAGAGGCCAGAGGTTGACTTTTAAGTCCGAGGCCACCTTCTGGCCTTTGTCATCCATTAGTGGGTGGCTGGTAACCAGGATGCAGCCAGGATTGACCTCCTAGTTACTGCTCCTTCCCAACCCGGATCTTTGGATCATCCCATCCGGCTCATCTCAGCTGGACCCAGGATGCTTCTCTGGACCAGGAGGCTCTTCTCAATAGAGCCCCTCATTCCCTCGAGCCCCCTTCCCCAGTGCCCCTGCTCTTCTTGACCTAGTGCCTATAGTAAACTCCTCAGAAATGTCCCAGCTCTCTGAGAGAGAACCTCATAGCAGGGAGGCCCAGGCCAGCTCGGAGACACCTGGAGAAAGAAACACACATGTAAACACATATACACACATGTGCACGTGCACACAGTCAGATATGCAGGAGCACATTCAGTCTCCCATTCATTTTCTCTATCTCCCTCATACCTACATGCTAGCACACAGACAGGAATTCTCTTTTTTTGGAGTCTGGAAAGAAGGATTTACTGAAGAAGTGGGGAGAACTACGTAGAGTGGGGAAGATGGCCTGAATACATACTATTAAAAAAAATAAAAGATAACAAATTTCAAAGAAATCTCTTTATTAAAACAGCCTAACCCAGCAACGTTAAAAACAACCAGAGCATTAGCAGGATGAGTGTTTTTGTTTTTATTAGAAAAAGACAATAATATGGACTTCATACTGTTGGGATGTCTATGTATTTATGTGGTTATAATACATATTTTGCAAATTCTCTCTCTCTCTCTCTCTCTCTCTCTCACACACACACACACACACACATACACAGAGGCACACACTGGGAGGTAGAAAAACAGATGGGAGAGACAGTTTCCAGGATGAACTGTCAGTTGCTGGCCTCTGGTGGTATTAAAGGGTCAGGTCCAATCTGGGACCGCTCAGATGTTGCACAGGAGGCGTGGTTCAGATGAAGATAAAAGCCTCTTTAGACCCAAAGGTTCTAATGGTTTCTGACCAACCTGGGAAGGAATACTGGTAAGTGATGTGGAGGACAGGACAGGGTGAGAAAGGCTGCCTGCAAAGGCAGACAGATAGACAGACATACTGGGATATCAGCATAGGTGGTGGGGTAGTGGTCCCAAGAATAGAGGGTGAGGGTCTGTTGGTGAATCTGCTCAGTCATCCAGCAGTTCTCAGGGTCTCAGCTACTCTTTCCCTCCATAACCCCTCTCTGTCTTCTGCAGGTGGTCTCAGGAAGAGCAGGTACCATGCTGCTCCCAGCCCTGCTCTGCTTCTGGGCAACTTGGGCCTGGGCTGATGGGTAAGACTCTTGATCCCAGGACCTCCCAGGACCTGGGCTGTAGTACTGAAGGCTTAAAGTCAGCCCCTCTCTTCCATATCCCTTTTCACCCTGCCCTCCTTCCCCCATGTAGGCTGGGGCTATGGTTTGCAAAGTTAGAACAGGAAATATCGAGTGCCTACCAACTCCAGAGGAAATTTCTGCTGGCTGTCTCAGTTCCTTGACATCTCCTTGCTCTGGTTTCACGACCCCTCAGACAACCAGGTTCCTTTCTTTTGTCCCTGGCCTTTGTCATACCTTCTGCACTTCCTTCCCCCAATTTGATCTCCCGTCTAAGGTGGCAGAGGGGGCTCGTGGGTGGAAATCCTTGGGAAAATTCATTTGGTGGTCCTGTGTACCAGCTGCTCTTCTCCTATCTCTGGGGCAGGCGATGGTGCCAACGGACAGAGACTGTCCAGGTGGAGGAGGTGGTGACCCCTCGGCAGGAAGAGCTGGTGCCCTGCAGCAATCTCTACTATTATATTCACCGGGGCTGGCAGCTGGACCTGGCCAGGAGCAGGCCCACAACCTCCCTAACCCATACTGTCTGCCCGATCTACAAGTGAGAAGAGGAAGGGGGAAAATTTGGCATAGACAATGGGGACTAGGGGGAAGACAGGTATGGGTCCTGGCAAGAGAGCTCAGGGGAGGAGAAAAGATGTGAAAGAGTGAGCATGGGGTGGTATGGCTGAGGTAGAGCAGAATAAATGGGGTCTAGGGACATGAATGAGAAGAGGATGAGAGAGAGACAGGGAAGGGAGAGAGAGAGACAGAGAGACAGAGACAGGGACCAGGGGTTGGGGGAGAGAGAGAGAGAGAGATAGAGACAGAGATGAGGTGGGAGAGAGAGAAAGAGAGAGAGAGAGAGAGAGAGAGAGAGAGAGAGAGAGAGAGAGAGAGAGAGAGAGAGAGAGATAAGGAGAGAGAGATGGGGGTAGAGACAGAAAAGGAGGGAGAGAGATAGAGAGATGGGGGAGAGAGACAGAGAATGGGGAGAGAGAGACAGAGACAGAGAGAGAGACAGGGGAGTGGAGGAGAGAGACAGAGACAGAGAGAGACTGGGGGAGAGAAAGACGGGGGAGGGGAGAGAGACACAAACACAGAGACAGAGAAACATAGAGACAGGAGTGGAGACAGAGACAGAGAAGGAGGAAGAGAAACAGACAGAGACAGAGAGATGGAGTGGTGGAAGAGAGAGAGACAGAGACAGAGAGAGAGACGGGGAGGTGGAGGATAGAGAAAGAGACAGAGAAGGGGAGAGAAAGACAGAGAAGGAGAGAGAAAGACATAGAGGGAGAAGAGAGACACACACAGACACACACACACAGATAGAAATACAGACAGAGAGGAATGGAGAAAGAGACAGAAAAGGAGGAAGAGAAACAGACAAAGACAGAGAAATGGGGTGGTGGAGAGAGAAGCAGAGAGAGATGGGAGGGAGAGAAAGACAGAGAAGGAGGGAGAGAGACAGTGTGAGAGAGAGAGGGGAGAGAAAGAGGAGGAGAGAGAGAGACAGAGACAGAGAGAGACAGGGGTAGAGAGGGAAACAGATAAGGATGGACAAAAACAGAGACAGAAAGACAGAGATAGAGATGGAGATAGGAGGTGGCAGAGAGAGAGACAGACAGAGAGACAGGAAGGAGAGAAGGAGGGAGAGTGACAGAGAGATGGGAGACAGAAAGACAGAGGGGGCAGAGGCAGACAGAGAGACAGACAGAGAGACAGAGACAAAGGGAGTATCTATCTTGAATAACGTCCTTTATCAACCTCAAGCTTTCCTTCTCCTTTCTATGTATGTACAATTAGGTGGTAGAGGGTATCTGAGGATGAAAGATGTGGGTATAGAATGGATATGACTAGGGAATGATGTATGGGAGACATTAGAAGGAGAAGAAAGTTTTCTGGATGGGTTGAGGGGGGCCCACTCCCAAGAAGCAGTTTAATTTCTAGTCTCATTTCTATGACATTATGGGCCCTCATTCCCCACGGGCCTGAGGAAAATAAACCCTGCTGACTCTATATGTTCCAGGCCGCCTGATATCCGACCAGTAGCCTGGAACCGGACTGTGAGGGCCTGTTGCCCAGGCTGGAGAGGTCCTCAATGCACTCTAGGTAAGGCTGCTCTGCATCTGCTAGAAGATACAGAGAATAAAAGGGAGCCCGCATCAGAAAGATATATCAGGAGAGACAGAGTCAAAACTAGAATTGGGGTGTTAGGTTGTATCAGAGTGGTTATAGGAAGAATAGGTGGATGAAAATACTCATTCCCCAAAGGTGGCTGGCCTTATCCGTGCCAAACACTGCCATCCAAGCCCCACCCCCTGCCCAATTGTTCCTTCGCCATACCCTCCCTTTTGACCACAATTTCCTTTGAAGGTACTGGCACCAAGGATCACTGTTTTGCCACCTGGCAGTGCCAAGTAGGGCCAGATTTATTGAATGCCTCAGCGGGCAGCTTGGAGGAGTGCTGTGCCCAGCCCTGGGGGCGCAGCTGGTGGAATGACAGTTTGGAACTTTGCTTTAGTTGTTCTTCCTGGCCTCTGACAGGTGAGTATCCTCCCAATACGTGTACTCTGGTATAGGCAAGCTTATGAACTCTGAAGTTTTCCCCAGAACAAATGTCCAGTCCCCAATCTCAAGGGTGCCAACGCTACCATTGTCCCTCCACCTCTGCTCTCTTCCCTATAGAATGCACCATCACATTTTCTATCTTCTTGCCCCATGAGGTAACCCAGGCGTAGGCACTCTGCTGTCCTAGCCCAGGCCCTTGCTCTGGGCCCTCCCAGTTCTCTGCTCAAGGTAGATGATTTTCTCCAGGCAATCATCTGTCCCCAGCCGTCTTACAGCCCTTGCCTGGGGCAGTGGGCCATCTTCGGAGCCAGCGCCAGGGCCTCTCAGCCACCTGTATGACTTGGTCAGGCTTCCACTACCGGACCTTTGACAGGCGTCACTACCACTTCCTGGGCCGATGCACCTACCTACTTGCGGGTGATATTGATGCCACCTGGGCTGTTTACCTCATTCCTGGCAGGCACTGCCCTTGGCCTGATGACTGCCAGCCGGTGAGGACTTGGGAGTGGGGTCAAGGCTAGAAAGAGGCAAAACTAGGAGTGGGACAGGACACAGTTGGAAGAGATGCCTGTCAACCACCGTCATCACTCTACTGATATTGTCCCCTCACCTCTTAATTATTAAAGCCAATGACTTTTCTTTCCTGGTCTCATCTTCCTTGGGAGCAGCTAGGTAGCACAGTGGATAGAGTGCCAGGCCTAGAGTCAGGAAGACCTGAGTTCAAATCTAGCCTCAGACTCTTATTATTTGTGTGACCTTGGGCAAGTCATTTAACTTCTGTCTGCTTCGATTTCCTCATCTGTAAAATGGGAATAATAATAGTACCTACCTCCCAGGGTTATTGTGAGGAACAGATGAGATAATATTTGTAAAGTTCTTAACACAGTGCCTGGTACATAGTAAGCCCTATATAAATGCTATTATTTTTATTAAATGTTGAATGAATTATTTTCCATTCTTTTCTCTTATTCCAAGACTGTTCAGGTTCTGATGGGACAGGATACGGTGCTCATCCGGGGCTCCAATGTTTCAGTGAATGGAGCACCAGTGCTGGAGGGGCGGCCCCTACTACAGGGTGGTGAGTGCTGTCCCTGAGGGAAGAATAGAATGTAACTCTCTAGTGAAGAGCCCTCATCTGCGTATCTAAGGGATGGGCATCTCCTGGGGAATTGAGGGGCTCCAAAGACTAAAGGATGGGGAAGCCTGGGCCTAAGGTGCTCCCTCTCACCCTTTGCCCGACCATAGTTGAAAGACCATTGGGCAGGGTGTGAGGGGACTTGGCTTTTGCTACTGCCTCACTGTGTAATCCTGGACGAATTAGCACACTTTCTGGATCTCAGGTCCCTCTGCTGTTAAATGGAGAGAATAATGCCTATCCTGCTTATGTCAGAGGGATAGTGTGAAGAGACAATGGGACAGTAGATGGCGAAGTATTGTGAAGAGTCGTAGAATATTAGAAATGGAAAGGACCTCAATATCTAACCTCCCCATTTACCAGATGAAGAAATTGAAGTCTGCAGAGTTTAAATGACTTGACTAATATCTCCTAGTTAGTGGCAATACTCTTTTCACCATAACTAGGCTACTGATAAAAGTATCAGGAATTAGAGATATGTTCTCTATTATCTACAGATACAAGAGAAAGAAATGCTTTCTCTCCTGTCACTCCTTCCTCCTAAATTTGTCCTTGCAAAGCTAGGAATGGAGACAAGGAGAGAGATAGAGTTAACCCCCCCTCTCCCTTTATCTCCCTTTGTCCAGGGCTGAGCCTGCAGTGGCCAGGGGACTGGCTGGTGCTGTCAGGTGGTTTGGGTGTGGTGGTGAGGATGGACAGGGCTGGTTCTGTCTCACTCACTGTTGACCACGAACTCCAGGGGCAGACTAGTGGCCTCTGTGGGCTCTACAATGGTCGACCTGAAGGTAAGGGGTTCAGGGATAGAATGAGTGTGTGTGTTGGGGGGAAGGAGAGGAGAAGAGGGGTATTGGATTGGAAAGAGAACTTGGAGGGGAGAGATGCAGATAAAGCTGGAGGCTGAGGGTTCCCTCCTCAAACTCCCACAGATGATTTTCTGGAGCCTGAAGGGGGGCAGGCTGTACTAGCTGCCACTTTTGGCAATTCCTGGAAGTCCCCTGACTCAGAGGTGAGAGGTTTTATCCTTGACCCCAGACCCTCTCCTCTCCACCAACTCTCCCCTGGGCCATCAGCCTAGCTCTTGGGACACCATTGGCCCCATTTTCTCCAGAACTCTTTTCCCCCTTCTCTTGCTCCCTGGAACCCTGACCCAATCTTCTATCCCTCAACCCCACTGTGGCACCAGTAGCAGGTTTTGGTTCCTGACATTGTATCTAACAGGGTGCTCCAGGAATGAGCTCTGCACCAGTCAGGCCTACACTATATGGAGCTGACTAACAAAGTTTGGCTGGGCCTATTTGCTGCAGATTGTCTGCTCCTAGCTTCCCTTAAAGCGTCTCCTCCCCTAGTTGTATCCGATTTTGTCTTCTCCTCATATTTAGAGAAGTTCTGGGTTGGTGGAATGGAATGCTCAAGAGAGAGATTGACTTTCCTAGGCCTCACTCAAAAGTGGCTGCCCTCCCTCCACCTTGTTCTGTCAACCTCACTTTTTTTCCCAGCCTGGGTGCCTGGATGCAATGGAAGCAGCTCAAGGCTGCATGGACTCCACCGAAGACACAGAGGCAGGCGTGGGTACAGGGGTGCTGCGGGCTGAAGCTCAGGACATCTGTCACCAGCTGCTGGACGGCGGCTTCAGAGAGTGTCATGTGCAGGTGTCGGGGCTTGGGGCGGGAGCAGCAGGCGGAGTTTGGAGGTTAATAAGAGAACCATCACGACCATCATTATAATTATCATGATCATCCTGCCCCCTTTTCATGAGGAAACGGAGGCTCAGAGGGCTTAAGATTTGCCTAGGGTCACACAGTTAGTGAGGGTCTTGAACCAAATCTCCTTGACCCCAACACACTATTCCCCAGCCCTGCCCTACACTCCACCACATCCCTTCCCTGGGAGCCGTGCTAGCTGCCCCCAGACTCAGCTTGTTGGGTAGGATCCTTATACCTCTACCTTTTTCTACCCAAGAAGCATCTCTCCCTTGGGAGGGGGGGTTCCCCTAATTGTGAGGCAAGAATTTCCCTTTAATGTGAAGCAGTCGATGGAATGATCTCCTCGAGGGCAGGCACTGTTCATTTCTGCGTGGTATGCGGCACTTAATTGTGCAATTCAATGGAAAACAATCAAACCAAAACCAGGAGAGGAACCCTGGGCTAGAAGGCAGAGCCCTGACTTCTTAGTGCTGGCTTTGCTTCTCCTTATGTGACCTTGGGAAGATCTTACCTCTAGGCTGGAAGCTTGGGCTCTTCCAGCCCTGAAAATGCATGACTCTGTGAATCAGGGACTGGGGTGGGGGCAGTAGAGGACCGAAAGGGCATGGCTGAGGGCCCCAAGAGGGCAAGAGACAGCATCAGAGGCTGCTGGCTTATGGCTCCTCCTCTTGTAGGTTCCCCCCAGTGGGTTCCATGAAGCTTGCCTCTTTGCCTACTGCGCGGCAGGTGGTGGGCAGGCAGGGAGGCAGGAGGCGGTATGTGCTACGTTTGCCAACTATGCCCGTGACTGTGCCCAGCACGATGTCTTCATCCCTTGGCGGAAGCCTGGCTTCTGTGGTACAGTTTCTACTCTTTTCCTTCACCACCAACCCTCCGCCCTTCCCCATCCCCTATAGCACTAGGCCATACACATGGGCATTGGACTACATGTGGGAGCTTGGGGAGGCCTGCTCTGGGCCTTGTTCCACACGGACACTGTCATTACTAGATCACAGATGACCTACACCATGAATATCTTTATGGTGGGGTGGTCATCAGTTCAAAAGGCAGACCCAGCTGGGACATCTCCTCTGTTCCCATCTGGGCATCAGCATGCCCATTCTAGGCATGTTTCAGCTTCTATACTTCGCATTGTTGTTTCTGGCCCTGAGATTGTGCCTGGTGTGGGGAGGGAGAGAGTGCCATCTCTTATGCCACCTTGCATCACATCTTAAACGGCTTTTCCAGAGCGCCTTTGCCCAGGAGGACAGCTATACTCAGATTGTGTGTCATCCTGCCCACCTAGCTGTGGGGCAGTGGGTGAGCATGAGGAGGGGCAGTGTCGAGAGGGCTGTGTGAGTGGCTGTGAATGCCCACCAGGACTTTACAGGGATGACGACCTCTGTGTCCCTGCTGCTCATTGCCCCTGCTACCACCACCGCCAGCGCTATTCCCCGGGCAGCACAGTGTACCAGCTATGCAATCCGTGGTGAGGCCCTGGGCACTCTCTCCTCCCTGCCCAGCATACAGACGAGGGGCACTGACCAATCTAATCTCTCTCTTTGGACTTCTGGCTTCTTATGGTTCCATACAAATTGACTTTTCCATCCTTGGACACTTCCCTTGATGCCAGCCCCCTCACATTCCTGCTTTGGGGTGCCTTCAGAGTGACCTCTGATCTCCCCATGGAGACCCTTAGTTTGCCCAGAATGACTTACAACAAAAAGAACTTTAATGGGGTAGCCATAATAATAGTTAAATTTGGATAACATTTTAAGGTTTGTAAAGCACATTAAATGGATGATATCATTTGAGTTTTACAATAACCCTCCTAGGTAGGTGCTATTGTTATCCCCATTTTACAGATGAGAAAACTGAGGCCGAGAGAGGTTAAGGGACTTGTCCAGGGTCAGAGAGCTGGGAAATATCTGAGGCACGTTTTGAACTTGGGTCTTTCTGACTCTAGGTCCAGTGCTCCATCTGTTAAGGTGAAGGAAGGGAGGTATAGAAAGGGATTCATCCCAGCTCTACTCCTACCTTCTCCGGGGATATGATTGTTGTTCTAACCTTCTCCTCCCCCCTCTCAGTGTGTGCCTGGAAGGCCACTGGCATTGTTCCCAGAAGCCATGCCCAGCTGAATGTGCAGTGGGTGGAGATGGGCACTACGTCACTTTCGATGGGCGAAGTTTCTTCTTCCAGGGCACCGGGGGCTGCCGGTACAACCTGGTACAGGTGGGCATCAGAGGGGAACTGAAAGGGAAAGAAATTCCTGGGAGAGGGTGATGGTTTGTTAAATATTGTCTAGAAGTGGTCCTTGCCCACCCAACTGTGGTGAAGTGTTTATCATGAAGGATGGGTTGCCAATCTGGGTTGGGTACATGGGCAGAGACTCTGACCTGAGGAGGAAACAGAGGGACCCGTGGATCTACTCTTCATTCTTTCTCTTGTCCTAGGATGATTTAAAGGGGCAGCTGCTGATGGTATTGGAACACGGGGTCTGTGAGGCCGGGAGCTGTCTCCGTGCCATCTCAGTCACCCTGGGTGAAGTCTATGTCCAGCTCCGGGACTCAGGTGCCCTTAGCTCTGACATCCTATCTTCATATCTCCAGACTACTTCCTTTACCTCCTGCCTCACCTAGCCCCACAACTCCTCCTATTCCAGTCTCAAGGTCACTCAAACACTCAGGATGCTCCCTCCTTTACTCCCCTGTCCCCCAGCGTGCCACACACACTCCCATTCCCATTCTCTTTGTCACAGGGAGCCTCCCCCTCTGACAATACTCTCTTTGTCCACAGGGGCAGTGCTGGTAGGCAGGCAAGAGGTGGCATTGCCTTGGGATGGGCCTGGTGGTCTCCATGTCCATCATGCCTCCTCTACCTTCCTACTGCTTCGTGGGCCTGGTGTCTGGCTCCTCTGGGGTGTGCGTGAACCTGCCGCATACATTACCTTGGAACCCTTCTATGCCCACCGGGTATGTCTAGGTGAGGGGACCAAGGCCCTGGGGAGACGCTAGGCTCCCATAGGGGAGATACCACATTTTAGAAGGGGCTTTGACAAACAGGAATGGGTGTGGAGGTGAGTGACCAGGATAATGAGGTCCTGGAGACTGATACATAAAGAAAGAACTGGGGATACAATGCCAGGAACCAAAACCTGCTACTGGTGCCACAGTGGGGTTGAAGGATAGAAGATTGGGTCAGGGTTCCAGGGAGCAAGAGAAGGGGGAAGAGAGAAAATGGGGCCAATGGTGTCCCAAGAACTAGGCTGTTGAGAGATGAGAGACTTAGAGATGGAAGTGCCATTCAAGGTCGTCTCTTCTAACTTTCTGATTTTATAAATGAGGAAGACCTTGAGAGATGAGCTGACTTATCCAAAGTGGCACAGTATTAAGTGGCAGAGTCAGAATTTGAATCCAGATCCTTCGATTTCCAATCCAGCACTTCTTCCAAAGATCTCTTATGCTGAAGAGAATCCAATCTATTCTGATTGGCTCAATGGGAAAGAACTAGGAATAGTGAGTGGGTGGGAGGTAAGAAGAAGCAGATTTTGGCTTGTTGTAAGGAAAACTTCCCTAACAAGCAGAGCTGACCTGAGGTACCGTGGATTGCTTCAGGAGGCTTCCCTTCGAGGGAGGTATTTAGATGGAGGTGGTCACTTCTGAGGCGGGTTGTAGAGGGGGTTTTGGTTCAGTTATGAGTTAGATGAGAGGGCTTCTGATCTCTCTCCCAATTCCGAAATGCCATGTTCTGAGTGTGCGGGATTCTGGGGAAGGGGAGGAGGGGTGGAAGGGTTCCCTCTGACTCACCTCTTCCTATTGGTGGACCCAGGTAAGGGGTATGTGTGGAACCTTCACTTGGAACCAGCAGGACGACTTCCTCACACCCGCCGGAGATGTGGAATCCAGTGTGACTGCCTTTGCCGGCAAGTTCCAGCTGAGTGGGGAGGCTACCTGCCGTTTGGGGGATACTCTTATCCCACTTAACCCCTGCAGTACCTATGCTCAGCGCCGGCCCTATGCAGAAGCCACCTGTGCCATTCTCCAAGGCCCAGCTTTCCAGGTACCCCAAACACCGAGGCACTACACTATGGAGATGGTCATCAGCATGAGGGGATGTGCTGGTTGGGATGGTGGGAAGGAGTCTTGTGCAGGAGCTGACTCAGCCCCCCCATGCCTTTCCCCCTCACACCCCCAGCAATGCCACAGGCTGGTGGAACAAGAGCCTTATCAGTTACGGTGCCTGTCAGCAGTATGTGGCTGTGCCCTGGGTCATGATTGCCTGTGTCCTGTGCTATCTGCCTATGCCCGCCACTGTGCCCGGGAGGGTGTGCTCAGCCCCTGGAGGAACCAGACTCTGTGTCGTGAGTTCTGCTTCTGTCTACCTACCTGTTTCCCTGCTTTTCCCCTTCCCCTTTCTCCTCAATGGAGACCTAATCCTACTCATTAGCCTCTACCAGGGCAACCATCCTTCTCCAGAGTGAGCTTTGTCCTTTATCTTCCTAGAATCTCCCCATATGGAGAACAGGGAAATTGGTGGTGTTTGAAGGCTGCTAAGGAGGCCTAGTTCTATGATCCTACTCCTGACTTGTGCCCATATCCATCCTCAGCTGTCATGTGTCCAGCTGGTCAAGAATACCAAGAATGTGCCCCAGTGTGTGGCCAGAGATGTGGAGAACTGGAGACCTGTGGGGAATTAGTGGGCTGCGTGGCTGGTTGCAATTGTCCCTCTGGCCTGCTGTGGGATCATGAGAGCCAATGTGTGCCCCCCAGCCTGTGTCCTTGCCAGCTGGGAGGCCAGTCTCACCCTCCAGGCAGCATCACTTTGCAGGGATGCAATCGCTGGTGAGGACTGGATGCTGAAGACCAAGGGAAAAGCTGGGGATGAGGGGAGGCTTCTTGTGAGAGGGTTCAGAGTAAGAGAGGCCTTCAGGGTGGGTTATGGGGGACAGGGGAGCCCAGATAGGCAGAAAATTGCTTGCAAATGGTGCCAGATTTGTGGCATCAAAATTTAAGGCAGCTGGTAAGAGATCACCATGGGGAAGACCCTAAAGGTGTGGCCTCATGGGTTCCTTAGCTTAGATTGTGGTAGCTGGAAAATGTCTGGGAATTGGGATTATTTGGAAGACAGCATGGTGTAGTACAAGGACCAAGGGACTCAGAGTCAGCTGCTAAGCCACTTAATGAACTGTGTCACCTTGGGCAAATAGGGATGATTATAAGGACGCTTTTACTGTACACAGGACTGTTGTTAGGATCAAATAAGGAAACATTTGTAAAGTACTTTGTCAACCTTAATGTATTTTATATACATGTGAGTGTGTGTGTGTGTGTGTGTATGTGTGTGTGTATATATATAGTGTGTGCGTGTGTGTGTGTATAGGTATATATGTATATATATATATATATGCATACATACATATACATATATACACCTATATACATATATGTATACACACACTATATCTATCTATATCTATATCTATATCTATATCTATATCTATATCTATATCTATATCTATATCTATATCTATATCTATATCTATATCTATATCTATATCTATATCTATATCTATATCTATATCTATATCTATATCTATCTCTGTATATCTCAATCAATCAAGCTAGGTGGAATGTGGATAGAACCAGATTTGCGTGTGACTCCAGCCTCAGACACATACTACCTGTGTGACCCAGGACAAGTCACTTAACTGCTTTCTGCCTCAGTTTCCTTATCGCTAAATTGGAGATAATAATAGCACTTACTTCCCAGGGTTGTTATGAGAACCTAATGAGATAATATTTGTAAAGCACTTTGCGAGCTTTAAAGTGCTATATAAACCCCAGCTGTTACTGCTATTGTTGGGGCAGAGAGGCTTTGATGAAATACTGTACTCATCCTCTGGGTTGACTTAGCCTGGCCCAAGTCCAGAGCTTTGAGGATTCTTAATCCCTCTCTCCCTTTACCCCATTCAAACCAACATCCTCTCTCAGGTCTAGGGCTCAGTTATCCTTGGTCCTGGGAAGGGTGGTGGCAATCTACTGTCCTGTGGTTAACAAACTCTTTTCTCTTCATCAAAATCTGGAGCCTAAACATTCCTATGGCAAAAATTCCGTTGCCTCGCAACCATTTCCTGCTCCCTTTCCCCCATCCGCTTCAATGAGCCCTAGCATGTTCCTGTCCCCATCTGCCTTTTCCTTCCATTTGGCCTCTGGAAACTCTGTTCTCTTGCTAACAAGTTATCCTACTATTAGATCTCCTCTGGCACTACCTCCATCTTCCATATAACACACACACACACACACACACACACACACACGTATATGTATTATATACACACATCCACACATATACATATATATATATACATATATATATATATAAAATTCATTTATCTATCTATCTATCCATCCATCCGTTTATTTATTTATTTGTTTTGCCAACCAAACAAGCTAGGTGGCACAGTGGATAGAGTGCTAAGACTGGAGTCAGGAAGATCTGAATTCAAATCCTGCCTTAGACACTTGCTAGTTACATGACCCTGGACAAATCACTTAAACTCAGTCTCAGTTTCCTCATTTGTAAAATGGGGATAATAATAGCACCTACCCACTAGGGTTGTTGTGAGGATCAAATGAAGTGGATGATTGTAAAGTGCTTAGCACAGTGCCTGGCACATAGCAGGTGCTATATAAATGTTAACTATTAATATTATTATTATTCAATTGACAAGCATTTATTTTCTTTCCTTCCCACCTACGTCCCATTTGAAAGAAAAAAAGAAAAACCAAATCCTTGCAAGGAATATGCCTAGTTAGGCAAAATAAATTCCCACATTTGACTATACTCCCAAAATATGTCTCATTCTGCGTCCTGAGTCCATCACCTTCCTATCAGGTGGCAGCGTCATCATCAGTCCTCTGGAGCTGTGGTTGCTCGGTTCATTGGTCAGAATTCTGAAGTCTTTTAAAGTCGTTTGTCTTTACATTATTGTATCAATTGTACTTCTGGTTCTGCTCTCTTTACTCTGCATTCATTCACACAAGTGTTCCCAGGTTTCACTGAAAACCTTCCCTTTCATCGTTTCTTACCACACAATAATAGTTCATTACATTCATATACTGTAATTTGTGAAGCCATTCCCAATTGATGGACACTCCTTTTGTTTCCAGTTCTTTTCCACCACAAAAAGAGCTGCTATAAATATTTTTTATATATGTGGGTCCTTTTCCTCTTTCTTTGATCTCTTTGGGGTATCATCTTTCTATCATGGAAACCTGATTCATGTCAGAAGATACTAGAACCTTGGCTATCCATTGTCTCAATACCAGATGCATCTTCTTTCAAGTTACCCTCCTCACACTTCCCTCTCATCATACGCACACACACACGCACACGCACATGCACACACACACACACACACACACACACACACACACACACACACACACACACACACACACACTGGCCAGAAGGAGGGAGAGGCATACTTCCTGCTCCCCACTGGCCCTTTCAGACCCTCCCTCTGCTGCTATCACAACCCCTCCTCCTTTGAGATTCATTCCATCTAGATATAATATGGCACCTGGATTCTAGTGACAACTTCTAGGTAATTTTCTCTCCCTTTTTTGAGGTGCTCAGTACCTGGCTCACAGTCCTGTTCTAGATTCCAACCCCTCTCCTTATACACTTAGGGGCTTTATTATTCATGTGAATGTCCTTTCAAATATCCCAAATTCTCCTTCCCCTGCCTGCTCAGCTGCCACATACTTTTGCTCCAGCTCAGCCACATACAGGACTGGTCATACCTTTGATCTCAACATCACCCACAGGCATTTTCAACTGAAGCTCAGGGAAGAGACAGATGGACTGGATCTGTCGATCTGGGAGTCATCTGCATGGAGATGATAATTAGACCCTTGGGATCTGATGGGATTACCAAGCGAGTAGAAATATTAGCTATTATGGAAGAGAGAGGGGACAAGGGAACAAGTGTTTATTAAGTTCATGTTATGTGTTGGTACTGTGCTAAGCATTCACAAATATCATTTCATTTGATCCTCACAACAACCCTGGGAGGTAAGTGGTGTTATTATTTTGTTTTACAGTTGAGGAAACTGAGGAAGATGGAGGTTAAGTGACTTGCCCAGAGTTATAAAGTTAGAAAGTGTCTGAGGTTGGAGTTGAACTCGTCTTCTTGACTCCAGTCCTAGCACTCTATCCATGGTACCACCTAGCTAGGGGTTAGAGCTCTCTGTATTTGATGAATGAATGAATGGATGAATGGTACCTTCAAGTATTAGAATGAAATGTGGGGTATCCTGTGTCTTTTCAGTCATGTCTGAGGAGGGGCTGAGTACTGGGGTCCCTGAGGCCATGGCTGGATTCTGGATTCCTGGGTCTCCTTTATCAGTGTCAGAGATTTGTGTTCTTGCGTGATTAGGATTGGGAGATGCTTGGGTTTTCTCTCCAGGGGGTGAAGGGTGGGAGTTGGCATGGAATAGATTTAGTGAATTTGACTCTCATTCCCTGCTGGCAGTGTTTGCCAGGACAGAGGCATCTGGAACTGCACAGCTCAGCACTGTGCCCCAGGAGTGGCATTCTGCCCTGGAGGGCGCGTGTACTCCCCAGGCTCTTGCCTCCTCACCTGTGACAGTCTCAGTGCCAATATCTCCTGCCCCACAGACACTTCTGATGGCTGCATATGCCCTCTGGGCACTGTGCTGCTGGTGAGTAGGGGAGATTCCAGACAGAGGGAGGGCACTCTGGAGATCAGCTCTGGTGTGCATCCAGGACATCAGCCATGACGTTCGCCCTCTGGCTCCCAGGGCCAATAAGCAGGGCTGACTGGCAGGCACTCTTTGATTCTCTCTTTTCCTGCCTAGGATGAACACTGTGTGTCCCCTGAACTGTGCCCCTGCAGACACAGTGGGCAGCTGTACCCACCCAACTCGACCATCCAGGAGGACTGCAATACTTGGTAAGGCCTGGCCTCTGTCCCTCCGTGATCTAGTGACCTCAGCCCCCATCTCCTGATGACTCGGCATCTTGTCTCTGTTTGGCCTGGGCAGTCAGTCAGTCAATAAACATTTATTAAGCACCTACTATGTACCAGACACTGTGCTAAGTGTTGGGTGCAAAAAGAAAGGTAAAATATAGTCTCTGTTCTTATTAGATTGTAAGCTCCTCGAGGGCAGGGACTATTTTTTGCCTCTTTTTGTATCCCCATCGTTTAGCACGGTGTCTGGCACACAGTAGTTGCTTAATATATATATATATATATATATATATATATATATATATTTTTTTTTTGCCTTTTTTTTGGTGGGGCAGTTGGGGTTAAGTGACTTGCCCAGGGTCACACAGCTAGTAAGTGTCTTGTGTCTGAGACTGGATTTGAACTCACATCCTCCTGACTCCAAGGCCAGAGCTCTATCCACTGCACCACCTAGCTGCCCCCTTAATAAATATTTATTGATTAATTGATTTCTCTTGAGGATCTCCATTTAAAGGGGAGAAAACATGCAAATGACTCTGTACAAGGGTGGGTGCAAGGCAGTCCCAAGGACTACCCAAGGTAGTGCCAAGGTAGTGCCAAGGACATGCCGGGGACTCTCTGAATCTCAGTGAGGTGAGGGAGCATTCTGATTAGCCTCCTTGTCCTTGGCACACCTCAGTTTCTGACCTGACATGTTCTGATAGAGCTGACTTAGGGCTAGTGTTCCTAAGTCAGTATTGTAACTGCCTGTGACTTTGACCCTCTGCCCTTGAGGCTAGTGACCCTTGGCCCTCTGATCCCACGCTCTCCCACTGATCCCTTCTGCTTTCCCCAATTCAGTGTGTGCCAGGGCCGACAGTGGCACTGCACGGGTCACCAATGCAGTGGACAGTGCCAATCTTCAGGTGCCCCTCACTATGTGACATTTGATGGCCTGGCATTTACCTTCCCTGGGACCTGCGAGTATCTGCTGGTGCGGGAGGTGGATGGGAGCTTTTCCATCTCTGCCCAGAACCTACCCTGTGGGACCAGTGGCCTTACCTGCACCAAGGCCCTGACTGTTCGTCTGGGGAACACCATTGTGCATATGCTCAGAGGTGCCTGGGGTGAGGGAATTGGGGGGGGGAGCTCGTGGGACAGCAAACACTTGCTGAGGAGAGGGGAACAGGAGCAGAGGGTGGACGATATCAGGGAGCGGAGTGGTCTGCACCAGACGGAGAGCTGATGATCTAGACTGCTCTCTACCCCAATGTGGTTTGTGTCTGGGCCTCAGTTATCTCATCCATACCTTCCCCTGTTTAGGAAGGGGGTGGCCAAAGGCCCCAAAGATGATCTAGGACGGCCCCCACAATATTTTCCTGATGTCTCTAACTGTACAGGTCGGGCAGTGACAGTGAATGGAGTGAGTGTGCGCCCTCCCAAGATCTACACAGGACCCGGGCTGAGCCTGAAACAAGTTGGTTTCTCCTTGTTGCTCACTGCTCGCCTTGGCCTCTCCTTGCTCTGGGATGGAGGTCAGGCCCCAACTCTTGACCCCTGACCTTTACTTCCACTTGACCCTCAGTTCTCAGTGTCTGAGCTCCCATCCTCATTTAGATTGGCCTCACCTCACTCTGGGATATAACAAGTACTTGAGCCTTATACCACCTTCTGGGTTCAGGCTGACATTGAGACTAAGGCTGGGATCTTGACTTCTGACTCCTGTCTCTATCCATCTTTCTTTTTGTTTTTTGGTGAGGCAGTTGGAGTCAAGTGACTTGCCCACAGTCACACAGCTAGTGAGTGTTAGGTGTCTGAGCTCGGATTTGAACTCAAGACCTCCTGAATCCAGGGCCGGTGCTCTATCCACTGCGCCACCTAGCTGTCCCTCTCTCCATTTTTCCCTGTAGTCTTCTAGCCAGTGTGACTTCTGGGTGCAACTAGAACCCTAAGTCATTTTTTTCCTGCTAAATCCATCTTGAGGAACCTCTTTTCCACTCTCCCCTTTACAAAAGTCCTGTTTTTAGTTGTAAAGACAGTCCCTTGCCTCTGGACCTCCTTTCCAAGGGGAAATCCAGAACTTTCTGCAGTCAAGTAACCCAGCCTACCTCCATTAAAAAACCCAACAATAATCCTTAGTGGTACCTTGCCTTTTCGATTTTATTGATGCCATGAAGATCACAACCACTATATCTTAGTTGATGTCTTACCAATGCGCTTAAGGCTCAGAGACTTGCCTGTAGTCTCCCAGAGGTCACCCTTGTCAGAGGTGAGACTTGAACCAATTCTTGACTTCAGGTCCCAAACCTTACAATGCCCACCTCACCATTTCTCTGCTGCCCCTGGTAAAGACTACAGACTGCTCATTTCTAAAGTCTCCCTGCTTTGCCTCTCCCCATGCCAGGCACACGGGTTATGATACAGTTGGTCCCCCAGTTCCGGGGCCGTGTGGCAGGGCTGTGTGGGGGACTTTGATGGTGATGCCGCCAATGACCTTCGGAGCCGTCAAGGTGTCCTGGAGCCGACAGCTGAACTGGCTGCCCACTCGTGGCGTCTCAGCCTCCTCTGCCCCGAGCCAAGCCTTGGGGACGTGCCCCATCCCTGCACTGTAAGAGGGAAATGGACATAATCCTATACTATCTATGAGATGGGAGAGGGGGTTAAGAGAGGAAAAGGAGAAGGTCAGGAAGGCCTGAGGCCATGGGAGGGGGGGATATCTAGGCATCATAGAAGGGGAAGTGTGTATGAGGGGACACAGCTGTGGCCCTCCCTCTTCTTCCTTGCAGGTGAATGCCCACAGGGTGGGCTGGGCCCGGGCCCGATGTGGGTGCTGCTTCAGCCACTCTTTGCCTCTTGCCATATGGAGGTACCCCCCCAGCAGCACTACGAGTGGTGTGTGTATGATGCCTGTGGGTAAGGAAGGGCTGAGATTTGGGGCGGGAAGGTCAGGTGAGGTTTGTCTATGTATTTGGCGGGCTGGGGATCAGGTGCTGAGACCATCTCTCTGGCAGCTGTGACTCAGGAGGCGACTGTGAGTGTCTCTGTTCAGCTATTGCTACCTACGCAGAGGAGTGTGCCCGTCATGGGCACCACACGCATTGGCGCAGCCAAGACCTCTGCCGTGAGTGCCTTTCTTCTTTCATGCCTGTCGTCTCTTACTCTCTTGCCCTCCTGGGGATGCTCCTTTCACCCAGGGCAGCCAGAACCACTCAGAATGACACTGGAATTGCTTAAGAATCTCTACTAGTTACTCCCAGCATTGACAAGGGTCAATGCCTGTGGTGCCCAGATTACCCAGTGCCTTCATGTCCTAAGGCCCATTGTTTCTAGTTTATCTAGTGCTCATAGGTTCTCATAATCCTGGGCTACTCTCACCTGGGTCTGTCTCTGATCTACACAGCTATACAGTGTGAGGGGGGTCAGGTCTATGAAGCCTGTGGCCCTGTCTGCCCCCCTACCTGCCAGAACCCTGGTCCTGAGCCTACGTGGCATTGTCAAACTGTGCCCTGTGTGGAGGGATGCTTCTGTCCTGAGGGCACTCTGCTTCATGGTATGTAGGACATGGGGCATAGAGCAGAAGAGATGGGCACCTCTGGTGGGAAGGGGGGAGGATACTCAGAGCATGGAGTGGAGGGCAGCTCTGATCATGGGTAGCGTTAGTGTCAGGAGTGGGAATGGGCAGGAACGACTGGGCAGCTGCCTACTAGATGCTTGACCTGGGTGGGGGCACACCATTCCCTTAAGCAGGAGACCTGGAACCTTGAGAGGGTTCCTTCCCTATCCCGTTTCTACATACTGCTCCTCCCTCAGGTGGGGTCTGTTTGGAGCCAGCTGCCTGTCCCTGTGAGTGGAGAGGCAACTTCTTTCCACTGGGAACCATGCTGCAGAGGGACTGTGGGAACTGGTGAGTGTATGGGGATGTATGTGAAATGGAGGCAGGCCAGAAATTGAGTCTTTGTGCCTATATGGAATTTCTGTACTTCTCTGCCACCACTGACCTCACTTACTTCCTTAGCACATGCCATGCAGGAGAGTGGAACTGTGGGGAAGCAGGTTCCCAGTGTAGGGAGATGGTGCTGGAATGTGCAGAGGGTGAAGTCCCATGCCAAGAGAGTGGGTACTGTGTGCCCCAGGAGTGGCTCTGTGACAACCAGGATGACTGCGGAGATGGCTCTGATGAGGAGGGTAATTCTGGGTCTGTGTCTACACGTGTGTAAGTCCTGGTGAATGAATGTCTCTGTGTGTGTATGCTTGGCCTGAGATACTGCTAGAGTACAGATCCCATCCCACTCCAATGCTCCCACTCCCAAGGGCTGTGAGTTTTGGAAAGTTAGCCTTAAGGTTTGTGTATGTGTGTGTGTGTGTGTTTGGGGAGGGGGAGGAGGTGTTGTTCCATTAGGAGTAGAAAGGGCTGAGGTCTTTCTTGGATGAGGGCTGGAGAACCCCTGTCTCGGGAGCTGGGGGCCTGACAGTGGGATCTCAGTGCCCCTGTGTGTGTAGGCTGTGCCCCTCCGGGCTGTGGAGAGGGGCAGTTCTCCTGTGGTGAAGGCCGTTGTCTGCCCTTGTCACTGCACTGCGATGGACGAGATGACTGTGGAGATGGGGCAGATGAGCATGGCTGCCCATGCCCCATGGGTTTCCTGCCCTGTGTTGATGGGCAGTGCCTGCCCCTGGCCCAGCTTTGTGACGGGCGTCCTGACTGTCCAGATGGTGCTGATGAGGAGTCCTGCCTGGGTAGGTGCCATTTTTCTAGCCCTTGGGCTCCATTCCACTGGGTACACCCTACTTGCTGCCCTAGGTACCGATCCATTTCTTAGGTCCCATCTTTTTCCCATGGGCACCATCTGTTCCAGTGTTCCAGATCAGCACAAGACCCTGTTCTGTTTTTCCCATGATGCCCACCCAAAGGTTGATATCCATTATGCAGATATGTGATGTTCTTTGGCAGGGGCTCATCCTTTGCCCCAGAGCTCACATATTCTGAGGGCTATGCATAATATGCACTGAATGGGCAGTAAGGCCCTAGTTCTTTCCTTGTTTGGCCACAGGATGGGAGAACTGTGGCCCTGGAGAGGTGCCCTGCTCGGATGGAACCTGTGTTGGCACTTCACAGCTGTGTGATGGGGCCTGGGACTGTGTAGATGGGGCAGATGAGGGACCCAAGCACTGCCCCTCTCCCCTTCTACCTACTCCCCCTGCTGATACCCCAACTGGACCCTCCATGGTCAACCTGGAGACTGGACCAACTTCACCGATCAGAGTCAGCAGGCCCGGTGAGGGGGTCTGGGGTAGGAAGAGCTGTGAGTTGGGGAGGGGGGAGACGGTGGTTCTGGTTAACGGGAAGAGAAAGAGGTAATAGGAGTGCAATGATGATAATATTACCTTAATACCATGATACTTATTAATATAATTAAAGCTGCATTTATATCACATGTACAACTTTTCCAGAATATTATCCATTCCCAATCTCCCTTCATCCTCTTGCTTCTCCTATAAGATAGGCAGGGGAGGTGGCAGCATTCCTATTGGATAGCAGAGGAAATGAAGTTGTGACTAGATTGCTGGAGTGGAAGTCAGAAGATTAGAGCCTTAGCCCTGTTCCTAAATTAGCTACATGACCTTGGGCAAGTCACTTCCCATCTCTGGGCCTCTTTTTCCTCATCTGCTAAATGAGAGGGTTGAATGGGGTTCTTGACCTTTTTTTTTGTGTCATGGACTCCTTTGGAAGTCTGGTGAAGCCTCTGGACCCCTTCTCAGAGCAATGCATTTAAGCGCATAAATTGTATCAAATACACATAAATGCATAAAATGAAATACATGGGATTACAAAGCAAACCAATGATATTAAAAGTTATTAATATATAATGTATGAATATATATCTATACAATACATAAACATATATATATATAATGTGTGTATATATGTATATATAGATATATATGTTAATGAGTTCTAGGTTTAGAACCTGTAGATTAAATCATTTCTAAGCCCCTTTCAGTTCTGTTACTCTGTGGTTCTATTAATTAGTGGAAGATATAGGACTAGAGCTCATATCTCCAGGCTCTCAATTGACTTTTTCCACAGGCTTTGCTGCTTCTGAAGAGAGAGCCTGTGCCCCAAGGAGATGGCAGTGATCTCCTATGATTCCAACTTCCTTCCTTCCCCCACTACTGGGGTCCCCTAGGCCTCCTAGGCCGACTCAGTCAATGCGAACCTTCACTGAGGGCTCATTGTATAACTGGCCCTATGCTAGACGTGCTAGAGGATTACAAGAAAATCTAAGGGTCACTGAGCCTCCCCACTTGGGTTCTAAGCCACAGCTGTTCACAGAACGTTAAAATAGGTAGTACCATGAGCAAGTGCCATGGAGGTTTCATCCCTTTGGTCTGGAGTAATGAGGGAAGGCTTTGTGAAGGTGGGATTTGAAATAACCTTTGGAAATTGTACAGGAGGGTGGGTGGGAGCTGTGTGGCAGTGATGGCAGGGCTGTGCAGGAGAGGAGGGGGTCTAAAGGGACATGGTGGGAGGCTATGTTGGAGAGTTCTCAGTCTGACCATAGGGACCTTGGAGTTTGGCCATGGGGAGCAAGCCTGTGAAGGTTGTTGAACATCAGAGTGACATGATCAGCATTTTAGAGACATTCGTATCATCATAGGACTGTAGACCTAGAACTGAGAGGGAACTTAGAGGTCATCTAGCTAAACCCTATCATTTTACAGGTGAAGAAGCAGAGGCCCAGACAAGTTAAGTAATTTGCCCAAGGTCACACTGGTTAGTAAGTAGTAAAGCTAGGATTCAAAACCAGCTTCTTCAGCTCTAAAGCCAGCATTCTTTCCACTGCTCCATGCTGATTCATGTGGCTATGGGGAGCTGAAGGGATTGGAGGAGAAAATATAGGCAGTGAAATCTGTTAGGAGACCATTTCAATGGTCCTGGTGTGAGGGAATGACACTGATTTAGGGGTTAGCAGCGGGAATGGGAAGAAGGGAAAACATGGAAGCAAAACCACAGAATGTCAGAGCTGGAAGGGACTATAGGTTATTAGTCCAATAGTCTTAAAATATTTTTTTTCTATATGAAGCGACTGAAGCCCTTAGAGGGGATGTGAGTTACCTGAGGCCTAAATGTCAGAGCCAGAAATTGAACACAGGCATCCTGGTTCCCAGTCCAGTCATCTTCCCACCACAAAATATGAAGATATGGCTCCTAACCTTGAGGAGCTTACATTCTAGTTAGACAGGGGTAAAACTCATGCAAATGAACTAGGGGAAATTATATGTTGTTTTCTGCCCATAGAACTATCCTGTGGTCACTATGAGTTCCGCTGTGGCAATGGTGAGTGTATACCTCGGGGTTGGCGCTGTGACCATGAGGAGGACTGCAAGGATGGCACCGATGAGCTGGACTGTGGGCAGCCCTGCCCCCCACATCATATGGCCTGCACCCTCAGCCTCCACTGTATACCCTACCTGCAGCTCTGTGACGGGACTGCCCAGTGCCCAGATGGCTCCGATGAAAGCTTGGATGCCTGTGGTGAGTAGCCTGCCCTTCACACTATCAGGGAGTTTTAACATGCTAGGAGCTACCCAAAGGCTTCCCAGTGTTTGATCTCCCAGTTCTTCTGGAAATTAAGATACCTTATCACCTACTGTCTTCCTTAGGGGGCACCCTCTGTCCTGGCACCATCCAATCTCCTTATCCCAGATCTCTTCAGCTTTCCTGGCCAGGACAGTCACTGAAAGGTGGGGTACAGAGAGGCACCTTCTGGATCTCAACCTTAGATCTCTCCCTTGAGTCCACTGCTTCAGCCTACTTTGACACGGTTCTCCTCTACCCTGAGTGTGGTTGAACAATATGGAAACTGGCTCTGTGCCCATAGGCTCCACCCAGTTGCCACCTTGTCCAGGGCTTTTCCCCTGTGGCTCAGCTCCCCGGCTATGCTTGAGACTGACTCGGCTCTGTGATGGAATTCCTGACTGCCCAGAGGGGGAAGATGAAGCGAACTGTGGTATGGATTCCTCCAGCCCTGATCCTTCCTCTCCCCAACAGTGAGGGCATAGAAGGGGGGCCAGAGTTTGTGGGCAGGGGGCTCGGGTGCTCATGAGCAGGGGGATGGCTTCTATGTCTGTGGACATTATCATTGACAAGAGGAATACCTCCCTGACACTTTATCCTATCTCCCTTCCCTTCCCTGGCCTTCCCTTCCCTGGCCTTCCCTGGCCTTCCCTTCCCTGGCCTTCCCTTCCCTTCCCTTCCCTGGCCTTCCCTTCCCTTCCCTTCCCTGGCCTTCCCTTCCCTGGCCTTCCCTGGCCTTCCCTTCCCTGGCCTTCCCTGGCCTTCCCTTCCCTTCCCTTCCCTTCCCTGGCCTTCCCTGGCCTTCCCTTCCCTTCCCTTCCCTTCCCTTCCCTGGCCTTCCCTGGCCTTCCCTTCCCTCCTTCCCTGGCCTTCCCTTCCCTTCCCTTCCCTTCCCTTCCCTTCCCTTCCCTTCCCTTCCCTTCCCTTCCCTTCCCTTCCCTTCCCAGAGAGGCTGCCATTCCCCACAACTCCTAACACGACTGGGGTTCCTTGCCCTGAATATTCCTGCCCAGATGGCCACTGTATCAGCTTTCAACAGGTGAGAGTCACGGGTATGGGGAGTCACTCTGGTCATTCCTGCCTGATCTCTGACCTGCACATTGACCTTTTACCTTCTGCCCATCTTGTCCCCCTCCCCTCCCCACCCTCAGGTGTGTGATGGACAGCCTGACTGTGAGGTGAGGGATGGGCTGAGGCCATCCTCTGAGGAGCAGGGCTGTGCCACATGGGGATCCTGGGCCCCATGGGGGCTGTGCAGCCAGACTTGTGGGGCTGGGGTGCAGGCTCGCAGTCGCCAGTGCTTCCCCCCTAGTCTCCCTGTGCTTCAGCGCTGTCTAGGCCTGGAACACCAAACCCGGGCTTGCTTCACTGTTGCCTGCCCTGGTGAGTGTGGGCCCTAGGGCATGAGGAAGGAGGCTGGGAATGTGATCTGATGGAAGCCTTCCAGAGTATGAGGAAGAGGGGCTCAGCAGAACCCAGGGGATGGGGAAAATCTGGTGAAGGGAGAAAAGGGAAGAGGTAGAAGGGGTTTCTTGAGGCCTTTCTGACTGGAGCTCCCCCTCCTTTGTCTCTGTTCACCATGCCCTCCCTTCCTACACTTTCCCCTTCCTGCTCATTCTCCTCTTCTCCCTGGTTCCAATATCCTTATATCTTTCTGCTATCACTCTTGCCCTTCCCTTGACTCTCTCCCTTTCCACAGAGGATGGTGAATGGGGTGACTGGTCCCCCTGGTCTGAATGCTTGGAGCCATGTAGGGGGGTTGTGGCTAGACATCGGGTCTGCCACCCACCCCAAAATGGTGGCCGGACCTGTGCCACATTGCCTGGGGGCCCCCACAGCACCCTCCAAACCAGTGAGTGCCCACCTAAGGGGTAGGGACATGCCAGTGGGATAATGGCTAGAATTTGGGCAATGGGCTGCAGTAGTAAGTGTATTGAACTTTAAATTAGGAGACCTGAGCTCGAAATCTGGCTCTTATACTGGTTAGTTCTATGACCAAAGGCAAATCACTTAGCCTATCTCAGCCTCAGTTTTTTTAATTGAAAAAGGAGATAATAATACTTATACTAGTTACCCTACAGATTCTTTATCAGGAAATCATGACAGAAATATACTTTATTATTATTATTATTATTATTAATTTTCATGGGACAATTGGTTGGGGGACAATTGGTTGGGGGAAAGGGGGTGTTTTTTGGACTTTTTCTATCCTCAATATATCTTCTTGTTTTTGCTTCTGACCAGAGGCATGCTCACAGGATGGCTGTCCCAATGTCACCTCATGTCCAGGAGAACTGGTTCCCAAGCCCTGTGCCCCTTGCCCTCTGAGCTGTGCTGACATCTCCAGCCAGGTGAAGTGCCCATCTGACCGACCCTGCAGTCCAGGTACTGTGCTCATGGGCAGGGACTTGGGGAATGGCATTCAGCACCACTCAGCCTACTCTTTGGCCCTCTGGGGCTGATAGTTGTCTTAAGTGTCCTTCTGTGCCTACCTATCCCTCAGGCTGCTGGTGCCCTGAAGGTCAGGTCCTGGGCATTGATGGACAGTGTGTGCGACCCCGGCAGTGCCCTTGCCTGGTGGAAGGTACCCTCTATTGGCCAGGGCAGCGGGTCAAGATCAACTGCCGGCTCTGCACATGTCAGGATGGCCGGCTACGTCGATGCCAGCCTAACCCTGACTGTGCTGGTGAGATATACCCAGAATTGTTCCTACATATGCCACTCCTGACCCCTCACCTCATGGCTCCTGGCACCTTGGGAGCCTGGTATCTCTTCCTCAAACAGTCCTCTATTACACTGGATCCTTTGCCTGGGATTTCCTCCTAGGACCCTCTACTCTAGGACCTAGGCCATTCTCCCTGACCTGACCCCTTCCTCCTAACTGCTGGGGCCTTCCTCTCCTGACTCAATCTTTTCAAACTGATTTTGGGTCATCTATCCCTAACCCTTGTGAACTAATCTTTAGTGAACTGTGGCTGGTCATCTTGGTCCCCATGGGCTGAGTGTCCAGGCCCCTGTGGGAGCCAGAGCATCCAGTGGTCCTTCCGAAGTCCCAGCAACCCTAGCCATGTGGGTCGTGGTCACCAGTGCCGAGGCATCTACCGAAAGGCCCGAAGGTAACTCCTGCCTGTGTAGGGATATCATCATCCTGAAAACACTACACCTAAGCTACCCCCAAATACCTGAACCCCCCAAATATAAGGAAGCCCCATACTAATACCATCAAATGTTGGAACTTATTTAGAGATAATACCTGTACTCCAAAACATGGGAGCATCAAGGCATAGGGATCACAATATCCACAATTAGGGGAACTGCCAAATACCAGGACCCAAAAACCTACTTGGGCCCCCATTTTCCTGTCCCCTCCCCCAAAAGGATTGCTGGTCTCCTGAGATTCCAGCCCAGGGTATTTGTTAGCCCATAGACAAATCTCAATAAAGCTAGGATCAAAGGCCATTCTGTTCATCTAAGGCCTCTTCCATGTCTAAATCTATGCTCCTATGATCAGGTTGTCTATCTTTCTGTCTGCCTCGATTCTCTTTTATGATCCATTAGGAGAAAACCAGGAAGAAAAAGAGAGGATCTAGGTAGAATGGGGTGAGAGTAGATTGGACTGAAAGATGGCGAGAAGAAAGACATGGAAAATCTTGAGTTATGGAACTGTTTGACACAATGTTCATTTGCATGTTTGATATTTGTATTCATTCATTCATTCATTCATTCATTCATCTGTCTATTTATTTACTTATTAATTACTTTTTTACTTACTCATTTATTTTTTCATTCATTCATTTTTTACTTATTTATTTATTCATTCGTTCATTCATTTCACTCATTTATTTACTTTATTCATTTATTTATTTGTTTGTTTGTTCATTTATTTATTTATTTATAAGGCAATTGGTGTTAAGTGACTTGCCCAGAGTCACACAGCTAGTAAGTGTTACGTGTCTGAGGCTGGATTTGAACTCAGGTGCTCCTGACTCCAGGGCCGGTGCTCTATCCACTGCACCACCTAGCTGCCCCCTGTTCCTTGTCTTGAAATTGGCCTGGAGTCCATAGGGTGGGGAAGCCCACTTGGCTGTGTGGATCCTCATGGATACCACAGCTTTCTCCTTCCTTCCCCCCACCAGGTGTCAAACAGATCCCTGTGAGGAATGTGAGCACCAGGGGAGCACACACAGAGTTGGGGAACGCTGGCGTTGGGGCACGTGCCAGGTGTGCCAGTGTCTTTTCAACCACACAGTTCAGTGTTCACCCTACTGTTCTTTGGGAGCCTGCCCCCAGGTGAGGGCAAGGAAGGCCTGGCATTACCTGGGAAGAAGGAGGGAGTAGATGCTTCGGTGGGGTGTAGAAGCTGAGATGGTGAAAGTATAGGCTGGCAGTAGGGAGAAAGGGAGATAGAGGCAGGGGGTGTTGGTGACAGACTGAGTGTAGTGGGAGATGGCAGAGATGGAGGAGAAGAAGTGAGATTCCTTATCTGTAAAATGAGAGGATTGGAACAGATGCCCTCTGAGGTCCCTTCCAGCTCGACATCTATGACCCTGTGAGCCTGGTGGGTTTTAGAGCGTGTCCCCCATTTTATATCTAACTCTCGTTTCTCCACAGGCGTGGATGCTGGTGGAAGGAAAGGGAGAATCATGTTGCCACTGTATTCCTGTTGGTGAGTTGGACTGGGGGTAGAGGGTTACAGAGGAGAATTTGAGGATGGGGAGAACGTGAAGGACTGGGAAAGGTCTTTGGGTGAAGACTCCTCATCCCTACCCAGTCCCCAGGGAAGCATTAGGATGTAGAGGAAGAAGACTGGCTTGGGATTCCAGAGATCTGAGTTCTATGGAAGAATCCTGGGCAAGGAGAGAAATAGTAATGTATAGCAACTTCTCCCGGACCACGAAGCACTCCCAGATTTCCCTGGCTTCTGGGCGCCCATCATCACTGCTCTAATTTTGATTAGATGAGAACCAAGATCAGAGAATGCCCCTCTCCTTCTGCCATGCCTTTCTCCTTTAGCTGAAGGGAACACCACCAGAACCCCCTTTCCATCTTTGCGTGGGACTTCACACACATAAACCACTGAGGGTTTATTTTGAAAAATAATTGCTGTGGCAAACCAAAGATGAAAGACATATGAGACAGACCATTCTATGGCATGTACAAATCTGGCTTTCCACCCTCCCCCCACCCCCATTCATTCATTCATTCATTCATTCATTCATTCATTCATTTGGATCAGTCTTAGCTTGCCTTGCTGGACAAGGTGAGTGTGCAAATCCACAGAATGTTAGTGGTTTGGGGCTTGTCCGTTTTAATACAAAATGTTCTTATTTTGGTCATACCTTTTCAGATCAAAGCTTTTTCTTCTTAGAGCAAATTTATTAATTAATGAGACATTCAGTATTTCCATTAATTTATGAGGAAATGTCAGATATACTCCCTTGATTGACTGAGCCCAGACAAAAATTAATAAGAAGATGAACCAATAGTGGGTAGACAGTGGTGAAGTTTAGGTGTAGTTGTTAGCTATTGCATATATAGCTCCAGGAAGAGCCCATAGGCTACATGTGTGGGATTTTGTTCCTGGTTTCAGCCGATTAGTTATATGACCTTGGACAAGTTACTCACCTTCTTTCAACCTCAGTTCCCTCATCTGACAAATAGGGCTAATAACTTCTCAGGGTTTAGTATGAGAATCTAGTAGTGGAAATGACAATGTTTTGAGAAGTAGAAGCCATATCTAGGGGAAAAAGTTTCCTGAGTATTGGATAGTGTATGTAGTGTAATAGAAAGAAAACTAGGTTTTATTAGAAGACCTATCTTAGAATCTGAAATAGCTGGGTGATCTTGAGTAAGTTTCTTCATCTCATTTTTTTTTTATCTGTAAAATAAGGGGGTTGGATTAGGTGATCTATATAGTCTTGTCCTACTCTAGATGTCTCTGTGTGACCTAAGGGCCTGGGGGGCTGAGAGGCCTTGAGATGTCCCCATCTTAACTCTCAGGTTTATCTTTGTCTGCTAGGAGAGAATGGAACAGCTGCTCCTATGACCATGTCATCGCCTTTTCCCAGTCTTCAATCAGAACCCAGTCTTCCCACCTACCCACTACCTGCACCTGGAGGTGAAGACCAGATGCTTTTGTGGGAGAGGCAGGAGGAGGCTGCAGGAGGATAGGGCTGGCCTGAGATGGGGGCTAGGGTTTAGTGTCTAATTCTCCATGGGAGTGCTGGGTACTGAGGAGCCTGGAGTGAGCCTGCTGTTCTGGTTGGTATATTCATAGTGTGACTGCTCCCATGCCCTTCTCTGGGTTTTCTTGGATTATCACTGTGCCTCAGATCTTATGGCCCAGAATCCATCATGTCTTCTGGACTGTCCCCACTGCTCTCTCTCTCTATCCTGACCTGTGTCTTTCCCATCCTCTCAATGTTTCTGCCAGATGTCCTTAGGCTCTCTATACCAGCAGTGTCTCTTCAGTCCCCTGGACTTTCTCCATCCAATATCTGTCCTTTCCTCCAGACCCTTGCTACTCCCCACTGGGCTTGTCAAGGCTCCCTTCTAGCAGTCTAAGGGCATCATCTGAACATCCTGAACACCCGGCCTGGGCTGGTCGTCTGGGGTCCTTGGTGTTGGGGCTGGAGCCTCAAGGGTGGAGTCCCAGGGAAGACGCCTATGCTGAGCTACATATCCATCCTCCTTTCCTTCAGATGGACTTGCTAAGGCCCCGAAACCTCACTGGTCAGTGGGTGAAGGGTTGGAGGACTGACTTGGGGAAGGGGCAGAACTTAGGGGAAGAACAAGGGCTGAGAGGGCAGAGGAGTAGGGGTGGGGGGTCAGAAGTCCAGAAGGAGGATCAAAGGAGTTGGGGGGAGTGGATGAAGGGCAGTGGAATAGGCAGAGGTGGAAGACACAGGAGAGTGTGCTGGGAGAGCCCTGGAGGATGGCCAGGGCCTCTGACAGCCCCTGATTTCTCCCTGGCCTCTCGTCAGGTGTCCTGGTCCAGGGTGCTGGCTCCTCTGATGCCTATGTCACCAGCTTTTCACTCCAGTTTAGTGTTGATGGGCGTCACTGGCATGACTACCATGAGGTTCTGCCAGGCATTCTGCCTACACCCAAGGTACCCTCGCTTCAGTCCTCTCATTCCTCACCTTCGTGAGGCTTGCTTAACTAACTGGTTTTCCTGCCACCAATCAATTCATCAAGGTGACTGATTCCCCTCTGAGGTGCAGCCCTGGGGTAAACACTGTGGGGAGTGATCCCTGTCCTTGAGAAACTTACAATTTATTTAGGGATAGGGAGCGCAACAAAAGAGTGACATAGACAGCCTTTAAGTGCTAAAGGACTTCAGAAGAGAGACAAATTACCGAGCACTGAGTGGTCATGGAGGAAGAGAATTTGAGCCAGTCTTTGAAGGATGACTAGGAGCTCGATAAACACTTACTGTGCAAGTGCTATGATAGGGGTGGTTGTTGGTGTTGTTGAATTGTTGTTCAGTTGTATCGGACTCTTCGTGACCCCATTTGGGGTTTTCTTGGCAAGGATACTGGTGTGGTTTTCCATTTCCTTCTCCAGCTCATTTTACAGATGAGGAAACTGAGGCAAACAGGGTTAAGTGCCTGGCCCAGTGTCACAGAGCTAGTAAGTGTATGAGGCCAAATTTGAACTCAGAAAGATGAATCTTCCTGACCCGAGGCTGCAGCTCTCCATCCACTTCGTCACCTAGAATCTGCAAAGACGAAAATAAAACAGTCCATGTACTCAAGTAACTTAATTCTACAGGGAAGGTATGATGTACCTGAATAAATAGAAATGCAATTTGAGGAGTGAGTACATTAACAATGGGGAAGGGGATCAGGGGATGTTTTCCATAGGAAGTTGCACTTGAGCTGTGCCCTGAAGGAAGTTAAGGGGAGATGAGGAAGGAGCGTATTACAGGAAATCTGGTATGGTTTGTGGAAATGTATGGCAGTGGGAAGTGGAATGGCGATTTGGGAAACAGTCAGTAGTCTAGTTTCATTGGAACACAGAGCATGTGAAGGGTAGTAATAGGAAAAAAGGGTGGAAAGGTAACTCGGATCGAAATTGTTGAGAGCATCACGTGTCAGCCAAAGAGTCTGTGCTTGATTTTAGAGGCAATGGGAAGCCATTGAAGTTTTCAGGGAGGAGTAACATAGTCATACCAGTGCCTCAGGAATAGTATTTGGAAAGCTGCCTGGAGAATCGAGAATAGAGAGACTGGAAACAGGGAGACTATTACAGGAAACCATTACAATGAAATAAAAAACTATTACAACAAAATAAAACAAAACTAAACAGGAAACTATTGAAATAGTTTTTTTAAACTATTAACTATTATTAACTATTAACTATATATTAACTATTAACTATTAAACTGTTATTTTTTAAACTATCAGTTTTTAGAACTGGTGAGGGACTGAGTGAGAGTGGTGACTATATGAATGAAGAGGAGATAGATTCAAGAAAGGACGTGGAGATAGAGTTGACCAGATTTGGTGATCCATTGAATAGCTAGATAGAGTGAAGGAAAGGCCCGTGTCGTTGTTGGACTTGGGCACCGGGGATGATGATGGTGACCCTCAAAAGAAACAAGGAAATTTGGAAGGTGTTTAGGTAGAAAGATGATTAACATTTTGGACATGTTATTTTGGGATGCCAGTGAGCATCCAGATAGAGACATCCAGCAGGCTGTTGGTGATGGGGAACTAGACTTCAAGATATATATATACATACATACACATACATACGTATACACACAGACACACACTGCTAGGTGGCTGCTAGGTGGTTCAGTGGGTACAGCACCAGGCCAGGAGTCAGACAGACTTGCATTCAAATCTGGCTTCAGACACTTAATACCTGTATGACTCTGGGCAAGTCACTTAACCCTGTTTGCCTCAGTTTCCTCATCTGTAAAAATGACCTGGAGAGGGAAATGGCAAACCACTTCGGTATCTTTGCCAAGAAAACCCCAAACAGGGTCATGAAGAGTCCGACATGACTGAAATACTAAAAAAAATGTACTATGTGTATATAATAAGAACTTATTTTGGCAGGATAGATGGAGAGCCAGCTTTTGAGTCAGGAAGACAAAGGTTCAAGTCTTGCCTATAACACCTAGTGATTATGTGACCCTTAACCTCTCAATGCTCCAGGCAACTTTTTAAGACAGTGGGTTGCAGAACAGGTGGTGACTTGTGCTGGTAGAGGGAGTTTCCTCACCTTATACCAAAGAAGTCACAGGTTTAATCCCTCTCCAAAAGTATGCATGCATGCATGTGTGTGCGTGTATAAAATTTTCAGTCTAATTTGATATATTTATATTCTAACCATAATCTCTTTTCTGAACTTCAGTCTCTTATTGTCAGTTGCATGCTAGACATCTCCATCTGGATTTATATTTACATAGAGAATACATGTGTATGTACAGTTATTGTCTCTAGTGTTATCTATGTGGTGATGATAACTGAACCCACAGGAGCTGCTGAGATCAATAAGGGAGAGGAGAAAGAGGGTCTAAGATGAGGCCATAGGGGACACCCATGGGTAGGGAGGGGTTGGGAGATGTTATGATGAACTAGGAAAGAAGAAACTGTTAAGAATATAGGAAGAGAACAAGGAAGGAGAAGTGTCTCAGAAACCAAGAGAGGGGACAGCTAAGTGGCACAGTGGATAGAGGACCAGCCCTGGAGTCAGGAAGACCTGAGTTCAAATGTGACCTTCATACACACGTGTGACCCTGGGCAAGTACTTAATCCCAATTCTCTGCCCCCCCCCAAAAAAAAAGAAACCTAGGGAGTATAGAGGATCCAGGAGGAGGTGCTGATCAGCGGTATCCAGAATTGTAGACAAGCCAGGGAGGATGAGGACTGGGAAAAGGTCATTGGATTTAGCAGCTGTATCTGTTGATACAGAGAGGAAAGATGGAATGTCACGTAGGAGAAGTAGCAAGGAAGCCCGTCCGGCTGCAATGCAGAGAGCGGAAAGGGGAATGATGGGTAATAAGTCTGTCAGAGTAGGGTGAGGCCCGTGTGTGAAAGATTTTTAATGCCAAACAAAGGAGGTAGAATTTTATGCAGAGGCAATAGGGGGCTATTAGAGCTTTTCTAAATCAAGGAGTAAGGTGGTCAGACCTGTGTCTTAGTTAGGAATAGCATTTTGACAGCTGTGTGCAGGATCGATTTGAGAGAGAGAGGGAGAGAGAGAAAGAGAGAGCGCTAATGCAGAAGCAAGGAGATCAATTAGGAGCCCATTGCAAAAGTTCAAATGAGAGGTGATGAGGGTGTGAACCAGGGTGGAGGCCATGTGCATGGAAAGAAGGAGACAGATGTGAGGGAGATGTTGAGAAGGTGGAATCAACAAGACTTGGCAACCGATTGCATGAGGCAGGGGATAACTCTGAGGTTGAGAAGGTTGGTAACTGGAAGGAGGGTAGTACCCTCAACAGAAATAGGGAAGATGGGAAGAAAGGTGGGGTTTTTTTTGGGAAAAGATAATGAATTTTGTTTTGGACATGTTAAGTTTGAGATGCCTATGGGACTTCCAGTTGGAAATGACTGGTAGATAGTTGGTGATGAGCTCAGGAAAAGACTAGGCCTAGATAACATAGATCTGGAAGTCATTTACATAGAGATGATAATTAAACCTATGGCATTTGGGGAATATCTATAGTTAGGGGTAGGACATGGATTGACCTATCAAGAAACTGTGTGAAGGAGCAAATAGACAGAGGAAAGAGTGTCCAGGAGGTGCTGAAATGTTGTAGAAAGGTCAGGAAGTATGAGGACAGAGGACAAACATGGGAGAGCAACTTGAGGAGATCGTGGGATCATGGGAGAGTTTTTTTTTAAAGTTGGGGGAGACCCAGGCATGTCTGTTGGCAGAAGAGAAGGGTATGGAGAGACTGAAGATTAGAGGAAGAGAGAGGATGACTGCAGGGGCAATGTCAGAGGAGACACAGAGGGGTGGGATTAAGTATATAAGTAAGGAAGGATAGAAGGATAGAAGATTAGCACTAGGGGCTGAAGTATTCAAGACCATGGAGGTGGAAAAGTAAAGGGTGATGTGGTGATCTAAAAACTATGATCATCTCAGTAGGTTACTGAGCTTGAGTGAAAGCCTGTTGTGGGTGAGCTGAAGTCTAGCATAGTAACTGGTGCATAGCAAGTGCTTAATAAATGTTTATTGATTGATGGGTGCTGAGGAAGTTGATGACTTGGGAGGCCAGGGTGTTTGAGAGGACACTAACATCTGTATTAAAATCTCCAAGCATGAGGACAGGATTGGGGTGTTGAGGAGGAATGTGAGACAGGTATTGAACTCCTTGAGAAAGAGAAGAAGAGTGGCCAGTATATTATGGTAGCAAGAATCTGGGAGATGGATGGAATCTCAAGGGAGGAGAGGTTTCAGAGTGATGGTGACAGAGGAAGGGCCTGGAAGTGGCAGAGGGCACAAGGAGCAGGTTGACTTTTCCTCCTGGCCTAGCGTTTTGGAAGAGGGGCATGGGAAAAGAAGCAATCCAGTCTGGTGAGAGTGGCCAGGGGATGTAGTAGTTTCTAAAGAGCTGGGTTTCTGTGAATGCCAGGAGATAGAGTGTCCTATGAAAAGGGCTAGGGAGAAAGGGAATTTGTTATTATAGAGTATGTGGGGGGCCTATATCACCTGTGCTGGGTCTTTCCTCACTCTAATAGGTCTTCCCAGGGAACTGGGATGACTCCACACCTGCGGTGAGGACTTTTGGCCGGGTTGTGCAAGCACAGCATGTCCGAGTACTACCCCGAGACTTTCATCACAGCATCTTCCTGAGGGTGGAGCTGCTGGGCTGTGATCCAGGTATGAAGAAGTGTGTGTGAGTGTGGATGGGGAGAAGATCTAGGAGCCATTATTGAGTAGAACCCTAGCAAGGCTCCCCTCCTTATATCTACCCTGCAGTGTCCACTCCAGTGGTGCCACCATGTCCAGGAAATGAATTCCTCTGTGCCAATGGCGTGTGTATCCCATCGGAGGCTGTGTGCAATGGTGTAGAAGACTGTGGAGATGGCTCTGATGAAGAGTACTGTGCTGCCCTTCTTTCAAGTACTGCCAGGTACAATCTGGGCACTGCCATCCCACCCAACCACAGGAATTTCCAGGGATGGAGTGTGTGCTGCCATTCTGCTCATGGGCATCGTCAGGTTTTGCATATGCCTAACCATGGAAAAAGAGCCAAGGGCTTGAGGGTGGAGTCGGAGGCCTGGAGTGGCTGACTTGAGGTTCCTTCATTCCTTTCAGGCCCAGAGACCATACCCCATCGGTCTTTCCTGCCCACCTGATGCGCCCAATTCCCTGGACCAAGGAGGTGAGAAGCCAGAAGCCTAGAGACATAATGATGGAGGCATTGGGAGAAGGAAGAAGCTTCCCATGCCCACATTCCTGTCCTCCAGGAAGCTTTCCTTGATTAACCCTTCCTGATCACCTCTTTACTCTGTCTCTGTTCTACACTCACTGGTAGCTGAGGCAGCGGGTGGTGCAGTGGATAGAGCACTGGCCCTGGAGTTAGGAAGACCCAAGTTCAAATCCACCTCAGGTACTTACTAGTTATGTGACTCTGGGCAAGTCGCATCACCTCTGTCTTTCTCAGTTTCTTCAACTGTAAAATAGGGATGATAATAATAATAGCACATTCCTCCCAGGGTTGTTGTGAGGATCAAATGAGATTGTATTTGTAAAGCGTTTAGCTCAGTGCCTGGAACAAAAGAGGTGCTACGTAAATGTATATCTCTCCCTTCCAGTCCTGTGCTAAAATCTTAGAATTGTAGATTTAGAGCGGGAAAGCAAGAGGTAATATAGCCCATTGCCCTTATTTTACATGTGAGGAAATTGGGACTCAGAGAGGCTGACATCCTCCGAGGTGACATAGAGGTCACACAGGTAGCGGAGCCTGAATCCATCCCGAAGATGCTGCCTCAACAGTATGCATCTGCCCCGATGCACCCAAGCAGCCTCAGTCCCAATGCCTCCACTTCTCTGTCTGCATTTCCACTCCCTCGGCTCCATTTGGCTTCCTCCAGCTTCCCTGCTTCTGGCTTTGTTCTTCTTCTGTTCATCCTGTCAGGAGCTGGGCTCCTCTTCAAGTTCTCTCCTGGACGTACAAAAATGGACTTTTCAAGGTCACCCAGAGGCATGTTCCATCATTCTTCATCCTGTCTTCTTTGTTTTCTTTCTGATTCATCCCAGGGACCAAGATGAGCTTTCTAAAGAGATCATCCAGCACAACTGCATCTTTTACAGTTAATTTAACTCAGGGGTGTGCTGGTAAATGTTTGACAACCAGCTTTCTGAAAACGAAAGACACATTTTAAAAAGTTTAATCTGTATTGTTGACATCTTCTCCATGTCTTTCTTCAATATGGACAAAACAATAAGCCAAGCTCTGATTTGTGGCATTTTGATGAATTCGGAGGAGTAAATGTTCATACGTGAAAATTTAACAATCAGTTCTGGGGAACTGGTTAGAACTGGCTGTAGCACACCCCAGTACCTCCTTGTGGTTGCTTTTCTGTTCTTGGGTGCTGGACTTTTAGGAGTCACTTCCTTATGCTAGGAAATAGTTCCTGTTTTCAGGGTGCTGGCAGTCTGGTTCAGGAGACAAGATCATAGATTGATCAGGCAGCTGCAAGAGAGCTTAGAGATCACTTAGGTCAACCTCCTCATTTTACAAATAAGGAAGTAACTCATCCAGAGTCAAATAGGTAATAAGCAGTAGGTCCAGGTCTCAGAACCAGGTGCTGTGATTGCAGATGCAGCATTTTCTTCTGCATCTTTATGCATATAAACACCCACACAAATAGATGTGTATGTATGTGATATATAGAGCTATATACACAAATACACATATACGTACGTGTGTCTCTATGCACATATTATATAGATAGAAAACCTATGCATGTACAATATGTGTGTGTGTGTATATATATATATATATATATATATATATATATATATGTAAAACACTATATCTATAAAACTATATCTCTACATAAAAAACATGAAGGCGGCACAGTATATAGAGTGCCAGGAAAACCTGAGTTCAAATCCAGCCTCAGACACTTACTATCTGTGTCACCCTAGGCAAGTCATTTAACCCTGTTTGCCTCAGTTTCCTCATCTGCAAAATGGGCTAGAGAAGGAAATGGCAAACTACTCTAGTATCTTTACCCAGAAAACCTCAAATGCCCCTAAGAGTTGGGCATGACTGAAATGATTCGACAACAACAACAACAACAACAATATATCTGTATGTGTATATATGGATATATGTGCATATATCTACATGTATGTGTATGTATGTGTGTGTATGCCCACACACATATTTTAGTGTTGAAAAGGTAGTTGAGCGGTATTGCGCCAGTTTAGAGGACAAAGTAGATATGCCCTGGAGAACAGTGGGAATAGGTCCCCATAACTTTCCTGTGAGTCGCCTGAGGGCAGAATGCCTTCCCTGATCAGAGGTGGGCTAGTGGTAGTGTTGACTGACTCAGGGTAGGCTAGTTTTCATGTGTCTTCCTGGTCTGGGACAGAAGCAGTGATGCATAAGAAGGATAAGTGATTGGGGCGGGGTGGTTAGAGGGATGAGCAGTGAGACCATAGAGATGGGGAGATTACTCCTTAGGGCTTCTGATCAGAATGGCAGTTGGTACAGACACACCAGCCCACGGACACATGGACAATGGGAGAACTGGAATCAGGGCCAGGATTTGGGGGTTGAACTCTTTTTCTTCCTAGGGTCCATTGGATACTGAAGCCTGGAAACCTGGACAGGGGTCTTCTATTCCTACCATAGGTAATAATGATGGCTTTTATTATAGTGGTTTCTAAAAAACGCTTAAATTAATTGATTTATTTTGTTTATGACATTACCTTCATTTCCAAATCTGTCTCCCCACCTTCATCAAGGAAATTGTTCTTTACAACAAAAGCTAGATAAGAAAGAGGAAGTGGGAAAAGCAGTTCTAATTCTTTTGTTGTGCCGAGTACAGGATTTCATTTGGCTCTTACCACAGTCCTATGAGACAAATGCTATTGCTATCCTTATTTTTATAGAGGAGGAAAATGAGAGAAGTTAAGTGGCTTTGCCCAGGGTCATACAGCTAAGTATCTAAGGTCAGACTTGAACTCAGGTCCTCCTGACTCCAGGCCACTGCTCTATCCACTGAGCCACCTAGCTAATCTAAAGCAACATCTCTCAGTTCCTTTCTTCCTGGTGTTTAAATGTTTCCTTGCGGGGTCCCAGCTTGGCTAAACTCTTGTCTTTGCTTATCACAGGGACAGAACCAGGCCTTGGCCCCCTCCCAGAAGGCATTTTTCCAGCTTCTGAATCTCCCTACCCGAGTACAAAGGAGACAGTGCCTGAGTCCCTCACCTCCTTGCCACCAGGGGCACAGCCTCTTCAGCCCAAAATTGCTGCAGTGACTGTGCTCACCCCACATACTCTGCCCACCATAGGTAATACTCATTTCTTACGTTGGTATAGACGTCATGGCAACAGTGGCCCAAATTTGTATGGTGTTTTCATGTCATGCTCTCATTTGTTCCTCACAATAAGTAGGTGGGTGGACATTATTCCCATTTTATAGATGAGGAAACTGGGGGTCTGAGAGGTTAGATGACTTGCCCAAAGTCTCACACTTAATAAATGGCAGAACCAAGACTAGAATTGGTTATTTCCTGACTCCTGATCCCAGGATCCCGTGTCCTCCAGGATGATAAGGAGGGAGAGAGGGTGAAGATAGGGACAAACTGGGCACTTGACCCCACTGAAACCTTGGACCCAGGATAGTTGAAGGGAAGTAGTGATTAAGGGAGGTGGCTCCTGCTTGCAGACTGAATGGGACTGACATGTTGCCCCCAGGTCCAAGCACTACCCGGTGGTCACCCTTCCCCCGAGTTTTGTGCAGCCCAGACCAGGTTCCCTGTGAGTTCCTAGGTTGTGTGGACCCCAGGCAGGTGTGTGATGGGCAGGAGGACTGTCTCGATGGCTCTGATGAACTACACTGTGGTAAGCATGGGGTACTGGGGGGAAGAGGTAAGGGATGGGAGTTAGGGACAGGCAAAATTTTTTTCAAAAGCTTTGCAGAAAATAATTCCCCCCCCCAAAACCTGAGACCACATGACTGGTACTATATTGTAAATTCCATGAAGGCAGGTACTGGGGCTTATCTGCACACAGTAGTCACTTAATAAATAATTATTGAGTGAATGAATACATTTTTAGGCTAGTGTAGATGTGAGAAAGAAAGTTAAGAGTTCTTTTCTCATTTTCATCTTCCAGAGAAAGGGAATGGCAAATGATCCCGATTGGGATGAGCTAGGTAGAGGAAAAAGCAACCTGAAATGAAAGGGAGTTGGCCGACTGTAGCCTGTATCATGAGCCATATGTGCTCATGATAATAATGATGATGATGATGATGATAACAGACACTTATATAGTGCTTACTATGTGCCAGGCACTGTGCTAAGCACTTTATAATTATTATCTCATTATATCTTCACAACAACCCAGGGAGGTAGGTGCTATTATTGTTTCCATTTTACAGGTGAGGAAACTGAGGTAGAGGTTAAGTGACTTGCCCAGGGTCACATAGCTAGTAAATGTTTAAGGCTGGATTTGAGTTCTTCCTGACTCTGGCCCAGAACTCTAGTCAGTATTCATTCATTCAACTATTTATTGAACACCTGCTACTTGTAAGGTGCTCTATACCATGGTAGATTCTGAGGAAGCCCGGAAGCTAAAGGGTCGATCGCAGGCACGAGATATTGTTGGGGAAGCTGTCGTAGCATGATAGACTCACAGAATGTCAGTGCTGGAAGGGACCAGAGAAATATGATGAAAACAGCTCGGGATCTGAAATCGGAAGTCCAGTGATTGAATTCCTGGCTGTGTGACCTTGGATAAGTCACTTCAACCCAATTCAATTACACATTTACTAAGTGCTTCCTATATGAAGACATAGTGTTAAGTTCAGGGGAGATGAAAACAAAACTGAAACCGTTCCTGCCTTCCAGGATCTTCCATGCTTTTGAAGGGAATACAACATGTCCATAGGTAAGCCACTAAATAGAATAGACAGAGATAGATGATACATTTCAGCCTGAGCTTTGGAGGAAGGAATTCTCTGAGGCCAAGGGGAGTCCAGGTATAAGGGACAGATGGTTTGTGTGAAGACAAAGAGGAAGGATATGGATTGTCATGTACAGGGAATAAATGGCCAGCTAGAAGGCCAGCTTGACCACAATGGAGAATATGTGACAGGGATGTAAAATGAAATAAGACTAGAAAGGTAGGTGGGAGCCATACTGTGGAGAGCTTTGCATTCTAGGCTAAGGATTTTGTGTTTGATACCAGAAGCTGTTAAAGATTAAAGCTACTTTAATGGCTATTAAAGCATTGAAGATTTTTGAGTGAGGGAGTGACATGGACAGATTTGTGTGTTAGGAATATCAATTTGGAAGCTGTGTGGAAGATAGATTGGAAAGGAGAGCCTGGAAATGGGAAGACCAGTTAGGAGGCCATTGTAGTAATCTAGTCCAGTGATGAGAGTCTAGCTGTGTAACCCTGGGCAAGTCACTTCACCCTTTTTGCCTCAGTTTTGTCATCTGTAAAATGAGCTGGAGAAGAAAATGGCAAACCACTCTTGTATCTTTGGCAGTCTGATGAAGCCTGTAGACAGACTCAGAATAAGTTTTAAAAATAATTGAATTAAATAATTTTAAATAACTGAAGGAAATGCTGAACTTCAATGAGAAGTTAGTGAAAATAAAGATTTTTCTTTTCTGTCCAAGTTCATGGATCGGCTGTGGAATCTATCCACTGATCTGCTGGGGGTCCATGGACCCTAGGTTACGAACTCCTGCTCTAGCCCCTCAAAAAGCACAATCAGAGCTCTAAACACATTCTGAGTCAATGTTGACCAAGAAAAACATCATTCAGCTTTCAAAGGTGTATATTTCTAGTTAGTGCTTAATAGATCCCTTTTCATCTGTTCATTCACTCACTTGCACACATACATAATTTGTCACATGGTACATGGAAAGGAATCTAGGAAGTTGAGCTGATCCATAGTCAAGATAATTTTTTTGGAGAAGAGCAGGGTTCCTAGGTCTTATTTCAGCCAGCCCTGTGCCTAACAGGTTGGAAATTTAGCTGAGTAGGTGGGAACTGTAGCAAAAATGCAAACAGATGACCACTCTCCTTCTCTGCTTTGCTTCATGGGCAGTGAGACCCTCACTCTTTGTGGTGTCCATGGCCACACAACCCACCTTGCCAGCCATGGGGGCTGTCTGCTCCCCCAAGCAGCTGAGCTGTCGCAGTGGCGAGTGTCTCCCCGCTGACCGGCGCTGTGACCTGCACCCTGATTGCCAGGATGGCTCTGATGAGGATAACTGTGGTATGGGAACACTTGGGCAGCCAGCAGGGAGGGAGGAGCTAGCTGTGGGTAGTACCCTGAGCGCCTGTTAATGCTTGGACCTCTCCCTGATGCCTCTGTCCATAGGCCTTCTTCTTGGTTCCAATGCTGTCCCTATTTCCCTTCCCCCCTTTAGTGGACTGCATGTTGGCACCCTGGTCTGGCTGGAGCAGTTGCAGTAGAAGCTGTGGGTTGGGGGTGACCTTCCAGCGGAGGGCCTTGCTTCGAGCCCCACTGCCTGGTGGTGGCTGTCCTCAAGAAGATTTCCAAAGTCGCTCCTGTTTCTTGCAGGCCTGCCCAGGTAATCCTGCAGTGTGCATTCCTAGTAAGGAAATTCACCTCCCATGCAGGGAACCCTGGCAGCTGAGGAAGCCCAGGGTCATGATCCTCCCTCCACCCAGGGTTCATAGGATTTGGGACTGGAAGGGTGCACAAGCCCTTCAGTTTACAGATGGAGAAACTGAGGTTCAGAGAGCACAAGGTCACCCAGATGACCCCAGGGTCCAGCATCTCACCACAGAAAATGTCCTCTTTAGGAGGCTCACTGCACTGGGAATCTTGGAGGATTGGGCCCTTTGTAACACCACACAACCCTCTTTCCTGGTCAACCTAATCTTATGCTCTCAACCAGGACTTCCTTTTTCTTGTGGAGCCCAGGGAAAAGTCTTCTTTCACCTTTCTTCATTTGCTGCCACCACCAGAAATATCCACCAGAGGGCAATGTGGCCTTGTTGCAGTTCTAGAGGATGAATCCCAGCCGGCTCATTCCTTTTTGCCTTTTATTGGCTTCCCTCATCTCACCTTCCCAGCCCATCATACTTTTTTTTTTCTGATTATTTACTGTTGACAAAGAGGAGAAATGGGGGTGAAACAAGAGGAGACCTGGTAAACCCTTATAGAGTGTCTGCCTTTCCCCACCCCAATATCCCTGCCAGGCTCTTTTGTTAATTGAGGTCCCATTCTCCTAGATCCTAGAACTTCTCCAGACAACAACGAACATTTATTAATTGTCTGCAAGACAATTAGCTGAGACTTGGACCCTGCTCTCCTGGAGTCTATTAGGAACATAAAACACACTCGGAGATAACTTAACACACAGTATTTATTACCTGATAAATGCCTTAATCCCTTTGAGGAGGTTTTCGGATCATAGTTTTAGATCGCAAATGTTGCCTAGCCCAACCCCCTTTATTTTATAGATTAGAAAACTGTGTCCCTAAAAAAGCTTAGGGTACTCATTCTTCCATCCTCTAAGAAGGATGAGTCTGCTAGGTATCTTCAAGCGCCTTTAGCCCTTGCCAAATAGAGACTCTGATGGGAAAGGAAGAGAGCTTGGAATCACGATGCCTGGATTTTAACTCCACTTTCTGGAATTTCAGTCATGGCAGCTAGGTGGCGCCATGGATAGAGCACTGGGCTCCGAGTCACAAAGACTCGTCTTCCTGAGTTCAAATCTGACCTCAGATGCTTACTAGCTGGGCGACCCTGGGCAAGTCATTGAACCCTGTTTGCCTCAGTTTCCTCCTCTGTAAAATGAGCTGGAGAAGAAGATGGCAAATCAAACTAGTATCTTTCCTAAGAAAACCCCAAATGGGATTAAGAAAAGTAGGACAAAACTGAAAAATGACTCAGCAAAACTCTGGCGTTTGTTATGAGACTGTGATGCTAGGCCAGTCACTTCATGTCTGAGCCTCACTTTCCTCATCTGTAAAAACACCTGTGCTTCGTACCTCATGAGGTTAATTGTAAAGAAAGTGCTTGTTAACTTTAGGGAAATGTGAGTGGTTAATGGGCAGCCCGGATATTGATCCCAGGGTTTGTTTGTAGAGGAGTCCTGGCTTTGCCTTTATTTACTTAAAATCTGGGCCTCTCTGGCCTTGTGGCTGAACTGAGCACACATAGATCAATGCTTCTGACCTCTCCTCTATTTAGGCTGTCCAGATGACCTCTCTCTTATCCTTCTGGGATTGATTCTGCTATTTGGGAGCTCAGGCCACTACCCAAAGCACTTTAGTGAGAGGGTTCCCTACCAATATCTGCCCTGTGGGCAGCATGAATGTGACTGGAGCCAGTGCCCACCCACCCCCATCCTTGGCACTGCCTGGCAGAATGGAGAGGACAGAAGCTACAGATACAAATCCCAGCCTTCTCAAATGAGCTAATATTTGTAAAGTGCTTTGCACAGTGCCTGGCACATAGTAGGTGCTATATACATGCTCATTCCTTTCACTTTTCTGAGGTCCAGAAGCCAGCTTCCCTTCCTCTGTTATACGAAGACAATCTCCATCAGTTTCTGGGCCTATCTTCCCTTTTTCCGCAGTACCTGGTGCTTGGACTTCATGGGGCCCCTGGGAACCCTGCAGCGCCTCCTGTGGGGGAGGCCAACAGAGACGTTGGCGTAGCTGCACGGATCCCCCACCGAAGAATGGGGGTGCTCCTTGCTCTGGGGCACCAGAGGAGAGCCTACCCTGTGGTCTGCAGCCCTGCAGTGGTGGTACAGGTACCAGGGGACAGCCTGTTGTGCTAGGTAGTTTGGGCAGCTGGGATCATTTCAGTGTTCATTCCCTGATTCCATAACCATCTGCCTCCTAGACTGTGGCCCAGACCTTGTGTATGTGAGTGCTGAGCAGTGCCAGCAGGGACTGGTGCCCCAGTGCCCACCCTCCTGCCAGGATCCTGAAGCTAGGAGGAACTGTAGCACACACTGTATGGAAGGTAAGATAGGCCTGCCTGGCTGAGAGAGTGGGCAAGGTTCACACAGACATATCCAGATCCTCTAGCTGACTGCTTGGAGCTGACCTTTCCTTTCCTACCCTACTCCCTTTCTACTTTCAAATTCTTCAGTCCTCTCTTCCCCTATTTCTCAATTCCCTCAGTTTGATACCTCTCCCATTTCTGACCATTTCACTTACTCCTAGGTTGCCGATGCCCTGCCGGACTCCTTCTCCATGATGCCCAGTGCCTGACACTTTCCCAGTGCCCGTGTCTAGTGGGCACAGAGATAAAGCTGCCCAGAGAGTCCTTCCTGCTGGACAACTGCAGCCAATGGTGAGTGCGGACTTGGCTGTGAGTGCCCATCCTAAGGAGCACAGAAGAAGCCACTGTATGGGCTTGGGGTAGGGACAGGGCTGAGTCTGGGAAGAGGGAAATTCTGTCACCCATAGTTCTCCACCTTCTTCTTATTTCTGACTCCTCTGCCTTCTTCCTTTAGTGTGTGTGAAGATGGAACTCTTCACTGTGAGGATGGGGATTGTCCTGTGCCCTGTGGCTGGTCAGCATGGTCCTCTTGGGGACCCTGTGACCACTCTTGTGGCTCTGGAACCAGGGCCAGGTTCAGGTATGTGTGTTTGTGTGTGGAGGGGAGGTGGGGTGGAAAATAGGGACAGGAAAAGAAGATTAATGGGGGGGTGGGAAGGAAGAAAGAGAGTGAATGGAAGGAAATGAAGGGAGAAAGTGAAATTGGAGTGGAGGAAGGGAGAGTTGAGAGCATTGGAGAGAAGGAGTGTGGGTTAAAGTGAGGAGAGGAGAGTGGATTGTGGGGAGGGATGGGATACAGGGGAGGTTGGAAGAGGAGGGTTGAAAAGGGGAGGAGAGACGGGTAGGAAGGAGAAGGGCAGAGAGCTGGGCTGGAGGGGATGTGAAGAGAAACTAGGGGTACAAGGAGGGAAGGAACCTCTGACCTCAGCCAAACAGAGGACTGGAAGGGTCGCAAAGACACAAGAAGGTAGGTGGTGGGGAGAGAAGGGAAGACTGTGGCCTTTCCTTTTCCTCCCTATTCAGGTCTCCTTCCAATCCAGCAGCAGCTTCTGGAGGTGCCCCTTGTGAGGGAAATGGGCAGGAGGTTCAGGCCTGTCACACAGACTGTGGCTCTGGTAAAGTCAGGGGATGGGATAGAGCATAACCACACCTTTATGGCACAATGCTATTCCATTCCATTCATATACCACAACTTGTCCAGCCATGCCCTATTGGAGGGACTCCTGCCTTGTTTCTCGTTTTTCGCTAGGACAAGAAGAACTGCTATAAATATTCTGGTAATGGGGGTTCTGGTACTTTTTTCATTACACCACACGGCCTCCTGAGATTAGCAAAGAGAGACAGATGAGTGGAAAGCATTTAGAATGCTGTTGCAGGGTTCCAGGGCTGAGGTTATTTGGGTCCTCACTAGGGCTGTGACAGGAAAGAAAGAGCAGTTTTTATGATTTCTCTTCCCTGTTTACCTCTTTATGTTCCACTTGAGCCTTGTATTTGAAGGTCAGATTTTCTATTCAGCTCTGGTCTTTTCATCAAGAATGCTTGAAAGTCCTCTATTTCACTGAATGACCATTTTTTCCCCGGAAGGATTATACTCAGTTTTGCTGGGTAGGTGATTCTTGGTTGTAATCCTATCTCCTTTGCCCTCCGGAATATTATATTCCATGCCCTACGGTCCTTTAATGTAGAAGCTGCTAAATCTTGTGCTATCCTGATTGTGTTTCTACAGTACTTGAATTGTTTCTTTCTGGCAGCTTGTAATATTTTCTCCTTGACTTGGGAACTCTGGAATTTGGCTACAATATTCCTAGGAGTTTTCCTTTGGGGATCTAAGAAAGAGCAGTTTTGAGTGAGGTTTTGAAGGATGTGGTGCCTGAGCGGATGTGGGGGATGAAAGAGAGGGAAGAGTCAAAGATGACTAGGATGTTCTGAGCTTGGGAGGATGGTGGCATCCTTGACAGTGCTAAGGAAATGGGAGGAGCAGCAGTTCTGGGGGAAAGGGAGATAATGGTGGTTTTGGATAAGTTGGGTTTAAGGTGCTAGTGGAGCATCTTAGGGGGAGGTGGGTGAAGCAGGAGGGAATATCTCTCTGGCGATGGGAATTGAGGATCTGGAACTCAAGAGGAGGGGATCTTCTGCATAGAGGCAACAGCTGGAGTCCCAAGGATGAGTGAGGTGACCAGTAACAGGAATGGGGGAGAGGGACAAGATCTTGATTTCATTGGCACAGGGAATCCTGGGTGAGGAGACCCCCTCTGCCAGTGTAGGTCAGCATCTTTTCTAGCTAGTTGGCACAGTGCATAGAATGCTGGGCCTAGAAGCAAGACTTGAGTTCAAATACAGCCTCAGACACCAGCTGTGTGACCTTGGGTAAGTCACTTAACCTCTGTTTGCCTCAGTTTCCTCAACTAAAATGGGGATAATAGTAGCAGCTGTACCTCAAAGGCTGCTGTGAGGATCAAATGAGGTGATATTTGTAAAGCACTTAGCACAGTGTTTAGCACACAGTAGGTGCTTAGTAAATGCTTGTTTCCTTTCTTCCACCACTTACAGTTTTAGAGAGTTGCCCAGGATGTGGAGAGATTAAGTGACTTGTCCAGGGTCACACAGCCAGTATATGCAGAGGCATCGCTTGAACTTGGGTCTTCCTAGCTTAGAGGTCGGCTCTCCATCCACTACACCATCTGTACTGCCCCTCAGTAATAGTAGCTGCCTCTTATAGAGTTGCCTTAAGGTTTATGAAGGATTTTGCATCCATTACCTTCATTTGATGCCCAAGGAAGAGAAGAGCAGACAGCAGAGGACAGAGGCTGAAGGAATGTCCCCTCTGGTTCTTCTGACACTCTTTGACTTTTCCTTGATCCTGCAGATCCCCGAAGCTTCCTCTAAACTTCCTACTCTCTCTGCCTCTCCACCTTCCCTTGGCCCTCCTCACCATGGTCTTCTTCCTCTTTTCTCCACAGAGCTTCTGGGCTGGACTCTCTGGACACCCTGGTCCTCTTGTTCCCAAAGCTGCTCTGCCCCTAGAGGACCCCCTGTCTGGCGACACCGCTCTCGCCTCTGCCCCAAGTCTGAGGGGGTAGTCTGCCCTGGGGAGCCCTCTCAAGAAGAGCTCTGCAGCCTCCCTGCATGTCCGGGTGCTTGATTATGTCCTAAGCAGAGGGATGGGCAGGGGACAGAAGAGGACAATGCATCTGATGGGAGAAAGATATGGGGAAGAGGGTGCTGACTCTGAGGGGCTGACTCCTAGGCAGGATCGGCTCATGGAAGCCACACTACCTAGCCAGGGAAGTGGCATGATGCTGAGAGGTTCCCCAGTCATTGTGCTCAGAATCCCTCTCACTCTGTGTCCCTGGGGAACCCTGGGGCCAAGATCAGTATTCTACTGGTCCACACTTGCTGCTTCCGCCTTCAGAGGGGACAGGGTCATGGTGGGGAGAGAGAGAAGGCATCTGGACTCTCCAGGATTGCCCTCCCCCCTCTGTATTCCATCCTGTTGTTTCTACATCCATCTGCTTGTTTATGTTCAAACCCCTGCTTGTGTCTTCTTTGGGGGTAACCCTTTCCTTCCTGACAGTGTCTAGTATTTGGACACCTTGGGCGCCATGGTCCTCCTGCTCAGCTGACTGTGATGGGGGTATTCAAACCCGTGGGCGCAGGTGCTCTGGCTCAGTTTCTGGGATTCCTGAGTGCCAGGGGCCCCATAGCCAGACCCGAGACTGCCACACCCAGCCCTGCTCAGGTATGGAAACCCTACCTCTTTCTCAGCCTTTCCCATCACCCAGCCATGGCCACACCCAGGCTAGCAAGCATACCAACACTGCCACTTAGGAGTCTACCCATCCTTCCTGCACCATCATCCTCCTGCCCCATTCAGGTGAATTTCCTGTCTACTCCTTAATTTTTGAGCAGATGTTTTGTCCAACAAAATAAGAAGCTGTCCCAATTTTCTTCACCTCTTCCCCAAAAGAAAACCACATGGGCCCATTTTCAAAGGGCCTGGCAATAGGGCTAAATGTCCAAGGGCTTAAGCCCTTGGGAAAAGCCGGAAGACCGTGTCCCTTCCCCTTAGGCACAGGCCCCAGTGCCCTCCAATAGGGTCCTGATAGAGGGTAACCCTCTTTTTCTGTCTTGTTTGGTGCTAGCCCGTTGTCCTGAGGGCATGGTATTCCATTCCAAGGAGCAATGTCAACAGGAGGGAGGGCCATGCCCACGGCTATGCTTGGCACAGGACCCAGGTGTGGAATGCGTGGGCACCTGTGGCCCTGGCTGTAGCTGCCCTCCTGGCCTCTTCCTGCACAACACCAGCTGCATGCCCCTTAGTCAGTGCCCCTGCCAGCTTCATGGGAAGCTCTATCCACCTGGGGCTGTGGCCCGCCTGGACTCCTGCAACAATTGGTAGGTTACTTCTGGCCAGAGCCAGTAAGGCATTGAAGGGTAGACATTGGGAGATGGTGAAGGGCAGGGTCTCAAAAAGCAGGTTATGTAATGTATGAACGTAAAGGCTGTACCTCAGGACTGTAGGCCAGGGTGAATCAATTTAGCTGTCCTGGGGATTCTAGACCCAATCCAAGGGATCCTTTCCCTTGGTTAAGGGCTTTTTTCTTTCACTACTTTCTAATGGTCAGTGATCACTGAACCCTTACCTCAAGGTAAGGAGCCTCCTGGCACTCCCTGTGCCAGTCTTACTTGGATTGCTAGGTCAGAGACCAGCTGCAGTCATTCCCAATTGCCTCTGCCCTCTTCCTTTGCTGCTGCTATTGTCATAACAGGGTGCCCGATTTTAAGCATTTTCCTTTTCGACTCCTGCTGATACACACTACCCCAAAGCCACAAGCATGCACCACGGAGGGGCTTATTTACAAGGGAAAAGAGAATGTGAAAGTTCACAAATAATATACCAGGATAGGTCATTGGGAGTATGAATGGAAGGAAATTATCCAGTCTCTTAAATTATGAAGTCTGGTGTATTTAAGTTCTTCTAAAAGAGGAGTCCTTGGTCTTTCTTGTGTCCTGGACCCCCCTGGAAATGTGGTGAAGCCTCCGAACCACTTCTCAGAATAGTGTTTTTAAATAAATAAAATAAAATACATAGGAGTATAAAGGAACCTAATTATATTGAAAGAGTGATCAATTTTTTTTTTTAAGTTCATGGATCACAGGTTAAGAATACCCATTAAAGCTTTCAGTTTAATGATACTTCCCCACATGGTCCTAGCTCGGTGTATGATCTGAGGATATGTCCATTTCTTTTCTCTACCTCCCTGTTCCCCACGAAGAGACGAAATCTTCTACATCAGATAATGACCCTATTCCTGCTAAATGCTTCAGCTGTTTGAGTGTCCTGGATGGGACTCATTGGTTCATTCTCCAGCCCTCCATATCCCTCTGAGCCAAATAGAATGTTTCCTAATTGCAACACAGGATTTGTAATGGTCCTTCCATTCCTACCTGCCCTTTCCTGCCTCAACTAGGGAAAATATGGAAATAAAAATGGGTAAATATGATGGTGTTTCTATCACCTAAAAAATCAGAAGAATGTGACACACAGGCTAACCTCAAATTGTACAGAGAACAATCCATTTCCTTTCAATTGACTGAGAGGTGGACAAGGCATGGGCTGCTAAGTCTACCTAGGTGGTTACTCTTTTTTTTTTTTTGGCTAGGCAATGGGGTTAAGTGATTTGCCCAGGGTCACACAGCTAGTAAGTGTTACGTGTCTGAGGCCAGATTTGAAATCAGGTCCTCCTGACTTCAAGGCTGGTGCTCTATCCACTGCACTGCCTAGCTGCCCCCCCTAGGTGGTTACTCTTCCCACACCTTCAGTGGGTCAGATAACTTTTAGGTAAAAGATTTAATTTGGGAAGGGGGAGGGAAGGGAAGGGAAGGGAGTCAGCATTTCTTTGGGGCTGGGCTGGGTCTCACGCGGCCTCTTTTCTTTTTCTTCTCTAGCACATGCATCTCTGGAGAGATGGAGTGCAGCACCAAGACTTGCCCGGGTACCTTTGTGTCTCCTGTGTTTGTTGGTGAGGCAGAGGTGGGGTGGGTCCTAGGTGGTGAACAAGGGAAGCTGGCATAGACCCTGCCGTGTTTAAAGTGCCACGCACACCCCTCCCTCAGCTCCTTCAAGACTGTGACTTGTTGGTTATTGAAGGGTTGAATGAGGGAGGGCAATATGAGTCTTGATCTGCCTGCCCTGACAGTGGCCTGTGGATGGAGCCCCTGGACTGCATGGAGTCCTTGTAGCCGAAGTTGTAACGTGGGCGTACGACGACGTTTCCGGGCAGGCACAGCACCCCCAGCTGCCTTTGGAGGTGCTGAGTGCGAGGGTCCCAGTGTAGAGGCTGAATTCTGCAGCCTGCAGCTGTGTCGTGGTGAGAGAGAGGCCTGGAACCCTATGACCTGTTCCCCAGGAGGCACTCCCTTCTCAAGATTTCCTTAGATTTTCCTTGTTACATCCTCAAGAGATTCCCCCCAATGGACCTACCCTAGACACTCCAAGATAGACCTTGAAAATCCCCTTATAAGAGACCTCTCCAAGAGGCCTACTTAGAAGAGAGACAATGGGGAAAAAGTCACTGCACTTCTGAGCTTCATTTTTATCATCTGTGAAATAAGCACATTAGACTAGTTGATCTTTAAGGTCTCATAGAACTCTAAATTTGATTATATCATGTGACATATATGGCTTCCAGAAGAATTACCTTTGAGAAATTGGGAGGTGACTTGAAGGCTTTTGTGCAGGCCCTAGGCCCTTGTTGTCTAGGTAGAGGATGAGGTGAATCACCCCAGGAATATATGAGTCAGACTATGGGGAATGCTGGAATGATTCTCATCCCATCTCTAGGCCCTGGTATGGAATGGGGTCCATGGTCTCCCTGCTCTGTACCCTGCGGTGGTGGTTACAGGAATCGGACCAGAGGCAATGCCCCCCATAGCCCAATTGACTTCTCTACCTGTGGTCTGCAGCCTTGTACTGGTGAGAGCCATCTTAGATTATGGCTTTTTTCGGTGGAATTCCCTCCTCCTAGGTTGAAGGTTGGGACTAGACATATCCCTCATCACCACCTAGGTGAGACCCCTCCATTTCTGTAGTCATCCCAGACCTCTCTTTCCATCTCAAGAGCTTGGTACATTCCTTGGGTAGAGGGGCCTAAGTTAATTGAATTAATCTATCAGCTCAGTTCAATACACATTTGTGGAAAGACTGAGGCTGGGCTTAGTAGTTTGTGTCCCCAGGGCCAGTGCCTGGAGTATGTCCAGAGGGAAAGCAATGGCATGATTGTACTGAGGGCCCAGCCACCTGTGCAGAGCTCAGCACCCAGGAAAATACCAATGGAACCTGCCACCCCGGCTGCTATTGTCCCCCTGGGACCCTCTTGTTGGTAAGCACTGCTTGCTGGGGCGTTGAGAAGTAAGAGACCGTTGGGAGCACCTGAAACAGGCAAGGGGAAAGGAGGCAAAAGAGATAGCACTGGAGGTGGGGCAGAGCAGAGCTGCTGAAGGTGGAGGGGTAAGAGGCAGCTACCTAGGAGGCAGCATGGAATAATGGAACAATCACTGGGCTAGGAATAAGAAGACCTGAGTTCTAATCTAGGCTCTGCTACAATGAGCTGTGTATCATAGGACAAGTGACTTAATCTCTCTGGAGGCTACCTTATCTATAAAATGAGATCTATATCCATCCATCTATCTATCTATCTATCTATCTATCTATCTATCTATCTATCTATCTACAGACAGACAAGATGCTTGCTAAGGCTCCTTGCAACTTTAAAATAGTTCTTTGATTCCAAGTTGTCAATACATATTTGCTGAGCCCTGGATTTAGATCTCTAGGGAAGACAAAGCAAAGAAAGGAGAAGTGGTCTGGATCCTTAAGGAGTGTGTATTGAATCTCTGTGAAGCCAAGACATAAATACATGCAGTAGTTGCAGCATAGTAGAAGGCAGTAGGTAGGTTCTTGTGAGCTGGAGTTGGTCAGGGAAGGCTTCCTGGAAGGGGTGGGACCTGAAGCAAGATGGATTTGGAGAGATGGAGGTGGCCAGAGCTTAGATCTGAAGGAGCTGGTGCTGGGGGCATGGAGAAGAGCAGAGCTGAGATGAGTGTGGTAGGGGAATTGAGGTGGGTTGGTCAGGCAGTTCTGGGGGTCACAGAGCCCCAGTAGCAAAATGGAATGAAGGGAGGTCAGGCTAAACCAGAAGTCAGGAAGGTGCCAATGAGCCTATTTATTTCAGAACAACATATGTGTGCCTCGCCAGGATTGCCCTTGTACCTATGGTGGGCACCTTTACCCTGCTGGCAGCATTATCCTCCAGCCCTGTGAGAACTGGTGAGGCCTCTATTTCTCTCTCTTCATAACCCGTTGAGGACCCAGTTTCATCAATCTCTTTCTACTGCTAAGGACATCACATCAAAGGCAGGGGGCGGGCAAAGGGCTTGGCTAGGCCAGATGGCTCATGGCTGAGCAGAGAAACCTTGGTTTCTCCCATATGGGCCTATCATACTCCTTCAGCACTGAGAATGAGTCTGTCTTGTCTTCCTATTCCCTTCTCTCTTTTACTCCCTTTCTCCTCCCAGCTCCTGTGTCTCTGGGCTCATCACCAATTGTACCTCCCGGCCATGTGAAGAAGGCAAGCACACTCCCTCTCCACTGCCACTATGGCGGGGGGGGGGGGGGGGGGGGGGGGGGGCGGGGGGGGGGGGGGGGGGGGGGGGGGATGAAAGATGTGAAAAGGTGGTAATTGGGCTAGATGAGCTCTAACATTCTCTAACATCTAGTGCTAACATTCCTTGAAACTTTAATTCTAAAGGTGGGGCAATAATCAGTTAGTCAGTCAGTAAACTTTTATTAAGTGGCTACTGTGTGCTAGGCATTATGTTGAACATTGGAAGCACCCATGGAGTTGGGAGGGTTTAATAGCAGTAGAGGCTGAGAAATGAAATATCTGGTTTTTGTCCAAATGACATTCTTAGTGTCCTCACTCCACCAGTGCTGCTAAGGCCAATGCCCTCTTACCTCACCAGATCAAGCCACATGGACACCATGGACCCCCTGGAGTGAGTGCTCAGCCTCTTGTGGTCCTGCCCGTCGTCACCGGCATCGTTTCTGCCCCAGGTCTCTCCACCTGAAATCCTCCAGCATCATGCTTATCTCAACAACTTCCCTTCCCTTGCTTTGCCATGGTCCAGAGGCTGAAGAGGAGCCTTGCATCTTGTCCCCCTGTGATCGTAAGTCCCCTTTTACCCTTACCTAGGCCTGGTATCTACTGTGCTCCTTCCTGAACTGTTTGCCCTGTACCTTTTGTGGCCCTGGCTAATCCTCCCTGTGTCCAAGCTGAGTGCCTTCCTCCTGGCTCCCAACCCTCTCTAAACTCTCCCCTCTGTTCTCCACTATCCCAGGTTCAGGAGGCTGGGGCCCATGGGGCCCATGGTCAGCCTGCAGTCGGACCTGTGGGGGAGGCCTTCGGAGTCGGGCACGACTCTGTGACCAACCTCTGCCTCAGGGCCTCGGTGACTACTGTGAGGGCCCTCATGCTCAGGGGGAGACCTGCCAGGCACTGCCATGTCCAGGTACCTATCTACACCTGGGGGAGGAAAGGAAAGGACCCGGGAAATATTGTCTGTCAGGCTGAAGACGGGGAGAGAACTGGTGTCCTATAGAGGGAGGGTTAGAGAGAAAGAAGGACTGGGGAATGAAGACAAGTGTGGCTTCCTGACTTGTCCTGTATTCCCAGGGTCCAACTGCAGTGCTATCCCTGGTGCTGAATTCAGTCATTGTGGCCCACCTTGCCCCAGGTCCTGTGATGACCTTGCTGTGAGTCAAGTTCCCGGATACCCCCCTATGCCTTCTCTTCTTCTTTGGGCTCTTATCCCTGCCTTGGGGGGCTCTCACATTCTCAGTATGTAGCACCTGCATGTGGTGAAACCTGCTCATTCCTGACTTTCTGGGCTTCCCTTAATGCACTTTATTGCTACTACTCAGTGATCTTTCTTGCTTCCAAGAAACTGCCTCTGGGGTCTCTGCTTCCTTGTCTTTAGTAGTCCACCTCTCATCTACCAGGTCCAGTGTAGTCTAGATGGGCAAGGCAATGAGATCAACTCACATTTATAGAGGACTTTTTAAGGTTGACAAAACACTGGACTGTCCTTACCACAAGTGTGTGAGATTGGTGGTGCAAATGTTACTATTTCCATTTTACAGACAATGAAGTCAAAGGTCAAAGTGACTTATTTGTGGTCACACAGCTAGGAATGACTGGAACTGAGATTGGAGATTAGAATGTGAGCTCCTTGGGGACAGGGCTCATGTTTTTTTCGTTTTTTTGCATCCCCTAGTCCTTTGCCCAGTGTCTGGCACGTTTTTGTTGGGGTCCAGTCATTTTAGTTGTGTCCAACTTTTCTTGACCCTATTTGGGGTTTTCTTGGCAAAGATACTGGAGTGGTTTGCATTTTCCTTCTCCAGCTTATTTTATAGATGAGGAAACTGAGGCAAACAGGGTTAAGCGATTTGCCCGGGGTCACACAGCTAGTAAGTGTCTGGATTTGAACTCTGGTATTCCTGATTCCAGGCCTGGAATTCTATTCGCTGTGCCACCCAGCTGCCTTACTATGTGCCTGGCACATAATAGGCACTTAATAAATGTTGTTGACTGACTGACTGACTATGGTCCCACCTTAGAGCTCTTGTTAAACTTCGAGTGAAAACTGTAGGCTCTCAAAGTGCTCAGTGGTGGTCAGTAGTTGTGAAAGAAACTGGATCTTTTTGAATCTACATATCTTAGTCGATCAGAATTACCTAAAGACGTTTCAGCATCCATCCAATGCAGAGCTCCTTTCCTAGCCCTATGATGAGGGTACAGAGGCAGCATGGTATAGTAGATAGAGGTTAGGAGTCAAGGAGATATAGGTTCAGATCTTGCCTCTGACACTTCAGACAAATCATTCAGGTTTTCTAAATCTCAAGTCCCAGATCTGCAAACTGGAGATAATAGTGCCTGTTAACAGCCACTTCACCGGTTGTTGTGTGTCTTAGATGAGATAATGTTGTGGGTATAAAAATGCCTGGTATTATTCTTCCACAAACTCCACCTGGACCCTGTCCTCTGGTTTCTGCAGCCGGTTGGTTTTTTCTTCTTTGGAATCCTCTCCTGCTTCCCATTGAAGCCATCAGCACAGCTCTCTCACCGTTCTGGTCCTTACTTCTTCCTAGGTCCCAGGTTCACTGGCTTTTGGATTAAAAAACGGCCCTGCTGGTACACACATCTCTTCAACATAAGCTGGTGACCTTCCCCAGCTCTCATGCTAGGAAACTCTGCCCTTCCTCTCTCTGCTCTTAGTTTAGTTTGCTCGACTGCAAAATGGAAAGGTTGGATTGGATGGTCTTGAAGGCTCTTTCTAGCTCTATGTCGTTGTAAGTTGCTGTTGTTGTTGTTTTTGATAAAGGTCCTCTGGCCTGCCTGCCAGATCAAAGAGATCCTTATTCCTTGTCCATTCTCCCTGACTCTCAAATATATATGCCTTCTCTCAAAATGGAGAAACGTTGTCTCCCACTAACTGTTCTAATTATTACTCTTTTTAAAAAGCTAGGGAAGCTTACTTGTTTTCTTTTTTAAAAAGCCCAAGCCTATGGCCAGTGCAGGAATGTTTTGCTTGACTCTGCATGTTTGTAATAAGGACCTTGCTTTCTCAAGGTGGGGAGGGAGAGAATGTAGACCTGAAAACAAAATTCAGTGAAAAAACGCCCCACCCTTCCTTCCATGCTTATACAACAAAATGAATATAATTTATATATTTTTATTTAAAAAATCATGGATGCCTTTTGATTTTCTATCACATTAGTTTCTGAATATACCCCTCCCGCTTCCTGTCTCGTGAGCCTTCTCTTTCAATAAAGATTAAAAAAGAAAAAGGAAAAAAAGCTTAACAAAACCAACCAGCATATTGACTACATCTGGCAGTATATGCAATGTGGAGTAAACATAGAAATATGAGTTTTGTTGTAGAGGCGGTATAGTTAGTAGGTAGGGGCTTTGGAGTCAGGAGGTCTTGGATTTGATCCTGCCTGTGACACACATACTGTCTGGGTGACCTTGGGCACATCACTTAATCAATCTCTTAGCATCCCACACAGCTTCCTAAGATTACAGTGTTGTGTTCAGTCATGTCTGATTCTTTGTGACTCTGTGGACCATGCTGTCCATGGTTTTTTTGGCAAAGACACTGGAGTGGTTTGTTATTTCCTTCTCCAGTGGATTAGGGCAAACAGAGGTTACTTGACTTGCCCTGGGTCACGCAGCTAGTATTTGAGACCGGGTTTGAACTTTGGTATTCCTGACTCCAGGCCCAGCACTATATCCATTGAGCCACCTAGCTGCCAAAGATTACAAGGTACAGACCCAGTGTGCATTGGCAGAGGGAGTTTCTACACTGGGAATTCCCTATACCATGAAATCATAGGTCCAGATTCCTCTATCCTCTACCAAAACCTTTTTCCCTCTTCCTTTTCCATTCTCTTTTTCCTTCTTTCTGCTTTTCTTCCTGTCTTCTCACACCCCCATTCGTCACCAAGTCCTCCACCTGTCTCCCTGACCAGCACCTAGCCCATGCCTGTGTCTGCCTTCATGCCCTTGACCTCTCACCATTCTCCTTTCCCCTTCCTGTGTTCCTGCTGACCCATGACCTCTTCCATCTCCTGTGCCACCAGCATTGTGTGTGGCAGTGCCAGCCAGGCTGTTACTGCCCTCGGGGCCAAGTGCTGAGCACAGATGGCACTGCCTGCGTGGATCCAAGCTACTGTGGCTGCCTCGACCTGCTGACTGGAAAGCGGCATCAGCTGGGCTCCGTATTGACACGACCTGATGGCTGCAATGAGTGGTGAGGGCTGGGGCATGGGCCAGGAGGAGAGCAGGGTAACAATAACAGTAGAAGCTCACAGCACATTAGGCCTGTGTAGAACTATATTTTTCAGAGACTTTTTATGTCTAATTTATCTCCTTTGATGCTCAAAACAACCCCATGCAGTTATTATTCCCATTTGACACAAGAAAACACTGAGATTTATAGGAGGTAAGTGACTTTCCCAAGGTCACGTAGTGAGGTAGTGGGTAGGCTAAATGACTCATTTATTTGTATTTTTTTAAATGAGAGGGAGGGAATGTTGCATACTTTCTGATACCGGAAAATGTGTTATTTCTAGATATAGCCACATGGTGGTGCAATTTATTAGTTTTTCAGATCCTTGAACTCATGCAGAGAAAAGACCTAACAATGGGCTGGGAACCGCTCCACTAAGGGAGGGGACCTGGTAGGGCTCACTGCCTATGGAGGGAGATAGGAGAATGGAGAGGGGGCAGGAGAGGGATTGAGCAGAGTCCGTCATTCAGTCCTCCAGAGAGTGTCTCAATGAAGGTTGTGCCCCTTCCTCTGGAGGGTCTAGACTAGAGGCAAAGTTTGAGGGGGACTCCTTGGGGAGGAAGCATAGCTCACTTTCCCCTCACACACAATGTAAACACCTTGGGTCAAATCCTTATACGTCCTCTATTGGTTATGGCTTTGAGACTGAACCGCTGTCTCTTTCACTTAGCACCTGCATGGAAGGGAGGCTGAATTGTACTAACCTGCCTTGCCCAGGTGAGTGCCTGATTTAGGGAAAAAAAAGACCAATGAGGATAAGGGAAGAAGGGGCTCAGCCATCGGGCCAGGGAGGTGGTGTGAGCCCCATCCATGCCCATCTGGAAGAGGCCTTAAAGGTCATTTATTATTTATTTTAATTTAATTTAATTTTTTTTGGTGAGGCAATCAGGGTTAAGTGACTTGCCCAGGGTCACACAGCTAGTGTTCTGTGTCGGAAGGTGAATTTGAACGCAGGTCCTCCTGACTCTAAAAGGTTATTTAGTCTAAGGGTCTCATTTTACATTTAAGTGTACTAGTAAGTGTACTAGAGGCAGCTAGGTGGTTCAGGGGACAGAGTGCTGAGTCTGGAGTCAGGAAGACTTGAGTTCAAATCCCACCTCAACACTTACTAGCTGAGTGACCCTGGGCAAATCACTTAACATCTATTTGCTTTAATCTACTGGAGAAGGAAATGGCAAACCACTCCAGTATTTTTGCCAAGAAAACCCCATGGACAGCACTGGTGTGCTGTGTGGTTCATGAGGTCCCAAGGAGTTGACGCTACTGAGCAATGATACCGAGTCCCAGAGAGGTTTAGTAATTTGCCCAAGGTCACACAGCTAGTAAGTTGTGGAACCCCATTCGAAACTCTATCCTCTGACTCCAAATTCAGGGCTCTTTGTAATATTTTTTTCTACTCTTCTGCTCCTGTTCTTCCTTCATAGTACCTGGAGGCTGGTGTTCTTGGTCTGAATGGACACCGTGCACCTTGCCATGTGGGGGTGAGAATCGTGCCCGATCGCGGACTTGTGCCTGCCCCCCCCCTCAGCATGGAGGGGCTTCATGCCCAGGGGAGATTGGAGAACCTGGCTCACAACTTCAGCGGGAGCCCTGTCCCAGACTCACTGCGTGTCCAGGTATTAGGCTGGGTGGGCTCCCTTAGGTGTCCCAGATCCCCATTCCTTCCAACAGGGACCTGAATCCCTGGTCTGGATGTGTCTGACACCTACAGTACTTGTAATGATCCCTTGATGATACCAGTGCCTGAAATGGTCACCCTGACATAGATGCCTCTGTTCCCCTGGTACAGTGGATGGTGGCTGGAGCCCATGGGGACCATGGTCCCCTTGCAGTTCTTGTACTGGGGAATCATCTCGGAGGAGGGAGTGTACCCATCCATCGGCAGAGATCGGGGGCCGCCCTTGTCCTGGGAGGCACCAGGAGAGCCAGGCCTGCCAGGACAATTCTACATATTGCACAGGTGAGGAGGACCCCAGGGGGGGACCTGCATTTCCAATTCTTCTTCTTTGTCCCTGTGACCTCTACTCTCCTTTTATCCCTCCCCCCCACCCCAGCATTTTTCTCTCTTTTTTAGGATTAGAGTGTTCTTAGCCTTTCTGTCCCACCGTCTCCAAGAAATGGCGTAAGACCAAAGATATAGATAGAGGGGAAAAGCTAGGAATAGCAGTCTTTTTAGTATTCTCATCTTTTCCCTGCAGACTGTGGGGGTGGTCAGGGACTTCTCCCTTGTGGGAAGCCCTGCCCCCGATCTTGCCAGGACCTGTCCCCAGGGAATGGGTGCCATTCTGACCCATCTGATTGCCAGCCCTCTTGTGGATGTCCACTTGGCCAGCTCTTCCAAGATGGGCTCTGTGTGCCTCATGCTCACTGCCGCTGCCAGTACCAGCCCAGAGCCATGGGTCAGTTCCTCCTTCACCTTGCTCCTTTCCTCCCACAACCAAGGATGCAGCCTAAGGTTGCAAGTGGGGAATGGAATCGGGGGGGAGAGAACAACCACCTGATGTTTCTTCCAGATTCTTGTACTTCTCAGGCCTCCATGTTCCCCTGTGATCCCATGGTATGCTCCAGGGGTTAGGTGTTTCTATCCCCCTGAGCCAAGAGAGCCTCACATCCAGGAGGGGAACCCCACTGGAGAAAGAAGTTGGGGGAAAACAGATACATTTGGCAAGCTGAACTCCTCAGAGGAACAGGGAGGGCGGGACAGGGGACTGTGCTATCTAGGGTGCTCATACATATGAACCCTTCTTCCCAGGGATCCCTGAGAATAGAAGCCGTTCAGTGGGGTCCCAGGTCAGCTCTTGGGAGAGTCTGGAGCCTGGAGAGACTCTGATGGGTCCTTGTGACAATTGGTGAGCTGTTTTGGGGTAGGACTGAGAGGGAGGGGACAGGATTTGGAAAAGGGCCAGGTTAGTACATAGAGTTAGCTGCTGGGGATGACATGGGCCCACTAACTTTAGATTCCCTCTTCTCCATTATCTCCGCAGTACCTGTGTGGAGGGCACACTGCAGTGCCAGGAAGTGCCTAGCTGTCCAGGTCCTGGGGGGTGGACACTGTGGGGCCCTTGGGAAGCTTGTAGCATGTCCTGTGGAGGTGGAGAGCAGCTACGCTCCCGGCACTGTGCCCGCCCCCCGTGCCTGGGCCCTGCCCGCCAGAGCCAGACTTGCCATACTCAGGTCTGCAGAGGTGAGTTCTCTGAACTTTCTGCTCACCTACACACCTCCCTGTGGTTCTCAGGCCCTCCTTAGTCCACCATTGCCTTTCATCCTTTTCTTCTGCTTTGGGGATGGGTCTTTGACCTACACCTCCACTCTGGGGAAAAGACTTTGAAATGGGGTCTCAGCAGCTTTATGAAGGGAGGAGGGAGCCTGGCACAAGGTCACTGGGGGCAAGAGGTGGAGAATATCACCTTCCTTATGATAGAAATGTTGCCCTAGGTAGAATGTTTTCTAAGACTAAAGGGGGAAAAAAAGCATTTATTAAATGTTTACTGGGTGCTAAGAAGCATTGTGCTAAGCTCTGGGAGGGTGAATGGTCATAAGTTAAATATGTTGATGGAGACTGAAGGGGGCCCTGGGCCAGGTTCTTACTGTGAGCAATGGGTTAGACACCAAGCATGCCAGAGATGGACAGCTGAGCATTGAGGTGGGCATGGGTGACAAGGAGGACATGCTGAAATAGGTATCTTCTCATAGAAGCAGGTTGTCCAGCCGGAAGGCTATTCCGGGAATGTGAGACAGATGAAGGCTGCCCCTTCTCTTGTGCCCACATCACCCAGCAGGTGGACTGTTTCTCTGATGGCTGTGAAGAGGGCTGTCACTGCCCACCAGGAACCTTTCAGCATGGTCCCACCTGCATACAGGTCAGAGCTCATTTCTTCCTTGGGAATCATCTTAGCTTACCCCCTAATTGATTTCCTTTATGGGTTCCTCCAAAATGTGCTGAGTCTAAAGATGTGTCTTTGTTTATTAACTTCTAATTTTGTGGGTAGATGCCTGGACATATTGTTTGCACCCCAGGCCTTGCCACTGCTTGCAGCTACACTAGTCTCCAGAGGCTAGTAATTCTCCCTCTGCCCTCTGCCTGGCCCCCATCCCCTTTCCTAGGAATGAGCCTATCCTCTATAAATGTTTTCAGCCGACACCACATATTCCTGCCCAGGAAGTCTTACCCCTGAACCACGGTGGATCAGGAGCTCAGTCTTAGAGCTAATTTGGTATCCTTTTGAGTGGGGGCTCTTATATTTTTTTGTGGCCTGGACTCCTTGGTCAGTCTAATGAAGCCTATGACCTCTTCTCAGAATAATGTCCTTAAATGATGGAAGGAAATGCTAAATTTCAGTTAGGGGTTAGTTAAAGTAAAGGTATGATTTTCTTTTTCCTATATAAGTTTAAAGACCTTCTGAAATCTATCCACAGACCCCTTTGGGGAGTCCTGCTCTAGGGCTAGAAGTGAGCCTTACAGATTTCATTTTACAGATGTCTTTTGCAGCACTTAGCACAGTGCTCAACACATAGTAGGTGCTTAACAAATGTTTATTGATTGATGAGGAAATTGATACCCAGAGAGAGGAAGGTCATATAAGTAGTGAGTAGTAAGTAGTAGATCCACTTTACAACTCGGCACTCTGATTCCCAATCTAGTACTCTTTGCACCACACCAGGCTGCAGAAATCCCAGACTTTTCCCACTTCGCCTTGCCACCTGTCCCTCAGGCTCTTAGAGCAGGCATATACAACGTGTGGCCCATGGGTGGTATGTTGTGCAAGCCTATTTTATATCCTCTATATTTTTTGCAGGCCATCCCAAATCCTTTGGCGGGCCACAAGCAGCCTGTGGGTAGTATGTTGTGCAGGCCTGCCTTAGAGACAGACCGCAAGGTGGTGCGATGGATAGAATACTAGGCTCAGAGTCAGTAAGACTTGAGTTCAAATTTGACATCAGATACTTACTAGCTATGTGGCCCTGGGAAAGTCACTACACCTCTGTATGCCTCAGTTTTCTCATCTGTAAAATGGGAATAATGTGAAAATTAAAAGACTTAATCTTTGTAAAGCGCTTAGCACAGTGCATGGCACATAGTAGGTGCTGAATCAACACTTGTTTCCTTCTGTGTGGCACATAGTGGCCATTGAATAAATGCTTGTCTCCTTCCTTCCTTAGGGATCTTCTGAGGAATTCTACTGATTGTAAAACTAGGGAATAGACAGGAGGCAAGTAGACAAAGGGAAAGAAGAAGGGCTCTCTGGCGAGTGGCTGTGTTCACTCCCTGCTTGTTGTAGATTTGCTGACTGGGGCCTTCACTCTGGCTCAGAGCTTGAGTGCAGAAAGCTTCACTTCTCTTCTGACTGCCGTCTTGTCCCTGGCTCTGCCCTGGTCCCTGCCCATATGGAAGTGGGTCAGCTGGTTCTTTCCCCCACTTTGGTTCTGTAGCCGTCACTCCATCTTCTCGGCTCAGTGCTCTGAGAGCCAGTGTTACGTAATGGCGAGAATACAAGGATTAGACCTTGGTTTGAATCCTGCGCTGACGCTTGATTGCTAGGTGGTCCCAGATATAGTCACAGAGGCAACTATACCTCTCTGAGCCTCAGTTTCCTCATCTGTAAAACAGATAAAAATGCACTTGTGACCACCTAGCCCACGGGGCCTGTCTTGAGGAAAGCATTTTGTTAAACTTGCAATTGCTATAGAAATGTATTCTTCTGCCCTGGGCCTTGACTCATGCAAGGAGAAAGGTGCATTCCTGCCAGCACCCCAAAGAGTCCAGTCTGGCTTCAAACTGTGCCACAGGGATCTGATGGCAATTGTGCCTGTTAAACTAGAGAAGGGCTTCAGGACCCCAAATGAGATAACACGTATAAAGCACTTTGGAAATTTTCACATGCTTTACAAGTGCCAGTCATTTTGTAAACGGCCTGGAAACCTTAAAGCACTGTATAAAATCATTATTGTTATTTATTATTATTATTATTATTATTATTATTATTATTACTATTATTTTTTGGCTAGACAGTGGGGTTAAGTGACTTGCCCAGGGTCACACAGCTAGTAAGTGTCATGTGTCTGAGGCCAAATTTGAACTCAGGTTCTCCTGAATCCAGGGCTGGTGATCTATCCACTGCGCCACCTAGCTGCCCCCCATTATTGTTATTTTAAAAAGCATTGTTATCATTCTGTGTTTTCTACTGCCTGATTTCTTCCTGGTTTGAACATAGATTCTGTCTCTAATTCTTTGATCTAATTCTGTGCTTACTAGTCAGTTATTAGGGCTGACAGGTGAAGGTAAACACACTCTCCTTTTGTCCTGTCTATCCCCCAGGAAGAAAGGAAATCAGCATTTTAAAGCACCTACTATGTTACAGGCACTGTTCTAAACACTTTACAATTATCTCATTTGATCCTCATGACAACCTCGCGAGGCAGGTGCTAGTATTATTCTCATTTTACAGTTGAGGAAACTGAGACAAATAGAGGTTAAGCTGTTTGTCCGGGGACACACAAACCGATAGGTCTCTGAGGCTAGATTTGAACTCAAGTCTTCCTGACTCTAGGCCTAGTGCGTTATCCACTGAGGCACTTAGAGCTGGAACCTTAGAGATGAAAAAGCGGAACCCTCTCATTTGTGAATGAGGAAACTGAGTCCGAGAGACGTCAGCTGGCTTCCTCAAGATCATCCAGGCAGCAAAAAGCAGAGCAGGGATTCAAACCCAGGTGTCTGAGCTTTCAGATCCAAGCTGATCCAAGGGCCGTCTCCAGTCATCCTGATCTACATCTGGCCACTGGACCCAGATGGCTCTAGAGGAGAAAGTGAGGCTGGTGACTCTGCACAGTCCTCCCTCACTTAATCCGATTCCGTCATGGTTTGTTTTGAGATCAAGTATTGAGAGAACAGAGAAACTAGCTGGTACTGTAGATGGAGCGCTGGGCTTGGAATCAGGAAGACTAAGCTTCACGAGTTCAAATCTTCAGACACTTACTAGCAGTGTGACCCTGGGCAAGTCCCTTAACCCTGTTTGCCTCAGTTTCCTCACCTGTAAAATGAGCTGGAGAAGGAAATGACAAGTAACTTTAGTATCTTTTCCAAAAACAAACAAACAGACAAAAACACTGTAGAAATGTTGAATGGCTGGGCCCAAAAGGGAGTCATTAGTGATTGAATGTCAACTTGGAAGGATGTCTCTAGTGGTGTGCTTTTGGGATCTGTTTTTGGCATTGTGCTGTTTGATTTGTTTTTAATTGATGACTTGAATAAAGGCATAGATGCTGTGATTATTAAATTTGCAGATGATACAAAACTAAGAAGGCTAGCCAGGAGTGAACTGGAGCCAGATTATTAAGTTTCAGTGTTAGCATTTGCATCTTGGGAATCAGCAAATGCTACAAATCAGGGCTTGACTCGTTTTGTTGACTGTCTAGATTTGAGAAGGTGATGGAGAAAATGTCAGTAATGCAGGTTAAACTCAAAATTATGTTATGCGTGCAGGTTTTTGTCCCCCTCGGAAAGCCAGCTGTTAAACATTGGCCAGCACATCTCTGGGGAGAACTCACACAGTGGACAGTAGAATCGAAAAGATTTCACAACAGACTAGAACATTGGGCTGAATCTGATAAAATGAAACTTGGCAGGAGTAAAGGTGAAGTCTTCAAAAAGTTGACTTAAAAAATATAAGATAAGGGAGATGTGGCTAGATAGTAGTTCTGTTGGAAGGAATTTGGAAATTTTGGTGAGTGGGCCATAAATTTAATACAAGTGAAGAGTATGTTATGACAAGCGCACAAAGCTAAGGTGGTCTTTACCTACGCTGAAAGTCAGCATGTTCAGAACTTTTTGTTGTTATTGAAGGTTTTCAGTTGTGTTTGACTCTTCGTGACTCCATTTAGGATTTTCTTGGCAGACTTACAAGAGTGGTTTGCTATTTCCTTTCCCAGCTCATTTTATAGATGAGGAAACTGAGGCAAAGAGGGTTAGGTGACTTGCCCAGGGTCACACAGCTAGTAATTATCTGAGGTCAGATTTGGACTCAGGAAGCTGAGTCTTCCGGATTCCAGGCCTATCACTTTGACCACTGCCCCATGTTTAGAACTAGGGAAATAGTAATCTTGCTGCCCTCTCTTCTGGTCAGACCATATTGTATTGTGTGTGTTGTGGGAGCCACCTTTTAGGAAGGACATTGATGAGCTGGAGAGTATCCCTCAGAGGTGAATCAGATTGCTGAGGGGCCTTGAGATCATGTTGAATGGGAAACAGTTGAAGGAAATGAAGATGTTTATTGATAGTGACAGATAGATGGTGCAATGGATAGAGCTCTGGGCTTGGAATCAGAAAGACCTAGGTTCAGATCTGGCCTCAGACTTTTAGTAGCTGTGTGATCTTGGGCAAGTCACTTAACCTCGCTAAACAGTCCTTGACTGTAAAATTAATCATAGTCCCTATCTCCCAGAATAGTGAGAATCAAATGAGATAATATTTGTAAGGTGCTTAGTATAATGCCTGGCACATAGTAGGTGCTATAGAAGTGTTAGCTATAATAATAATAATAAAAAAAATAATTGTTATTACATGTTGTAGAGAGGATTCTGGTTCAGGTACAGTTTGGATAGGGGAGCTTCTGAGGTCTCTTCCAGCTTTTTGAGTTTCTGTGACTTTCCTCCAGCTTGCCTCAAGCACAGCCCCTGCTCAGGCACCTGGTGGGAAGGGGACATTTTTTCTCTACCATGGCTGACTATATTCCTTCCCCCTCCATTTCCTCAGGAATGCCCATGTATCCTGACTGTATCCCTGCTACAGGAGTTGGAAGCTCATAGCCCAGAATCCAGGGCACCTCTACCCACCTTGGGGGACACTGGTCAGCTCCTGGGGCCTGGGGATGAGCTAGATCCTGGCCAAACCCTCAGAATGGGTTGTAGCAACTGGTGAGATGGCCTGGGGGGGAGGTAGAAGGGAGATCCTGGAAACCTAGCTTAGGAGAGGAAAGGTTAGGAGAGTGGGGGTCAGGGAAGATGGAGGAATTGAAGGAAGAAGGGCCTGAGGGGAAGGAGGAGAGTAGAGGCAGGGGTCATGTGGGAAGGCAACTTGAGGCTCTCTGGTCTGTTCTCTTCCTGACATCTACAGAAGCAGGTGCCTCAGCCAGGCTTCTTTACTCATTCTCTACCCAATTCCATGTGTTTTCTTCCATGCCCCTCAGTTCCTGTGCCCACGGGCAGCTCACCTGCTCCCTCCTGCACTGTCCTGTGACTGGGGGCTTTACTCCCTGGAATCAGTGGGGGCCTTGTTCCCGCTCCTGTGGGGGAATGGGCACCCGCACCCGCACACGGAAATGTGCCCACCCCAAACCTGCCCATGGTGTCCAGGACTGCCAAGGACCCCGCCAGGACCTCGCATACTGTCTCAGCCCAGACTGTCCTGGTGAATGGGGAGTGGAGAAAGAAGAGGAGGTGGATGGGCAGATTGGGAAGCAGGGTTTGGTCTTCCTCTGTCCAATTCATCCTTTACCTCTGTTTTTCTCTCTTTATGGGTCTGTATTTCTGTCTCTGAATTTCCCTCACTTTCTCTGCTTCTTTCTCTCTTGTTGTCTCTGTCTGTCTTTCCATCTCTGTCTCTATCTCCGGCTGTCTCTCTGTCATTGTCTGTGCTGATATTCCCTCTCTCCATAGAAGCTGAAGGATCCACAGTAATGCCAGGGACAGCCCTCCCAGGTAAGGCCTGGCCCCAGATTCTCTGGCTCTGAAATTTCTGTCTAATGGGCTCCTAACCCCTTTGCAAACCCTTTCTCTCATCACTTCTCTTCTGGAGGAGGAGAGCTCTTAAACTCTTTTCCCTCCTATTGGGTCCATTCCTCTTCTCAGACTAAGCCTCTGACCCTTTCCCCACCAGGCGGCTGGGGGCCATGGTCCCCTTGGTCCCCCTGCTCACGAAGCTGCACAGATCTAGCTCATCCAGTCCTTCGTGGCCGGAGCCGCCACTGCCTGGCCAACTGCACCAATGGGAATTCCATCCAGGAGAGGCCTTGCAACTTGCCCCTGTGTGCAGGTACCCCTATCCATATCCTGGATCCCCCTACCATAAGGGCCTCCAACCCTCTCAACCCTGCAAGGGAAACCAAATAGCTCCTACCAAATTCCAAGTTAATGATTTATACCCTTAAGTACTGTAACATACTCTTCAAATCTCTCTCTAAACATTATCTTATCAAAATGCCTCTGAAGATGGGTTGTTATCCTTATTTGACAGAGGGGAAAACTGAGACTCAGAGAGATAGAGCTGAATTGCTCAAGGTAATACAGCAAATCGGCAGTTAAGCTGGGATCAGAGCCCCCATCTCTAGACTCCTCACTGAGATTATAGTTTGGCCCTTGAGCCTAGGCTGGTGGTGCCACCTAAGGTTAGGATTCTGGTTTGATCTGGGGAGAACCATCCAAATGGCCTGTTCAGGATGAGGAGAGTTTAGGAGACAGGGGATTGGTCCAGCTAAAGAACTGACCTCTTTTGTATCCTGTCCCCCAGGACAGCCTCCCTCCCCAGCCATGCCCCTGTGCCCTGGCCCGGGTTGCACTGGGGCCAACTGCTCCTGGACAGAATGGGCTCCTTGGGCCCCCTGCTCCCGGAGCTGTGGTGTGGGCCAGCAGCATCGCCTGCGGGCATACCACCCCCCTGGGCCTGGTGGGCATTGGTGCCCTGACATTCTTACTGCCTATCAGGAGCGCCGATTCTGCAACCTGTGGGCATGCCCAGGTAAGGGGATGCTGTTTGAGGTAGAAAGGGGCACCATGAGGAGTTATAGCATCTCATGAGTAGTGCAAGGGGTCAGGGAACCTGCCATGTCTGGGCACAATGTCCATCCTCAGCTTTTCACCTTGCTCCCATACTGGCTTTCTGCCCGGGTTCAGTGACGTGCCTGACATCACTTCCATTGCCCCAGGACACCCAGTGGCTATCCTGGTGCCCTGTAGTTTCTTATCTAGTACAGGGTATCCCCCAAAGACATTTTTGTCAAGCAGGAGGTGTTGGAGGGTGATTATGAACCCCCTGCCCATGTGGAAGCTGATCCCTTTCATCTCCTCTTACAGTGGCTGGAGGCTGGTCTCACTGGAGCCCTTGGTCCTGGTGTGACCGGAGCTGTGGAGGAGGTCGCTCACTGAAGAGCCGGAGGTGCACCCGCCCTCCACCCAAGAATGGGGGAGCCCCCTGTGCTGGGGAGCAGCATCGTGTCCGGCTTTGTAACCCTGAACCTTGTGGTAAGGTAACAATCCCACTCAAAGGAGATAGTGAATCTGAAGCACTTTGGACACCAGAAAAGTGCTGGGTAGTTGTCAGCTATTATTGTTATGAACAATAATTAAATTCTGGATGGGCAGCAGTGTGGCACAGAGGATAGAGAGCTGGCTTCAAGTCAAGATGACCTGGGTGCGAGTGACACCTTGGATTCATGCTAGCTATGTAACCCTGGGCAAGTCATTTAATGCCTCAGTGCCCCAGGAAGCTCTTGAAGTTCCCTCTCTGTATTGGTAGAGGATGTTTCCCCACCAGCAGTTCCCAATATCAATAAAGTCATGGATCCTATTTAAAATAAAATAAATTATTAACATGATGTCAATACCACTATGAATTCTTTTATATAGAGATTTCTACTTTGCCAAGAGTTTTCCCACTTGTTAGCTCCTTTGAGCCCTTAGACAACTCCAGTGTGGGGGGAAGGCTGGGCTGGGATTATAATCTTCCTTGGGCAGATGAAGAAATTGACAGGAGAGGCCCCAGGGCATGGGCAGTCTCCCAGTCTAAGCACCTGGGGATGCTTTTTTGTCCTAGCTTGGGTCCTCCATCTTTGATTTTCTTCCCTGGCTTTTCCATTGCCAACAGCTGTTGTTTCAAAATCCAAGGCTTTTTTTTTTCTTTCTTCCCCAACAAAGCTGGAGGAGAAGACAAAGCTTCTCACTTCATCTTACTTTGGAGCAAGCACAAGAAAGGGAAACAGAGGTGGCAAAGCAATCAACTGAAGGGACAGTTATAAAGTGTGATGACATCTCAAAGGCCCCCATCTTGTAATATAAACTGACAGTGATTTTTTTTTAATCAGAATATAAATAGAGATGTACCCAGATGCTGCTGGGCTTCCCTTTGGAGATGCAAAGTTAGATTTGATAAGGACCACTATATTCAAGGAGTTTACACTTCCATAAGAGGCAGTGTGTGATGTAGTGGACAGAGATCTGGTCCTGAAGCCAGGAAGACCCAGGTTCAAGTCTGTAGTTCCTATGGGCTATGTGACCCCGGGCAAGTCCATCTAATTCCTTGGTGGTCCATGCCGGAGATGTCAAATGTGCAGCTAGCTTCCCTGAACCAGATGAAAATGTAATTGGGAAATATTTAACAAAAACAAATCAAAATGGAACACAACATAGATAATGTTAATTTGTGATTTTTTAAGCCAATATGCAGCAGGGATCTATTTCTCTTTGAGTTTGATACCACTGGTCTAGGCAATAGTCTAAGACTCTAAGTTGCCTGGAGGAGGGGCCAGCTTGTATTAGTAGAAGGAATTCCCTGTACTACTGAAACTGCAGACCTAGTCCTTGTTCCTTCAGTGTTCGAAGATAAAAGACATGCACACAAATTACTTTGACACAAGGGAAGTTGAGATACCTATCAAGAAGCAGGCTAGGCGAAGTGTCCTGATCATAGGATCATAGATTTAGAGCTGAAAGGGACATTAGAGACCATTGAGTCCAACCTCCTTATTTGCAGATAAGGAAACTGAGGCTAAGAAAGGGTGACTTGCCCAGGGTCCTACAGTTAATAGGTATATGAGGAAGGTCTTCTTGATGCCAGACCTAGCACATAGTCTTTACTACCACTTACTTGCCCCTCAAGAACTTAGTCACCTTTAGATGGGAGGCAGAGGGGGAAGATCAGAAAAGGTTTCATGGAGGAGGTGTGGCCTTAAGGCACGGGAGAGACTTCAACAGATGGAAATGGGTATGTGGGGAGGGGTTCATTCCAGGTATGGGGGATGGCCTAAGTAAAGGCATTGAGATGGAAGAGGGCAGAACTGGAAGGGGGACACAGACAGGAGCATATAAATGGGAAGGAAGGTAGTATGAGACCAAGCTGGAAAGCTATTATAATATTCTAAGCAAGAAGAGATGAGGACCTGAAATAGAGTGGCTACAGTGAGGACTGAAGGGTATCAGGGATTAGGACCCAGGTCTCCTGACTCCCAATGCTCTTTCTCTTACATTATGGTTGTCATCTTGTTATGGCAGGGGGATGTGAGCTGGGGAAACTTCAGGTAGCATAGCAATGACATTTGATTCATCAGTTGATCAATCAAATGGATATAAATTGAGAATCTGCATTATGCTCAGCCCCATGCTAGGCACTGTAGAGAATACACAGAAATGTTAGATGGGGTCCATACCCTCAAGGAGCTTATAGTCTTGCAGTGAGACATGGTGTGGACTGGAGAGATGAGGTTTCTCTATGACCCTACAAGTGTCCCCAGGCGTCCTGATGGTGGGCATTAGAGATATGCTGGGGAGGGGGGGAGGGAGAGCGCTTCAACATGGGCCCTCCTTACTCAGGCTGTTCTCATCTTTAGCGGAAGGCTGCCCTCCAGGCATGAAAGTCACAGACTGTGCCAACCGATGCCCGCGCCACTGTTCTGACCTCCAGGAAGGCATTGTGTGTCAGGAAGGCCAGACCTGCACACCAGGCTGCCGCTGCCTGGAGGGTATGTGCCCATGAAGTAACTAGATGCGGGGCAGGGTGGGAGGGATTGGCAGCGCCTGTCCCCTCCGTCCAGTGCTGGCTTCCCACTGTTCAACAGATGGGAAGCACTCTGCCTATTCCTCTCTCTCTCCTCCAGGATTCCTGGAGCAAGATGGAGGGTGTGTGCCAGTTGAGCACTGTGAGTGCACTGATACTCACGGGTACAGCTGGGCACCGGGGAGCCAACACCAGGATGACTGTAATAACTGCACGTGCCAGGTGGGGGCATCTGTCCTGCAGTGCCCAGCTCTGCCCACCGCCTGCCTATTGTGCCTGGAGCCGCTGGTCAGCTTGGTCACCGTGCAGTCGTTCCTGTGGGCAAGGAGGGCAGCAAAGCCGCTTCCGGTGAGGGGACCCCCTGGTCCGTGCTCACCTGGCACTTTCTTTTCTCTGTTCAATCCTCTGGATCCCTCCCACCCTTCCCTTGTGTTTACCTGGGCCTTCCTTCCTTTGTCTCTAGCTCCATCTCCCCTAAAGCTCCTCTTCCTCTGTCCCCCTGACAGCTCAATCTCCTCCTGACATTTCTACTTCCCTAATATCCCTCTTCTAATGTCTTTCTCCTCTGATGTTTCTCTTTGCCAATTGTCTACCTCTCCCCCAACAAACTGGGTTCAGATTCTGGATATGCTACTTGCTACTTGTGTGACCTTGGGCAAAGCATGACTTTTCTGGGCCTCAGTTTTCTCATCTATAAAATGAAAGGGTCAAACTGGATCAGTGGTATGCAAACATTTTTTGGCTCACATAATAGCAGTAATGCCAGATAGCATTTGTATAGTGCTTTACAATTTGCAAAGTGATTACGTGTATTATATAATTTGATCCTCACAACAACCTGTGGCGGGGGGAGGGGTTTGGTACTATTATTATCCTCATTTTACAGATGATGGAGGTGAAGTAACTTTCCAAGGGTCACACAGCTAGCAAGTGTTTGAGGCCAGATTTGAACTCAGGTCTTCCTTACTCCAGGTCCATCACTTTAAACTTGACAGCACTTTTAGAGAATCAGGACAGTTGAACGTGCATAGCTTCTCTTCAGTGATAGTATCTGTTTTTGTTGAGTAAAAGTGTAAGGTCTTATGTATTTTGTTTTGTTTTTTATATGAGGCAATTGGGGTTAAGTGACTTGCCCAGAGTCACACAGCTAGTGAGTGTTAAGTGTCTGAGGTCACATTTGAACTCAGGTCCTCCTGACTCCAAGGCCAGAGCTCTATCTACTGTGCTACCTAGCTGCCCATCATGTGTTTTGATATTAGTGCAGAGGGGTAATAGAGATGTTTTGTTTATTTTGTGAACAATTACCAGACTTTGTATGCAGGGTAAATAAAATATATATTAAACAAAATTATGGGTTTTTTAAAATCTGCAATAACTGTGAAATATCACAGTCACACTTATTGAAACTAAACTCTCAGCCTATCCTCTGAGAAGCAGTAGACTAGATCTCTAAGGTTCCTTCCTGTTCTAATCCTATGGTCACTCTCTTGTCTCTCTTCTTCAGTGTCTCTTGCCAATGTCTCTCTTCTCATTTTCTCTCTCTCCTCCATTGTGCCTCGTTCTTCCCTCAGTGTCCCTCTCTCTCTAGGATGCTGTTTCTTTCAACTTGAACTCTGTCCCCTCCTCCCCCTACTCAATCACATTGTCTTCTTTGAATTATCTCTCACCCCCTTATGAAGTTTCCCTTTCTTTAAAATTTTTTAAAAATACTGAATTAGAAAATCATCAACAAAGACAAAGATTTCCCTATACAAAGAAGGCCCCCAAATGGAGATTGTACACAAAATTATGAATCCATTACATGCTGTTGAGTTTTTAGAAATAAAGATTAAATTCAGTGTGGAAGTGTGGAGTGCCAATATTGCCCTGCTTGTCTATGTCCTCTTCTGAACTTCTGTTTTCTTCTGTGCATTTTTTAAAGGTTTCTTTGGCACCTTTCTTCTTCTTCTCCTCCTTCTTCTTCTTCTTCTCCTTCTTCTTCTTCTTCTTCTTCTTCTTCTTCTTCTTCTTCTTCTGCTTCTTCTTCTGCTTCTTCTGCTTCTTCTTCTTCTTCTGCTTCTTCTTCTTCTTCTTCTCCTTCTCCTTCTTCTTCTCCTTCTCCTTCTTCTTCTTCTTCTTCTTCTTCTTCTTCTTCTTCTTCTTCTTCCTCTTCTTCCTCTTCTTCTTCTTCTCCTCCTCCTCTTCCTCCTTCTCCTTTCTTCTTCTTTCTTCTTTTTCTTCTTCCTCTTCTTTTTCTCCTCCTCCTCCTCCTCCTCCTCAATCCCTCCACCTCCCTCTCCTTCTCTTCTTCTTCACCTTCTCCCCCTCTTCTTCCTCCCCTCCCCCCCTCTTCTTCCTCCCCTTTCCCTTCTTCTTCCTTCCCCTCCTCCTCCTCTCCCTCTGCCTCCTCCCTTCTTTCCTCTTCCTTCTCTCCCTTTCTCCTCCCCAGCATATCCTCTTTCCCTTCTATGCTTGCCAGTCCTTGCCTAACTTTCCTGACCTCTCGCCTGCCTCCCCAAACCTTAGCTCTTTGCTTCCTGTCTTTGCACCATCCTGGGCCTTCATCTGCATGTCCTCTCAGATGTGCTAGAAGAGGGTCCCTGGGGTCCCATCTCACTTTCTTTCTGCTTTTCCCCTCCACCCCCACCCAGGTCATCCACATCTGGTTCATGGGCCCCGGAGTGCCGGGAGGAGCAGTCACAGAGTAAGCCTTGCCCCCAGCCCCTGTGCCCACCTCTGTGCCCACATGGCAGCCACCTCAAGGCCCTCGGGGACAGCTGGTTACAAGGAGAATGTCATCAGTGGTGAGTCCATAGGCAGCAGTGGGCACAGCTGCCCTAGGTGGGGGTAGATGTGTGGCTGGCACATTGGGCAGAGGCTTGGCAATGACAGTATTACAGAGTAGGGGAAGCACCAAGGTGGGAGAAATGCGTGAGGAAAGGAAAGGAGTTGGGTCCTCTGAAGCTATGTTTCAGCTCTGCTTTCCAGGGACTTAAGTCTCTACCTCCTCCCTCTAGCTTCTGCACTCCAGAGGGCATTATTTGCCAGGACATCGAATGCGCAGGTGCAGTGTCCCTAATCCCCACCCCCCTGCCCTTACCAGTTTCCATCTTTGCCCTTTTCTGCTTCCTCCTCTGTTGTCATCCCAGCCCTGCCCAGGTCTGTTTCTGTCCTCCTTGTTGTTTATTTTTTCCATCTGGCCTCTAAGGCCCAAAGAAGCTGAGATTCTATTCATATCTATTCCCAGAAACCTCTTGGAGTCCCCTTCAACTCCTATATCCTGAGGGTGGTGATCCCTGTGACCATTACCCACATTGTCCTGGCTCCTTTGACCTCTGACCTCTCTGTTTACAGTGCCTGGGGCTTGGACACCATGGTCCCCCTGGTCAGATTGTCCAGTTTCTTGTGGGGGTGCAAACCAGGTTCGAACCAGAGCCTGCATTGCCCCACCCCCACAACATGGGGGGCTGCCCTGCCCAGGCCCAGATACCCAAGCCCAGCCTTGTGGGCAGCAGCTTTGCCCAGAGCTGCCTATTTCCTGCTCCTGGGAGCCGTGGGGACCTTGCTCCCAAAGCTGTGGCCCTGGCCTTGTCTCCCGATCTGGCTCCTGTCCCTGCTCCCCAAATGGCCTCAGTCCTTCCTGCAATGGCACCACACCCCACCTGGACACCCGTGCATGTTATTCTGGACCTTGCCCAGGTAAGGATAGAAAAGCAATAAGGTATGGTGGAAAGAACATTGAATTTAGGGTCAGAGAACCAGAGCTTAAATTGTAGTTATTATTTGCTATTTATGTAAATTTAGATGTCATGAAATCTCTCTTGGCCTCAGTTTCTTCATCTGTAAAATGAGGGGGTTGGATGAAATTATTTCTGAGGTCCCTTCCAACCCTAGGTCGATGATCTCCTTTCTTTCTGATGTTAAAGATTGGGGAAGGAGAGGGAGCAGAGGAAGCGGAGACAAAATTTCAGGAAAAAGAATTTCTACTTGAGTGTCTTTTTTGTAAAAAAAAAAACCCAAACTCTAGACTTTCTAATTTTCATTATTTCACTTTTATGATATTCTTTTCTTTCTTCTCTATCTTTGCCCCCTAGAGACTCCTTTTGTGCTCCATAATGGGATATAGTAGAAAGATTGTATAGCTGTGAACCATGGGAAGGGAACCCTGCCAGAAATGGCCCAAGCTTCCTCTAAATATCCTGTACTTTTCTTACCCCCTTCCCCTTTCTTGCTGTGATTGGGACAGGGGAGCAAAGATGGGGAGGTTATGCAGGAGTCACTGGAAGACGTGTCTGGCCAACGCTTTGTTTCATTGTTTCTCCTAGAGGAGTGCGTGTGGACTAGCTGGAGCAGCTGGACTGTCTGCTCTTGCCGGGTGCTAGTTCAGCAGCGATACCGGCACCAGGGTCCAGGCTCCAGGGGGACCAGTCAGGAGACCCCCTGCACCCGCCTAGATGGCCACTTCCGGCCCTGCCATCCCAGAAATTGTTCTGGTGAGAAATGGCTGCTGGGGTACACTGAGAGTGAAGGGAGGAAGGATCCCAGGGACTGAGGAGAGTAGGTTCCCTTTGTCTTGCTCCCTGCTACCACCAGTGCCCTACCCAGGCCCCTGACTCCCGGGGGGAAAAATCCTAGCATCACCCTGGGTCTCCCTGACAGTCCTCTTGACCCACTGCTCCATCCTACCTGGCAGTTACCATACCAAGAGTGATTACTCTTCGCCCTTACTCACGGTAGGTGTGGTATAGAAAGGTGTCTGTGGCGTAATGGAAAGGATCCTTGGAATCAGAAGGCCCGGATTCAAATCCCGGCTCTAATACTAACTAGATGTTTGACTCTGGGCCAAGTGCCTTAAACGCTGTCAACTTGGCTTTCCTCAGTTGAGGAACAGTTAACATTTGCGTTACCTAACTTATAGAGCTGTGAGGAGAGCATGTTGTAAATCTTAAAGCCTGTATAAATGGGAGTTATTATTATTACTTCCCACCCAAAGCTCATCCCTAACTGTGGTTGTTCTCCTATCCATAGCCTTTGTTATAGCCAGGCAGAGTTCCAAAGTTCTCTCTCTCCTATCTCTGTCAAGTATTCTTCCATCTCCAGACTTCAGGTCAAACTGAAAATTCCTATTCTCCCACCTGTCAGGTTATTCCCTTCCTATCCTTCCACGCTCTTCTTTAGCTCTTTCTCTTCCTCCCCCACCTCCTCCTCCATACAGCTCTCCCTGATATATCAGAAAAACAGCTCTAAGGCATCATTCACTCCCTCAAATCCTTCCCTGATATAATGGATTTATATGGGTATTGGGGTGGGTCCCTTCCATTATGTGGGGCTGGTGGGTCAATCACATTCCTTCTATGGAACTGTCAATGCCTTGAGTTCAGGAACTATCTCAGCCATACTGGTTAGCACTCCTTTCCTTCTTGTGTCTAGAGCAGGACATCCCAGATTTCTCATTTTCCCACTTCTAAGGTTTCCTCCATGATTTTTACTTCATCCTACTGGAATCCCCTCCTTTGGGTTAGACAGTGTCAATCAGGTGATTGGGTGATGCTTTGGGTAGGAGTGAGGAGGGGATTATCATGGGGTCTCCCCACCAGGTGACTCTGCTTCCCTAACTTCTTCTCCCCCTAGAGAAGAGCTGTGAGCCACCATTTGAGTTCCAGGCCTGTGGCTCCCCTTGTGCTGGGCTCTGTGCTATCCGTCAGCACGCTGGCCTTTGCCAAGACCTAGCTCCCTGTCAGCCTGGCTGCTACTGCCCCAAGGTGAGGGGGAGAAAGGCAGTAAGGAGGGCACATCTTTGGGGGGAAAGAGGGCACATCTTAAGGCTATTGTGAGGAAAGCATTTGCTGGACTTGGAATCAGGAAGACCTGAGTTCAAATCTTGACTTACTATCTGTGTGAACTTGAGCAAGTGACCCAACCTCTCTGAGCCTTAATTTTGTCCTCTCTAAAAGGGGGATAATAATAGCATCTACCTGCCAAGGTTGATGTGATGCTCAAACAATCTATATCTATATCTGTGTCTGTGTTTATGCCTGTGCCTGTGTCTGAGTATGTGTCTATATCTGTCTATGTCTGTGCCTGTGCCTGTGCTTGTGCCTGTGTCTGTGTCTGTGTCTGTGTCTGTGTCTGTGTCTGTGTCTATATCTGTCCATTTTCTCTAGAAAGTCCCTTTGAAACACCTATAGGTTTTACCTAGGAAAACAGGGAAGTTTGGGACAGACAGGGACTTTGTGAATCCAGCTCCCAACTCTTCTTTCCCTCTCTTCCAGGGGCTACTAGAGCAGGCAGGGGGTTGTGTCCCTCCTGAACAGTGTAACTGTCACTTGGGTCCCAGCAATGGAGTAGGGGAGCCCCAGACTCTGGCTCCTGGAGAACACCTGCACTTGGGCTGTAAGGAGTGGTAAGTGATGGAAGGGGGATGGGTTGGCGATAGGGCCCCATGGAGAATTTGGGACTGAGGCTGGGTTGGAGGAACTAGGAGAGATGGATTCTTAGTACAGGCCCAAGATCTATGGCCAGGAAAGGGATGGGGGAAGTAGGGAGAGGTAGGGACATTTATCCGACCTTGACAGAGCAAATTGAACAAAGGTTTAGGAAGCCTGGCCATGGGGTGGAATGTGCGAGAGTTTGGACTCATGGATGTATCCTTCTTCTCCTGTTCCATCCCCGAGTATTCCCAGGCTCCGGTTCTTCTCCTTCACCTTCACTCACCAAACTCCTCAGGGACACGTCCCTACCTGTATCTAGACTCCTAGGGTTATCCAGACTCAGCCCCCCACCCACAGAAAATGCCTTCTCTACAGTGTCTGCCAGGATGGGGAATTGCAGTGTTCCAGTCATAACTGCCAAGGTAACTGCAGATCCCCCTTGATCCCATCTCCTTCTCATCCTTGCCCCGGTCCCATTGGGCCATTCTTCCATGGCTCATATACACCAAGCCTAACTACTTCTCCTCATGCCTCTTGTTTGCTAATTCTCCAGTCTCCTTCATGCCTGGGTCTAGTGATTTCCACTAGAGTCGAGGCACCCATATGGGAGAAATAGGGCTTGTGGGAGACAGGCCTGGATCCTCCATATCCATGCCCTACCCCCAGGTCTTCTACCCCTGAGTGGGTGGTCAGAGTGGTCACCCTGTGGACCTTGTTTGCCACTTGCTGCTCTGGCTCCCACCTTGCTGAGTGCTCTGTGGGAGCATGGACCCAAGGATGGACCCTCTCCTATGCCTGCTGATTTCCCCCTACTGGCCTCAGAGCAGCATCGGCACCGCCTGTGCCTGGATCCTGAGACAGGAAAGCCCTGGGATGGGGACTCACAGTTCTGCACTGCCCCTCTGAGCCAGCAGCGCCTCTGCCCTGACCCTGAAGTCTGCCAAGGTAACAGACAGAGGACCTAGAAAGTGAAGTGGTCCTACCACCAGGATGGAGTTGGGAGGGAGTTTCTTTCTAGAGTGACCAGGCCAGTTTCCATACCCAGTAAGGATTTTGAACCAGGCCTGAACTCCCTCTCCTCCCCTTCCTTTTTCCTTCCTGGCCTTTGGGTTAGGAGGCTCTCCAGTTGCCAAGCTGAACATGATGTTTTCAGGAACCAGCTATGCTTCCAGAAGGAAACCAAGAAAGGTCTTGGTATAGGGGCAGTCTCCTTTCAGGAAATAGGGATGGGAAGTAAGCCCTGATCTTTTCCTCTCACCACTTATCTCCCAGCAATCTTTCTCTCTTTTTTTTTTACTGTACAATTTCAGTTTTATTAGAGAAATTTTTACATGGTTAACACAGTTCTCAGAAAGTCCCCTGATTGTGTGCATATCATAGGGAATATGATACAACTAATATCTGTAATGCTTCCTTTGACAACTCTGACAATCCTGTTGACGTAAAAGGTCCTTATTATGCTTGTTGTTGAAATTATAACTCTTGTATACTCAAATATGTTAGATAGTGATCATGAGTCCCTGCAGTGGTTAATTTTAGCATAAATCCTGAAATGATAGCTTTTTCAAACTTGAGTACAACTGGACTACCATTCTATGGTATATGTATTCCCAAGAGATACTAGTCTACATAAATTACATAGGGTGCCATGTTTTGTGTGTTTTTTCAAAAAAGAAATCCTGCTACAAAGTAGGAAATAAGTATAAGGGAAATGATAGGTCTGCAAAGTATAAACATCTTATCAAGTTATGTTATTATAAAATTAAATCTTTCCTTTTTTTGCCCACTAGACCCTTGCCAGTGGGAAACCTGGAGCTCTTGGAGTCCATGTCAAGTATCTTGCAGTGGAGGATTCCGGCTACGCTGGAGGAAGGCAAAGGTTCTTGCCAGAGAAAGATGCCAGGAGCCCTGGGCTCAGACAGAAAGTTGCAATACTGATCCATGCCCAGGTAACCCTCCTGCTCCAGAAACTCCAGGTATTTAAGACAGAGACTAATAGCAGGGAGAGGAGGGCTCCCTTTGGGTAATGACCTACCCAAACTTAGCCTCTGCCAAAGTTTCCTCATTTAAAATGGGGATAATAATAGCATTAGCCTCATGGGGTTGCTGTGAGGATCAAAGGAGATAACATTTGTAAGGCACTTAGCACAGTGTAGGCACAGAGTAGGCACTTAATAAATGCTTGTTTCCTTCCCTTTCCCATCTTTAAGAACAGTGCTAGTGGGTAAGTCAGGTGTGGGAAAGAATGAAGGAAATGCAAAGGTAGGGACTACAGAAGGAAAGAATGATGTGGTAGAGAGATTGAGGGGGGATGGAGGACAAAATGGGGCTTCCATTTACCCTACATTCTTCCTAACATACTTTTTTGTGTCCTCAGGGGAGAGTTGTGAGGCCCAAGGTACAGTGCCAACAGCTGATTGTGCCAATCAATGTCCCCGAAGCTGTGTGGACCTGTGGAACAGAGTGCAGTGTCTCCAAGGGCCCTGCAGCCCAGGTATAAACCCACCCTCCAGTCAGCTTTTTACTTTCTGGTGAAGGACCAGGCTAGAGGCTAATAGCCACAGAACTAATGTCCTGGTTCCAGCTCCCTAGCTACTGCTACGCATGCAATAATAATTCCTGTATGAAAATAAGTTTCACTTCCTTATTTTGCTTCAAAATTAACCCAACTGTTCTTTATCTAAGATGGTTGCTTAAGAAAGCAGTGTGGATTTTTCTGTACCCATAGCCTCCTTGGAAAAGCATTAATGGATTCCACCAATGAATTTTTAGTCCCAAAATGTTCAATTTCCAAAGTAGTTTTGGAAGCGTTATAGGCAACGGAGAGCCATTATGAACTAGGGATACAGTGACATGTTGATCTATATCTAGTTTCTGCTAGAGTGCTTTACAGTTTTCCAGCAGCTCTCGTTGAATACTGAGTTCTTGCCCTGATAATAAAATTTTGGGATTTTTTGGACACTAGGATACTCTGCTCATTTGCTTCTGCACATCGTATACCTAATCTATTCCACTGATTAGCTTTGATATTAATCACCCAAGTACCAAATTATTTTGGTGATTACTCTTTTGCAATATAGTTTAAGATTTGGTACTGCTAGGCTCCTTTCTTTCCCACTTTTTTCATCAATTCCTTGGATGTTCTTGACCTTAAGTTTCTCCAGATGAATTTTGCTATTATTTTTTCTAGTTCTGTGTATTAATCCTTTGGTAGTTTGATTGATATGGCACTGAATAAGTAAATTAGCTTAGGTAGTATTGTCATCTCCATGTTGACTTAGCCTACCCATGAGCAACTAATATCTCTCCAAATATGTAGATTCATCTCTATTTATGTAGAATGTTTTGTAGTTGTGTCCTGGCAGGTAGCCTCCCAAGTATTTCACACTTTCTGTAGTTATCGTAAGCCATTGTTCATTAGGGAGAGAATGAATGCACATACATGTGTGTGTGCATGCGCGTGTATGTTACCCACCATCCTGGGTCCTCCCCTAACCCCTCAAATCTTGTTTTCCCACCGAGGCTGCCGTTGTCCCTCTGGCCAGCTGCTTCAGGATGGGCATTGTGTACCTGTATCTTCTTGTCCCTGTGGCCTCCCCAGCTCCAATGCCACTTGGGAGCTGGTCCCAGCTGGGGAGCTGCAGTTGGATTGCCATAACTGGTATGGTGTTGGTTGTGGAGCTAGGAGGGAGGTTGACCTAGACCCGGCTCCAGAGGGCTAATTGTTAGAATTTTAATGTGAGCATCTACACCTCAGAAATCAGCAAACACTACAAATCGGGGCTTGGTTTGTTACCTTGTTGATTGCCTAGACTTAGGAAAGTTATGGAGAAAAGTTTAATAGTGCAGATGACACTTAAAAGTATGTCAGGTGTACTTCTTTTTGTTTGGAAAGTCAGTTGCTAAGCATTTATCAGCGTGTATACACTAGGCCTGGAGCCCTTGGGGATGGGTGGGTGAGAAGTGGGGCGTGCAGAGGATTGGGAAGAGGGGAAATGCAGTGACCCAGAGACTGAGATCTCAGTCCTTCTCCCTTGGTGTGTACTTGCCTATCCTAGTACCTGTGTCAATGGGTCCTTGGTATGCAGTCCCTATGAATGCCTGGCCTTTGGGCCCTGGTCACCCTGGAGTGACTGCTCAACCTCCTGTGGCGGGGGTACTAGGGAGCGGCACCAGAGCTGTGAGGAGAGTCTCCAGGGGTTCCCATGCCAACTCCAGGACATGAAGCAGATAGAAGAATGCAATTCTGAGCCCTGCACAAGTGAGTGCCCATGGATGGTCCTTCCGTTCTTGGATAATGTGACTAAGCAGCACTTTCTTACCCCTCCCCTAGATGCCCAGGTGCCATCCTGGGCTGGAACTGACTGAGGTACCTTATATTTCAGCTTTGTGCCAGGTGGGCGAGTGGTCAGAGTGGAGTGATTGCAGTGCCAGCTGTGGGGGAGGTGTGACAGAAAGGAAGAGAGATCCACCTCTGGGGACACCGTGCCCCCTGCTCCCACCCCTGCGGCTCCATAGGACATGCAACCCTCAGCCCTGCAGCCAACGTAAGGGTTGGGGGGAAACAGAGGCAGGCAGAGGAGAGGTAAGGGGCAGAGATTCATTGCTTCTAAATCCTAAACTCTGGAGGACAGGGAATGGGTGTGCTTACAGTAAGAGGCAAGGAGCAAAGTTTTATATTTCTGTAGAATATTTTTTAATCTTTCCAATAGCCTTTACAGCTATGATCTCATTTTATCTCAGTAACTCAGATACAGGCAGAGAAGGTAGTATATCTTCATTGTTGATGTGGAGAAACTGAGGCACAGAGAAGTTAAATGAGTCGCCCCTAAGTTCACAATGCTGATCAGTGGCAGAGCTAGTTTAAGAAGCCAGGCCTCATGACTTCCAGCTCTGTGGTCCTTTCCCTCTAGGCAGGAAGGGGACCCAAACCTAGTTCCTTCTCTACCTTGTGATTCCTCCCATGAAGTTGTGGTCTCCCTTGCTTCCCTCTCCAGAGTGCCCCCCTGATCAGAGACCCACCCCCTGTGCCACATCATGCCCAAGCCGCTGCTCAGACCTACAGCCTGGCACCCTCTGTGTGCAGTTGCCTTGCCAACCTGGCTGCAGCTGTCCTGATGGGCAGGTGAGTATAGTGAGAATGCTATAGGAGTGGGGATTGGAGGGTATGTGTGTGTGTGTGTGTGTGTGTGGCTGTCTCTTTATATTCTACACACGCCAGACTGATGTGTGCATGTGTCTTGGGAGTGGAGATCTCTCATGATCTTATAAGAAGAGGATAGGCCATCCTCGGAAACGGGAGGGGGCACAGACTGGCTCAAGGCCTAGGACTGGAAATGCTCCATCAAGGTACTGTCAGTGTGGGGAGGCAGCCGGCTCTAGCCTTAGCAGAGCCTACCCTGGGCATGGGGCTAAGTCAGTGCTATGCTTCTGCCTTAGCTGCTGCAGATGGGCAGATGTGTCCCCCTGGCTGAGTGCCCCTGCACCCAGCTTTCGTTGCCCTGGGCCCTCTTCTTGACCCCAGAGGATCAGGCCCAAGAGCTGCCTTCTGGGACTATACTTGTCCGGAACTGTACCCACTGGTGAGGGCACCTAGGAACTTAATAGCTAGGAGAATTTGGGGAAAAATAAGGAGGGGGAGAGAAATGGGATGGGGATGAGGCTAGAGATGGAATAGGAGGGGAGGGGATGGGACAGAAGGGAATGGAATGGTGTGCTCAGTAGGAATTATACCAACTGGTGGAGGCACCTAGGAACCTAATAGATGGGGCCTTTGGGGAGAAATGGGGGAAGAGAAAAGGGATAGGGTTAAGAGTAGGGATGGGATAGGGTAGGGAAGGGGGGGAAAGGGAATGGAGTGGGATGCTCACCTGAGCCCTGTGGTTCTGTTCTGCCAGCCTCTGCCAGGAAGGATCCTTCAACTGTTCCAGCAGGGACTGTCAGGGTGAGAGATAGCTCTACGCAGCGATCCTTCCACTGGCACTACCCCCACACCAAGGGCCAGGCTTTCCCCGAGTCCTAAAGGCTCAATTAAGGATCTGGGTCACGTCCGAAGTCCCCATCTTCCCAACACCCAGGGCTTTGGGCACTGCACGTTTCATTGGAGATGGGGCTAGGAGTGGGGCTGCACTGGGAGTTATCGGTGGCCAGGAGGCTGTGTTTGGGGAGGATGGGCCCTGATCCTTCCTCCCCTGATTTGTTTAGGTTATTTATTGGTACTCGACCTGTCCTTCAAGGTCTCACATTTTCCCTGACCCACCCAGTGACCACTGACCACAGCAACCTCTTCCTCCTCAATTTCTGTAACACTTCTGTCATCTAGCATTCATTGGTGCTCCTTTCCTGCCTGCCATTGGCAGTTATCTATATATATATATCTTGTCTTCCCAACTAGATTGAAAGCTGGAGGTTAGGGACCATGCTATATGCTCTTTTATCCCTCATAGGACCTAGCAGCCACTTGTGTACCCAGCATATACTGTGATGAATACAGAGCCTGAGGAGGGAGAATTCTAGCCATTTAAGAGATTACAGTCTAGCTGGGAAGGAAAAACATCACTATGGGGAATGGGTGGAGAGTGACTCAAAGCAGTATTGATAAGCACCAAGTGCCTGATGCACACATGCTTGGACTAGGCTTTCAGAGAAGGGAAAGCTCATTGTGGGCCGGAGCTGTTGAGAAGGCCCTGGAGAAGCCTGACTTGAGTTGGGCACAGGAGGACGGGCAGTATTTGGCTGGACAGAAAGGATGGGGCATCTGGGTAGGGAGAATAACGTGGACAAAAGTGAGAATGCCTACTCTGAGGGGTTCTGTGCCATTAGGCATGTATGTGGCTGGCAGGGGAAGGATAGAGACCCATCTATCCATGGTGTGATTTGGGAAAGTAAGGGAACCAGTCTGTCTGGATTCAAAGAGATGTATAGGGAAGGAGTGTAGGGGCAAGGAAGTCTTCCAGGGACCCTGAAGGATAGAGACCCATCTATCCAGATGTGGTCAGCATCCCTGAATGTAATGCCCACCTGCTAGCCTCCTCTTCCCAGGGAAGTCCTTACTTTCCAGTGAGCATCCCCACAGGCCTGACTCCCTTCCCTATCTGTCCTGCCTTTTTCTCCAACTTCATGTGTCTGGGGACTGGTCAGTTTGCTCTATAAGCAGTGGGGAAGGAGTCCTCAACTTCCATCAGACCCCTGTGACACTAGGCCCTGCATATGAAGCCTCTGCTTGTCTCAGCAATCCTGCCAGCTGCCATACTGGAATAGGCAGGTTGGGAGAGAGGTATCTGGGGAACGTGTGGATAAGAGCAGGGAGACCTCAGGACAGGAAGTGAGAAGTCAAGAGAATTACAGAATGTTCAAGCACAAAGGGACTGTAGGGGTCATCTAATATAGTGCCGCTGTGGAACAGAGGAGGAAAGTGAGGCTCCAAGAATAGAAATGACTTATCTAAGGTCACACACCTCATTAGTGAGAACTAGGACTCATCTCCTTATTCCTAGTCTTCTTTCCACTGTGCTAAGGAGGCTTGATTGTATTCAATTCAGTTCAATTCCACTAGCCTCCCTTGAGCAGTCTACACACACCTCTGTGTGGCCTACAGTGAGAGGCAGCATGGGGATAGTGGAGGTATTAGTGTAATTGAATCAGAAAAGGTCAGGGTGAGAATCTCAGTTCTGCTACTTTCTACCCATGTGGCCTTGGGAAGATGAGCCCTCTCTGATCCCTTCTGGCTCTAAATTCTATGCTATAAGTCACGCCTCTGCTCTCTAGGGGCTTGTAAGTTAGCTAGAGAGATCCACGGAACAGTTATGAAAGCATTTCAAAAGAGTAGAAGGTAGCACATGGTAAGCGTTACAGTGAGTGATGCTGGAGGAAGTGAGGGAAGGGGAAGAACCATGTGGGTGGGGTGGTTGGAGAAATCTTAACAAAAGAAGGAAGGCTTGAGCCAATTCTTGAAGAATGGGTGGAGAAGTGGGTGTAAGGCAGAGGGAACAGAATGTGTAGAGGTGGGAGTGAGCATGGTGTGATTTGGGAAAGTAAGGAAACCAGTCTGTCTGGATTCAAAGAGATGTATAGGGAAGGAGTGTAGGGGCAAGGAAGTCTTCCAGGGACCATGAAGGGAAACGGGAGAAAATAGAATCCTTTGGGGAAGTCTACCTCAGGTCCCAGGTCCCTGGACTGTCCAGGACTAATGGAAGTGGTGGGGCTTGTGGTACTCTTCAGCAGAGTGCCCGCCTGGAGAGAGGTGGCAGCAGGTGGTACCAGGGGAACCAGGCGCATGTGAGAAGACTTGTCAGGAGCTGTACATTGAGGAGCCGCATCAGAACAACTGCAGCATGGGGCAGACTGAAGGCTGTGTATGCCAGAGTGGGCATTACCGCAGTCAGGCAGGCACCTGTGTCACTGCTGCCCACTGCGAGTGCTGGCACCACGGACGCTTCTACTTGGTGAGATGCCGCCTTCTGCCAACCACAGAAAAGGGCCATTTCCCCCACCCTGCTCTTCCAACTACTACCCTGGCTCCAATTTTTCTCTTTGTTCTTTCCTCCACATCCCTGGACACTGGTATGGGCTCTTCAGCCCAAATGTAAAGGTCATGGCATCTGATATGAAAGCAGCTCTACCTCCTTCCCATCATAAAGTATGACTTCCTTAACCATGTACCAGAGCCTGTTCTTTCTGCTCTTTTGGTCTCTCTCACTTTGGCCTATTTGGGAGGTCCCAGGTTAGGACCAAGTCTACAGGGTATTTTGGGGAGAAAGGTTTATAGTGGAGAGGATCTCATTCCATAATTATTGTCCTCCTTTCAGCCTGGGGCTGAGTGGCAGGAAGACTGTGAATGGTGCAGATGCATTGATGGGAGGAGCTTTTGTGCCCGGAATTGTCCCCACATTGTCTGTGCTCAGGTACCACTACCTCCTCGTGCCAGGTATGGCCTTCCGTGTTACCCCTCTTGAGGCATCTCTGAAGGAGCTAATGTGCTGATCTGGGAAAGGGACACTCCACACACAGGGGAAGTCCAGGATGTGGGGTTCACTCTTGGGATTATTGGATGGGCAGTGAGTTGAGGTGGGATTCTTTTCCCAAGTCGGGTCTCTGACTGTTCCTACAGGGTGAGATAAAAGTACAGAAGCCAGATGGTTGCTGCCCTGTCTGTCAGCAGGAAGTACTAGGTATAGTGTGAATGCTCAGGGGGACTCCCCTGCTCTGCCCCTCTTTATGTCCAACCTTTCTTCCCTTCCCTTGCCATGCAGTCCTTTCTGGATTGTCTCAGCTCTTTCTCTTCTCACTAGAAGTCTTAGAAAAAACTAGGGCCTGCTTCATGGTCCCTGAGCAGCCCTTGGCCCCGATTCCTCCTCTGCTGGCACTGCCTGTCTGTAGGCCTGGTCTAGGTGTCCCAGCCCTGACCCCTTCTAGCACTTCGCTATCCCTCAGGGTAGGGACTGAGGCTAGACCCAGCCAGGTTTCTGCCTTCCTACATCTTGCTCCAGCCCCCACGCTATATCCCCTCCTCTTGCCTGCCCTCCTTCTATGCCATTGCCTGCTTCTCCCTCTTTTCCTAACAGAAGAAGCATCGATGTCCTGCAAGCATCTCACTGAGCTTCGAAACATCACCAAGGGTTCCTGCCACCTGCACCAGGTAGAGGTGAGCTACTGTACTGGACACTGTCCTTCCAGCACTGATGTCATTCCTGAGGTGAGCAGTGGATCCTCCAGAAAAAGGAAGGGAGGGAGGGATGGTAGGATGTTGGGGGAAGGAGGACAGGAACATTGGGAAGGGAAGATTGAAGAAATGGGGGCCCTGTTGTCTAATGAAGGGAAAGTGTTTTGTGAGGCAGGAGAACTGATGGAATGAAGTCAGCCAGTTTTACTGATTACTTACAACTGCCCTACTCTGGGTAATACAGTACACTGTGGGCAATACAATAAGAGAAGGGTCTATTTTCCTGAGAATTTCCTATCAAATTGAAGGGGAAAAAAAGATATGCTATGAGACAGAGATAATTAGTGCTAGTGAAAAAAATCATTTGGCTTAGGTTGAGGCAGGAGGATTGGCCTAAATCCTGTTCAGCTCATTATTTCTTCTATTACAGTCTTTCTGTAACCAAAGTAAATGATTGCTGGCAATTAACAACTCAGGATAGCCACTTTAGGATATAGCCCTTCTGTATATGCCTTTTGCCATTGTCATCTTCCCAAATCAATAGACATCTTTCCTAACACATCCATTCTGGAAATAGGTTTTCGAGACATTTATTAGCAATTCATGGAAAAAGGTAAACGTCTACAACCTCTTGAGAGTTACAGAGGTATCTAGCACAGAATCCAGGTAATCTTAGCCAAAGGTGCCTTCTTATATGGCCCATAAATGTCTAGGATGAGCTTAGAAGGGTAGAACATTCCTTACTTATAGTCAGAGTGTCTGGGTTCCATGCTTCATGGTGCAGCCGTCTTTGTTTAGGAGCAAACCCATTGGCTTCATCCCTTTAGCTTAACTTAGGTCTGACTGCTTTTCTTCTTCCCAAGAACAGCTGCACTAAACTTGGCTTTGCTTACCAGTCCCTAGACAAGAACTTATGGTGCACCACATTAGCATAGTTCCTTCTGTCTTTTCTTCCAGAGTGACTATTGCATCAACACTCCTCCTGTTTTTCTTCCCCAAGAAAATATTTCTCCATTCCCCACAGAAAAACATTTATAGGTTTACAATATCACATGTATATCATATCTCAAATCATATCCATCTTTGATTTGTAATATGAGGGGCTTGACTTTGATTCTTTCTAAAGTCCCTCCTGCTCTAACTCTCATGATCTTCTCAGGTATAGAGGAAGGGTTATTTCTTCGCAGTATGTAGGAGTGAAATTTTTTATCTCTAAATGCTTACATCAGTAAAAATAGAGAAAAAACAGATTAATGAATTGAGCATACAACTAAAAAAGCTAGAAGAAGAACAAATTAAAAATACCCAATTAAACACCAAATTAGAAATCCTGAAAATCAAAGGAGAGATTAATAAAATTGAAAGTAAGAGAACTATTGAACTAGTAAATAAAACTAAGAGCTGGTTTTATGAAAAAAAAAACCTAATAAGATAAATAAACCTTTGGTTAATTTGATTAAGAAAAAGAAAGAAGAAAACCAAATCACTAGTATCAAAAATGAAAAGGGCAAATTCACCACAGTATACAGAAGTGTCCATCTACCCTTGAAGTTCCCAGACATGTTCAATTGTTTCAGTCCTGTCCGACTCTTCATGGCCCCATTTGGGGTTTTCTTGGCAGAGATCCAGGAGTGGTTTGCCATTTCCTTCTGCAGCTCATTTTAGAGATGAGCAAACTGAGGCAAAGAGGGTTAAGTGACTTGCCCAAGATCACACAGCTAGTAAGTGTCTAAGGTCAGATTTGAACTCAGGAAGATGAGTTTTCCTGATTCCAAGCCCAGTGCTCTATCCACTGTGCCACCTAAAAGCACTGTAGTTGCTTCCCAATAACGTTTCCACTCCAGTAGCACCCTCCTGTGTAATAGAGTGCAGTTAAGCCCAGCAAATGGGTATACTGACCATGTCTGATGACTGTACCTATTGTTGTTCAGTCATGTCTGACTCTTCATGAGCCCATTTGGGGTTTTCTTGGCAAAGATACTGGAGTGATTTGCCATTTCCTTCTCCAGCTCATTTTAGAGATGAGGAACTGAGGCAAACAGAGTTAAGTGAGTTGCCCAGGGTCACGCAGCTAGTGTCTGAGGCTGGATTTGAACTCGGGTCCCCTTGACTCTAGGTCGAACGCTCTTTCTACTGCACCACCTGGCTGCCCCTAAAGGCTGGATGACAACTTGTCAGACATGTTACAGAGCAGATTCTTGTGTTGAATTAGATGTTTTGTGAGGTCCTTTTCAATCTTGAGATTCTATGACTAGGTAGTTGACTACCGGATCCTAACTCAGAGGTTAGAATGCTGGACTTGTCATAAGGAAAACCTGAGTTGAATTCTGCCTATAATATTAACTCTGTGGCTATGTACAAGTTGCGACCTCTCTCAGCCTCACTTTCCAATAATAATACCTACCTCATAGGATAGGCTTAAATGAGATGTGTGTAAAATACTTTGTAAATCTTTAAGCACTATTTAAATGTCAATGATCTCTCCTTCCATGGTTATCCCTCTGGTCTTAGGTTATCGGCTCATTCCTTAGGTGCTCTGATGTAGATTCAAGTGTTGACCTATGGACTGGCCTTCCCCAAATGACTTTATCATTTAAATGCATAGCCAAATTTACATACAGAAAATCCCCAGAAGTGTGTGGTGGGGAAATACTGATAGTTAAGCAGTTTCACAATTTTCTTCCTAACTAGACTAAAAGCCTCTGGAGAACTGGACTACTAACCTCTTCTAATCTTGTGTATCCCTAAGCTCAAAGCTAGGTTCATAAAAACGTGATCAGTTAATTGAGTATCAGTGTGGGTTATAGTAATCAAGAAACTTTGTGGAGGAAGGGTGTGTTTCTTGTCCTCTTCTACCTGGCTAAACATGCCAGTGGAGAGAGTCAAAGTTGGAGGCTCCAACTCCAGGCTTCTAGATTTCCCTTTTTGATATCAAGGGGGCTAGTAATGGTGGGCAGATGGCATCGGGGAGATAGTGTGAGGTCTGGGCAAGGTTGATCTCTTGCTCCAGCCCCAGTCCAGCTGGATCCCTTTGTAACTCAGCCTCCCTTCTTTTGTACCCAGGAGCCATACCTGCAGAGTGTGTGTAACTGCTGTAGCTACCTCTTGGACCCTGTCAATCCTGTGCGCATCTTGAATCTGCATTGTCCTGGGGGTGACACAGAACCTGTTGTACTTCCGGTCATACACAGCTGCCAGTGCAGTGCCTGCCAGGGTGAGGCCAAAGAGTGTCTGTATGCGTGTAGGTGTATGAACGTGGGGAGGATGGTGGTTGTTGATGGTCTGAGAGGGGATTGGAATTTTGTACCTGGGCTAGTGGGTTCTTCCTGCCATCCCAAGACAGATGCACAGTGTGCCAGGATTAGGTGGTACAAAGGATACAAGAAGCACAGGGTCTGTTCTGTTTTGCTTTTTTTTTTTTTTAGGCAATTGGGGTTAAGTGACTTCCCTAAGGTCACACAGCTAGTAAGTGTCAAGTGTTTGGTCTGAGGCTGGATTTAAACTCAGGTCCTCCTGACTTCAGGGCTGGTGCTCTATCCACTGTGCCACCTAGCTGCCTCTGTTCTGGACTGATCTTAGGGAGACTTTTCCTATTTACCCCCCATCCACCTAATCTCTTTTTCACCAAAACAAACAAAGCCTCTCTCCTGACCTTGTTCTCCCCTACCAGCTTCTCTGCCCAAAACTCATTCCTGTCCCAGCCATCCTGGGTTAGCTTGCCACTTGCCTCCTTCTTCTGCATATCTGTCTCTCTGCCTGGGTCTCATTCACAGGAGGGGATTTATCAAAGCGCTGAAGGGATCGGACTCGTTGGCAACATACTTAGTTCAACAATATGACCTGTATTGTCTGGAACGGTCCTCATTTCAAGAAAATACATTTTTTAACAAAGCTTAGCTGAAGGAACATACTTTGTTAGACTGTGTTTCTGGAATTTGGAGTTTGGAAGAATGTAGTCTACCATAGTCATGGGAAACAATCCCTCTTTGTTCATGAAGCCAGCAGGCCTGCATGTATATTTTTATGTACATGAACCATGAATGGCCTGGGGGCTTGTGGAACAGGAGCAGCTCATTCCCTAATAAAGCAAATTTGCCAATACTTATGTGTGTGGAATCTCTGTCTGAGGGTTCTGGGGAAGTAGGTGGTGGATCTGTGCCTTGGACAGGACCCGGGGGCTGGAGTGGTTTTCTTCTGTAGGACAGGAAGGGTGGTGTTCCTTAAATCCACAATCTACTACTAACTGTGTAACCTCAGTATGTCAGTCATCATTTGTCCTTTTTAGGCTTTGTTTTCTTCACCTGTGAAATGAAAGAGAAGGAAACAAGCATTTATTAAGTACCAGGCACTTTATAAATATTGTTTCATTTGATCTTCACAGTAACCTTTGGCAGGTAGGTAGATGTTATTGTGATTCCCATTTTACAGTTGGGGAAACTGAGGCAGACAGTGGTTGAATGTCTTGCCCAAGGTCATGGCACTAGTGTCTGAGGTCAAATTTGAACTTGTCTTCCTAAAGCACCCAGCACTGTGCAACCTAGCTGCCTAAAAGGTAGCGTGGTAGACTGGAAAGTCCTTTAGTCTTCTGCTGTTGCGTGTCCTTCTTTCTCGAAGAGAACCATGGCATCGGGAAAGTGCAAGTGAATTGGATTTAAGTGAGGGAGGGCTGTGCAAAGTTACCACCTCACTCCTTCCTCTGGAGCCATCTGGTCTTATAGCCAGGAGATGAAGGCATTAGTCCAGGGTCTGCTATTCCCAGCTGTGATTTTGGCTGAGTACTTCACACCTCGGACACATCAACAAAATGAGAAGGTTTCACTAGATGTACTCTAAGGTCTTCCAGCTCTAAAATGTTCTCTAAACCGCCTTCACCCAGGACCCTTCCTACCTCCCATTAACCCAGACAAGAGAGGTCCATCCATCTACCCTGTCCAGTGTCCCCTTCTTCTACCACAACCAACCCTTGTTTGGGCTGGTGCCTTATTGTGGGCTCCATTCAGCTGTTCCAGGACATTCAGTCTCTAGTCCTAACCCTAACCACCCAATGAGGCACAGCTGTTAATTCTGGAGACCTGTGATGGTTGAGAGGCCACAGGGAGACTAGTCCAGTGGGAAGTCCAGGGAAGGAGCCAGGTTTTCAGGGGATGACAGGAAATAGAGAGAGTGCCAATGTCAGAGTATGAAAGAAAGAAATATTTTAAGTAGTGAACATTATAATTTTGAAAAGAAGACTCCTTGGGGAGTTAGTTGGGTGAGGGTCCTTAGATCAAAGAAAATATATTTTTATCGAGCTCATCTTTAATGTATTGCTCTTCCTACCCTCACTTCTCCACTTCAGCCATGGCTTGCAATGAAGTTTTTTGTGTCCAACCCTGTTTCAAATATAAAGGAAGTTTAAAGAATAATCATAGATCTGGAGCTCTATGGGACCTTAAAGGCTATTTAGTCCCATGTCCTCATTTCACAGGTACAGAAACAGGCCCAAAGTGACTTGCCTAAGATCATACAGGTATTACCTAGGAAGCATTTGACCTGACATCCCATGATTCCAGAGTCTGGACTCATTCTGCTGTGCCAGATCTGTCTTCAAGTAGCTTATACTTTATTCGGGGATACAAATAATATACATTTAGCAGATAAATACAGCAAAGAATTAACACATAGCAGATAGATGACAAGCTAACATGTCATACTGTATTCAAATGAGGAGTACAGGAAGCTAGCCCTGAAATCCAGGGTTAACTAGCAAACCAATGCCACCCGGAGGGTGTTGGGTGAGCCAGAAAATCTGTGTGTAATCCAGACCTATCACTAATTAGCTACATGACCTTGGGCAAAACATATAACCTCTCTGAGTCTTAAGTTTCCTCATCTATAAAACAGGAGTAACATCTGACCCAGGTAAGTCACAGAGATGTCATGAGAATCCTATGAAATAGTAATATGTATGAAAGCAAATTAAAAAATATTTCTACAGACTATGAATGAGTTATGTTGTAGAGAGATTTCTTATTAGGGTATGGGCTCAACCAGATTGTGTCTGAGGTGCCTTCCAACTCCTCTGAGGATGTCCATGGTGGTGGTGGGGGAGCAAATGAAAAAGGGATGTACTATTTGGGGGGGGAAGCCATCCAGATGCTTCAGTTTGTGGATGATTTAGTACTAATTGTATCAAACCCAAGAAAATTGCAGAGTCTCCTCCTTGATAAAATTGGCCTAATGATCTATATAGGAAAAACTAAATGGATTAAAAAAATACCTCTTGCCCAGACATGTAGTTGGATGGCCAATCCATTAGGCTAATACATCAGGATATAACAGGACAGCAGAATTAGTATTACCAGATCTCAGAATTGGAAGGGCTCTCAAATGCCATTTAGTCCAACCTGTGCCTGAATAGGCATCTCCTCTACTTGATCGATGGTCATCCAGCCTTTGCTTGAAGATTTCTGGCGAGGGAGAAACCCACTATCTATTGAAGCAACTCTTGGATCACTGGAATTGTTAAGAGCAGCTAGGTGGCACAGTGGATAGAGAGCTTAGCTTGGAGTCAGGAAGACCTGAGTTCAAATTCAGTGTCAGACACTTACTAGCTGTGTGACCCTGGGCATGTCACTTAACCCTGTTTGCCTCAGTTTCCTCATCTGTAAAATGAGCTGGAGAATGAAATGGAAAACCCCTCCAGTGTCTTGGCAAAGGCCAAGGAAAACCCCAAATAGGGTCATGAAGAGTTGGAAATGACAACAACAAAAAAATTGTTAGGAAGATTTTCCTCGTGCTAAAATCTGTTTCTTTATAACATTCACTCATTGCTTCTGGTTTTGTTCTCTGGAGTTAAGCCAAATAAATCTAATCTCTAAACATCCCCAAGTCTGTGAACCTGATCTTCATGTGGTATGATTTGGAACACCGTTGGAACTCAAAGAGGGCAAGAGATTGCCTTCTTCTGGATATTCTCCAACTGATCAATATCTTTCCTAAAAAGCAATACCCAGAATTAAACCCCAGAGTCCAGATGAGTATGGTTAGTACAGCTGTCATTATTCCTTTCCTAATGTACCCTAAGGCCACATTAGCTTTTTTGGATACTTTATCACACTTTGACTCATATTCAGCATAAAATTCACTAAAACCCTCAGATCTTTTTCAGAGGAATTTTTAACTTAGTTATATCTCCTATGTTCTTTGCTTTCAAAGTTGTTTTTTGAACCAAGTAAGACTTTATAGGGTAGCTAGGTGGCACAGTGGTTAGAATGACAGGCCTGGAGTCAAGAAGACTCCTTATATTCTTGAATTCAAATATGGCCTCAGACATTTTTAGCTGTGTGACTCTGGGCAAGTCACTTAACCGTGTCTGCCACAGTTTCCTTATCTGTAGAATGAGCTGGAGAAGGAAATGGCAAACCACTCCAGTATCTTTGCCAAAAAAACCCAAAAGGGGGTCATGAAGAGTTGGACAGGACTGAAAATGAACAACAACAAAGACTTTATATGTACATATTGAGAAATGTCAAGGATCTGTCATTTTGTAGGAATTTCCAAGGTGAGAACTCCTTCCCCCAACTGAGGCAGACAGAACTGTTAAGTGTTAAGAGAGTTGTCTGAGGCTCAAAGTAACTTGTCCATGATTATACATCTAGTAAGTATCAGAGATAGAACTTGGAGCCAAGTCTTTCTGACTTTAAGGCCAGTTCTGTATATACTTGCCCACGCAGGCTCTCTGTGATATATAGATGCATTAATTCAGTATACCGATTTTAAATTCAAATCTATTACATTTCATCTTATTAGATTCAGCCCAACATTCTAGTCTGTTGAGGTAATTTTGGATTCTGGTATTAGCTATTTATTACTCCTGGCTTGGTATCATTTTCGATTCTGATAAGCATGCCATTGATTCCTTTATCCCAGCCATTGATAAAGGACCAAGGACAGATCCCTGGATTACTCCATCTTCTGGCTTGCCCCTAAGCCATTAATGACTTATTGTTCTGGAAGAGGACCATGACATTAGGGAGGTGATACCATGACATGCAAGTGAATTGGATTTAAGTGTGGGAAGGCTGTGCCAAGTTACCAGCCTCACTTTCTCCTCCGGAACCATCTGGGTCCAGTGGCAAGATATAGATCAGGACTACTCTTAAGGGCTGGTTATTCAGTCAGTTCCAAACCAGTTTGTCTAGCCAAATCTCTCCACATTTCCTGCTAAGACAACATGAAAGCATTGGTCAAATGCTTTGATGAAATCTGAGTATGGCCGTATCATTTCCCTGATTTACAAGTCTAGTAAACTTGTCAAAAAAGGAAATGAGATTAATATGACAAAACCAGGTCTTGATGAAGCCATTCTGTTTGTGATCACTTGCTTTTCAAGAGGCTCACTAATCCTTTATTAGCTTACCATGGAATTTTGCCAGGAATTAAAGTCAAAATCACTACCCTATAGTTCAAAGACTCCATGCTTTTCTCTCTTTCTGAAAAACATGATAAACTTTGCCCTTCTCCACCCTTCTAGCAGTTTTCTCATTCTTTATGACTTATCAAAGATCATATATTTGTGGTTCAACAGTCATATCTACTACCATATATGTAGGAAAGGCACTGTAAATGGACCATGAGTTAGGCCCACAATTGAAAGGGAGTTAACAGAGCAGGGGAATGGGGATGAAGGAAGAGATGCATTTGGAATATTGTGCTTTCTTACAATCCCCCGAAATTATCTCCACCAAAAAAATTTCCTACACAAATGTTTTCCTAGTAATGCAGCCTGGCATCACCTGTGGCATTGGAACATAATTTTCTTTGAAAAGTCAAATGACTCAAAGATTGAAGGAGAGATACATGATGGATGAAAGTGGTGTGTAGCATATTTCCAAGAATGATCTATGCAAGAGAAATGATGATAGGCAGAGATGTGTTAAACACATGGCCACAGTTTTCTCCTCTGTAAAATGAGCTGGAGAAGGAAATGGCAAACCACTTTGGTATTTCTGCCAAGAAAACCCCAAATGGGGTCGTGAAGAGTTGGAGACAACTGAAAATGATTGAACAACAAAGACTTTATATGTACACAATGAGAAATATCAAGGATCTGTGATACTCCTGAGTACCACCTGAACCAGATTGAACTGTAATTGGGAAATGTTTCACAAAATAAATGAAAATACAATAAAACATACATGGCCTACGGGGATCCTTATGTGTGGCTTAGTGGCCCCCATTTTTATTTGAGTTTGACACAACTGATGTAAGGAATATCATTTATGAAATACACAATTGGGAAAAGAAGTGGGATGATCATATAAAAAGGATAAAGTATAAAGGATGGAGAGCATGAGAGCTGCTTTGGTAACCAGTAAACATTTAAAAAAACATAGAGGAAGGCCTACATAGGACATTGGGGAAATTATCTATGGAGAATCCGTGAGAGAACAGGGATAAGAGTTGCATGGGGTGAAAAGACATGGATATTTTACTTTCTGTATTGGTGGAGGGAATATCTATATTGATGAGATCACAAATCCATTGAAGTACTGAACTTATATGTAGATTCCTTTATAGTGGAAAAGCCCAGTGTAGCCTATAGAACATGCTCAAAAAATTTTGGTAGATTGATTAACAAGCTATGACTGGGGTAGAATGGTGAGGATAAAGAAGAGACATTGGGGACATTTACAGATGAAAAGAATAGGAACTTGTGGTCATTTATTTATTTATTTTGGGGAAGGAGGTGCCAGGTATGGGTAGACACCTGTAATTCCTGCTGCCAGCTAATAATAATAATAATAATAGCTAACACTTACATAGTGCATGTTACATGCCAGGCTTTTGCTAAGTACCTTACAATTATTATCTCATTTGATCCTCACAACAACCCTGGGAGACAGGTGCTATTATTGTTCCTATTTTATACATGAGGGAATGGAGGCAAACAGAGTGACTTGCTAGGGTCACACAGCTAGTAAGTGTCTGAGACTCAGGTCTTCCTGACTCCAGGACCAGCAGTCTATCCATTGCTCCACTGTGAGATCTTTTGAGGCTTAGGAGCGCTTGGCTGCAGTGGGTTAAGCCCATTGGTTGTCCAAAGTAAGACTGGCAACAGTCTGGTGAGCTCCCAGGAGCGAGAGGCAGAGAGGGACTAGCTGCCTATGGAGAGGCAGGAGACCCAGGTCAGAAACAGTATTTCAAAGTGCTAATCAGTGATGGAACTGGGCCCATGAGTAGCTACTGCACCTGCAACCTGGATGAGTTAGACAGACCTACTCTTAAAAAAAAGGAAAAAGACATTAAAGGGAGGTGTAATTTTTTTTATTTAAACAATTTATTAATTTTTAGTTTTCAGCATTCACTTCCCTAAGATTTTGAGTTTTAAATTTTCTCCCCCTCTTTCCCTTCTTCACTCCCTAAGACAGTGTGCAATCTGATATAGGCTCTATTTATGCATTCATATTAAGCATATTTTCACATTAGTCATGTAAAGAAGAATTAGAATGAATGGGAGGAACCACTAGAAAGAAGAAACAAAGAGAGAGAGAGAGAGAGAGAGAGAGAGAGAGAGAGAGAGAGAGAGAGAGAGAGAGAGAGAGAGAGAGAACAAATAGTATGCTTCAATCTGCATTCAGACTCCATAGTTCTTTCTCTGGATGTGGATGGGGTTTTCCAACATGAGTCTTTTGGAGTTGTCTTAGATCCTTGCATTGCTGAGAAGAGCCAAGTCTATCAAAGTCAGTCATCACACAGTTGTGCTGTCACTGTGTGCGATGCTCTGGTTCTGCTCACTTTACTCAGCATCAGTTCATATAGGTCTTTCTAGGTTTTTCTGAAGTCTGCCTGTTCATCATTTCTTATAGCACAATAGTAGTCCATTACATTGACATACCACAACTTGTTCAGCCATTCCCTGATTGATGGGCATCCCCTCAATTTCCAATTCTTGGCCACCACAAAGAAAGCTGCTACAAATATTTTTGTACATGTGAGTTCTTTTCTCGTTTTTATGATCTCTTTGGGATATAGACCTAGAAGTGGTATTGCTGGGTCAAAGAAGGGAGGTGTAATCTTGGGGATAAATCCAAAGATCAAATATTAACATGGTGAGAGAAAGGAAATGTGAAATGGCACCCTTAAAACACAGTCAAGTGCCAGACTGAAAAGATAATTGGGCGCTATTGTTCTGAGTCAGTTTCCATATCCAGGGCCTATCATAGTGTCTATGTGTGTAATTCTCATCACAGATGAGCTGTTATGAGGGAGAGAATTTGCTCTGTCAAAAGGAACATGGACGAAGCTAGGGCTTTCTTATTTCTACCTAGCAACACGAATCCGCTGTATTACCTCAGGCAAGCCACATTCCTCTCTGAACCCTAGTTTTCTCATCTGTAGAGTGAGGGTAGTAATATGCTTCCTACCTTAAAGGACTGCCGTGAGGGAAAACACTTTATAAATCATTACAAGCTGCACAAATACGGGGACTATTATTATTTCCAAGGGAAAGGAGAAAAGGAAGGGAGGATTATTAACAGCCCTTCTCAGTTCCTTAGCTAGCTGTGTGACCTTAGGCAAGTCATTTTCCTCACTGGCCTTCAGTTTCCGTCTGTAAAATAAGGGGTTTAGCCCAGGTGGTCTCTTCCAACTCTGACATTCTGTGCTTTGGAGACCTAGTCTCCAGTTTGAGCCTTCCTCGGACCCCGTGGTTCTGAAGAAAAACGCAGAGAGAGCCCAGCTGAACTCCCCGGCTCTTCCACGATCTTGCAGCCCGGGGCTGGGGAAGCCAATCACGTGCATTAAAACGCTGAACGGTTGCCTAGTAGCAGAAGGCATGCGCGGAAGAGGATAAGGGGCGTGCCAAACCAAAAGAAAGCTTTCCGCGCACTCCAGGCCCCGCCTTTCCAGCGACCAATCGTGGACACTGGATTCGAGCAGCGGCTAGTTTTTGGAGGGAGTGTGTGTTGGGAGTAGGGGGACGGTTACCTAGCAACGACAAATCTCGCCCTGCAGTGAGGCGGGGGGAAAGGGGGTGGCGGGGCGGGAATAGAGCTTCTCTAGGCCCAATCAGGAGGGCGTCTCGCCATAGCCAATCAGCACTTTCGGGGGCTGCCTGCTTTGGCCGAACTACGCCTCCCGTGAGGCTGCGGCCGATGCCGTAAAGCTGTGCGCTGGGCACGACGCTCGCTTCAGCTTAGTACCCCCTCTGGGCCGTGGTCACTTGCCCGCCCCACCGCTAGGGTCTCGGCTGCCTGAGTCCTTGGGCCGGGCCTCCCTCCCTATCGCTCTCCGCTTCCGAGGGAGCCCATTCCCCGGCCGGACCTTAGGGCTGGGAGGGAGGAAGAGAGGGTCTTCGGGAGGGCTTTGGGGTAGGGGGTCCCGTGGAGGGGTCGGCGCAGCCCGTGGACAGCGGGGCCATGGAGTCCGGGGAGTCAGGGCAGGTAGGATGGGAAGGGGCACGGGGACCCCCCACTCCTCCTCCCGCAGCTCCCTTACATCAGAGTAGCACGCGCCGGGCTGGCGGGCTGGGTGAGCCTGCCTTGCAGGGAAGGAGGCGCCCGCACACACAGGCCCGATCTGATGTTGCTCTCTGCTGCCTCCTGGAACTGCAGCTGCTTTTCCCTTGATCTGCCGCAGCTTGCCCAGCTTCCTGACACTGAAGAGGGAGCAGGGTGGTGCTTGGCACTTTTACCCAAGCCTGCGCCCTACCTTCCTGCCTTTGATCTCCTCTAGCTTCTGGCTGAACTGGTCGGGCGAGTGACCCCCTGGGAGAGAAGGCGAGGTGATGGGAAGGAATTTCCTGTCCCACTTCCCCCAAGAGGGTTTGGAAGAACTGATCTGCTTCTCAGGGTGGTGGCAGTTAGCAGGTCAGGGTGTTATGTACATTTAACAGGATTTGTAATAAGAGGACCCTGGGTTTGAATCTAGGCAGTGTAAGTGGTTAGATTCAGCGAAGTTTAAGCACCTTGCTCTTCAGCTTTAAATCCTAGGATCATAGAGAAGAAGGCTTTTCCTGTTAGTTGTATGGTGTACTGATGGGGAGAAGGGATGATCAAGCATACTTTCCAGTATCCGAGGCTTACCTGGGTCCCACAGAAGGTAGAGACCTGTGTTCAATTTCTTCCTTCTGAACCCTTCCAAAGAAGGTCAACTTGGTCTTCCAGTGCTTTGGAGAGAGATTGTAAAGTTTGGGAAGAAAGGAGGGAGCTATTTTATTCTGGGAATGGGGATAAGGGGCAGGAGAGGATGCAATAACCTATTCATGGTCATATGGACAGACTAGGGCACAAGCAGTGAGGTTAAGTGACTTGCTCAGGGTCACACAGCTAGTATTATGCGTCTGAGGCCGGATTTGAACTCTGGCCTCCTGATTCCAGGGCTGGTGCTCTATCCACTGCGCCACCTAACTTCCCCCGAGAATATTTGTATTTTAAGGGACTCTTTCTCTCTTGAATTTCTCCCCTCCCCCCATTACTAGTATAGGTAGTTTGCTTGTATAATCCATGGTAGGGTGTTATTTGCCAAATTGTCATAGGATGTAACTTGATCAGCCTACAGGTATCATTATAATTTATTGAATAGCTAGTATGTGTTCAGCTTTTTATTAGAGATTATGAAGAAATGTTTAACACAGTTGTGTGATCCTGGCCGAATTTAACCCGTCTGGTCCTCAGTTTTTTCGTCTGTAAAATGAGGGAGTTAGATAGCCTCTGAGGCCCCTTACAGCTCTAGATTTATGGTTCTTTGAATTTAGAGATGCACAAAACAGCCCCTGCATTCAAGAAACTTGTAATTCCATCTCCGTAATTCATATCAATGACAGATTTTTAGTGCATATATGGGGGCCTGGGGTGGGGTGGAGAAGAAGATTAGAAAAAAAGTTCAATTGAGAGCTGTAAGTACTTCCTTTGTTACACTCAGACCTTCATCCGATGTCTAGCTGATTTCCGTTGCTCCAGTTCTTCAACAAATAGATCTGGAAGGAAAGAAATAAAAATGCCCTGGGTTTTAGATTGGATGTGCAGAGAATCCTTGGTTCCTTTATTAGGAACAGTTACAAATTCCAAGGGCTATAAATTTCATGTTTGATTCTAATCTTGACTCAAAGAATGACCTTGGACAAGACTCTCTTCTCAGTATCTTTTGATTTTTATCCCAGAGAATTAATTAGTGAAACTGATTGCAGAATAAAATGCCAGTGTAAGTTGCTCTGCAAATCAAGGACAGCTCCTGAGGCCCATTGGTGAATCCAATAGGTGTTCCATTCAGATGTTGAGATCTCTTAAGGATTTTCTTTCCATACACTGTTGGGGAGGCTTGCTTGAGATAATAGCTTTGTTGTTTTCAGAGTAAAAGATAATAGTTCTCCTTTGGTGTCATTTATTTATAAGCACCAGCTTTAGGGCCTGATGATGCACTAGCAGAATAGTGGAAATTGGTCAAAGATCTGGTCCTCTCTAGAAGTTGCTGTTCTCTGATAGTTGACATGAACACAGATCTTTCATCAGCATGGGCATGATGATATGAGGAAGGCTCAGATGAAAACAATTCACATCCTCTTCCTGCATATTAACTGTCAGCAGCAGCTGAGGCAACAACAGTCTTTATGTATCTTGGATGATAAGGCCTCATCCTGTACTCCATACATTGGCCTAGAAGCGGGAGTAGAAACAGAATCAGTAGTGGGTATCTAGATCCTAGGCATTGTAAAAGATACAAAAACGAGATAAGGGCCTGTTCTTTGAACAAAAAGTGGATATTTCATAGTATTTCATGTATATATTATAGGTGGTAATGTGCTTTTAACGTATTTTTATGCCATGTATAGATCAGTCAGTAGTGTGAGAAGCAATGTGGCCTAATTGGGAGAAAGCTAGTCTCAGAATCAGGAAGTCGTTGGTTTAAGTTCATACTCTGTTGATTTTGTGGCCCTAGGCAATTACTTACTCTCCAGGTTCCCCAGGAATCTCTTAAGTTGATAAGTTATAGAACAGTGGCTGATCTGCATTGGTAGGAATTTCCATACCAGGAGTCCCATGCCAGTAAAAATACAGGACTGGTTAAAAAGCAAAAGTCACGTAAGTGAGAGAGAAGATGTGGAGCCAGCTGGACTGACCCCCTAAAGGCAGCCGTGTAAGTCATGGATCAGTGTCAGCCAAAGAGCAATCTCTAGTGCAGTGCCTTAGGATTCTGCCCTGGCTTCTGGGGTTAAAATAGGTGACATAGTTATCAGATTTTTGGATGAAACAACACTGGGATCCAAAATGGTATGCACCGTGAAATGAATGAAATTTAATTGGTCTCATTGAAAGTTCCAGCCCTTGGATTCAAAATATAAATTAAGACTGAGGGAAATGTGTTTAGATGACAATTCATATGAAAAAGATGTGAGGTTTCTAATGGACTGCAAGGCCAATGGGAGGCAGCAGTGTGATGTAGCAGAAAAAATAATATGATCTTAATCTATACCAACAAAATTATAGTGATCAGAATAGAGAAGGTGATAGTTCCCCTGTACTTTACCTAGTCAGACTATAACTCGAGTATTGGATCTCATTCTGGCACCATGTTTTTAGGAAACACATTGACAAGCCAGAACAGGTCCAGAGGAGGGTGGCCAGGTGGCATGGGTACTAGAAACCATGGTTAAAGAAACCACAACTTTCATCATCATGGCTTTCAAATGTTTGAGCAATTGTCATGTGAAAAAGGGGATTATACTTATTCTTCTGGACTCAGGAACACAGCATTTGGGCTACAGGGAAGCAGGTATTGTTCAATATAAAGAAAATCTCCCTAACTAAAGTGATCCATAGTGAAATGAACTGTCACTGGAAAAGTTCCACATTACTGGAGGGCTTTACTCAGAGATTGGGTAACCAGTTGTTGGGGATATTGTCTGTTTTAGAATGCCCCTTCCAACTCTTGATATTCTGTGACTAGCTGACAGGTATTTTAAAAAAATAAATAAAATAAAATTCTACAGTAAATCCACCTTGTTATGGAGCTTTCTTGTCTTCTAGCTCTTTCTGTGACTGGGCATCAAAAAACTGAAGGTCTTGGAATGTATAAATTTCAAATGATTGTGATAGGTTGGAAGAAAATAGAGACCCAGACATAATCTGAGTTTTACTGCTCTTAGTTGACGTAATCTCACCCAAAGAGTTGAAATTAAAATATATACCAGGATTAAATAAGTTGTTTTTGTAGATGAATACATTCTAGCTTTCTGTGATTATAATGAACTACAAGATAAACTATACACATCTCTGTTGATCAGGAATGGCAAGTGGGAAGTGTTTATCCGTTTTTGAATTCATCACTACATTCATGTCTTTACCAATTGGCCATTGTTTGTTCCCCAGTGTTTTTGTAACCTTTCAAAAGTTTTAAATTTAATTATACATATGTGGTCCTGAACATAAACTGAACCTCCTGTTGTGTGTGTTTTTTTAAAGTCCAGACTTTAACAAAAACATAGCATATGGGGATCCTTTTTTAAGCCCTGGACATCGAATGGCTATGTTTTGATGCCCCTCTTGCTTTTGAGGTTGTTCAGTAATCAGTTGACACTGAAACTGTGTATAATTTAAGTGGAGCCCAAGAAAATGGCCTTCTATGTCATGTCATGTCATGACTATGATCATGTCAGGTTTTTCCTTAAGTATTTAGAGTTATGGAATTTTGTTCCTAAAAGAGAGCTTTAATGTGAAAGACACTCCCTCTTCCCCCCTCCCTCCCTTAATGGATCAGCTGGAATATTATGGGTTCTTAATATTTAAAATTCTTCTTCCTTTTTATGAGAAAATTTGGATATAGTGCCATTTTCATAATAATTATCAGTCATAAGGACCAGTTTTATGTAGTGTTTTATGATTTACCAAGTACTTTACATCCCTTTTGACAGTTGATCCTCTTAACAACCCCTCCCATGAGGTAGGTAGTTGGTACTATTATTATAATATCTATTTTAGAGTTGAGGAGACTGAGAATCTGGAAGATTGAGTGCCTTGTCTAAAATCATGTATGGGCATATAGCTTCTACTATGTGCCAAGCACTCAGTGCTTTTACAAATACTATCTCATTTGAACCCTGCTAAATAGATATTATCCCTATTTTACAGATGAGGAATCTGAGGCAAGCAGAGGTTAAGTGAATTGCCCAGGGTCCCAAAACTAGTAAAAGTCTAAGGCCAGATTTGAACTCAGGTCTTCCTAACTCCAGAGTCAGTGTTCCATCCACCATACTGCTGGCTGCCTCTGCAGTAAGGTACTGGTGAGTAGAAGAGTTTGAAGGTTTGAACTGAGGTCTCAGAACTCTATAAACCTCAACCTCTAAATAAGAATAAATTCTCCCACTCCTCCTGTTTTTCTGATGCTCTAGTATCCTACAATCCAATTTGTGGCAGTAGGGCCATCAATTCAAAGTCTTGGCAGAAAAATGTGGATAAATTCTTAATAATGGTGGAAATGTACAAAACAAGGCCTTACGCAGGAACCATGGCATAGGGTTATTACTTAAACACATAGATCAATTGCTTGCTGTTTCTTTTTTGCTGAGTTTAAAAAAGTCTTTTCTTCTTTTCTTTTCTCTGTGATAAGAATCTTGAATCCCCCCTAGCCCTTTTCAGCCTTAGATGTTTAAAAAAATTTTAATGACTTTTTCAATAGAATCAGTTTCCTTTGTGATCCTACATATTTTATCTTATGCATTTAAAAACATTACTTTGAAGAAAGGTCCACAGCTCAAAGGGATCTATGATGGACATGAAAAAGACAACCTCTCTCTGCGTGAGCATCTTTTGCAGGTAAATTTAACCTTTGTGTAATATTCACCAACAAGAGAAGACTGGGTGTCAGTTAGCTCTTGCCGATACTAGATCTTATAATCACAAGAACATACAAGTTAGAAGGAACCTTAGAGGTCAGCTAGGCTGACCTCATTTTACAGATGAGCAAACTTTGGACCAGTGAAGTAACTTACCCAGGTTTCCTGGCTAGTTAGTAGCAGAGCCAGGATTAGAATCTCCCAATTTCCAGTTAATTCATTTCCTACTATGCTTTCAGTTTCCTGCCTCATTTACCTGTCAGTCTTTTTTTTTTTTTTAAATGTTGCCAGTGGTCTGGAATGGTCTTCTGGTAGTTTAAGGGTGGTAGGGTGGAAATGGAATTGAATTAGGAATCAGAAGGCCGGGGTTTTTCTTCTGGTTGTGTTATTCCTTTGCTCTACGACCTTAGCTAAATTACTTTCTGTGACCATCAGTTTCCTCGCCTCTAAAATGAAGAGGATAGTAGTTGCCTTGCCTTTCACGCAGTGTCACCAGGATCGAATGAGATGAGATACTTTGTAAACTCGAAAGCACCATGCAGATATATTATACTGTAATTGTAGTAGCAGCAGCTGTACTTTGGTAGAAACAAGAGTGCTGAATTTGAAGTCATAGGCCCTGGGTTCAAATTTCAGCACTTGTATTTATTACCTGTGAGATTGGGGTAAGTCACTTCGCTGTGCTGGGCCTAAGTTTCTCCATCTCTAAAAATGAGTAGATGGATTGGATGACTTCTGAGATCCCCCCAAATCCCTTCTAAATCCTGTGAAATTGTGTTTTGTCTCTGATCTAGGAACCTTTCAGTAACGTCACATGGATGTGTTGTATGTGTATATGTGTATATGTGTATGCTATGTTAAGTTCATTAGGTTCTCCTGATGTGTATACACACACATATACATACACACACGTATATATGTATATATGTATGTATATACACACACACACACATACATACACATACATCATGCCCTCTGTGTGTATTTATTTACATTTATTAGGTTTTTCCTTTCTTTTGGTCATAAGATTGGTGCAAAGTAATAGGCTTTAGAGCGCAATGGACTTCAGAGATCATCTAGCTTAGAGGCAGCTGGGTGATGAAGTGGATAGAGCACCAGGCCTAGAGTCAGAAAGACCTGAGTTCAAATGCTGCCTCAGATACTAACTAGCTGGGTGAGCCTGGGCAAGTCACTCAACCTCTGTCTGCCTCAGTTTTATCACCTATAAAATGAGGATAATAATAGCACCTGCCCCACAAGGTTATTGTGAGGAGCAAATGAGGTAGCATATGGAAAGAACTTTGCTACCTCAAAGTGCTATCTAAATGCTTAACTGCTATTATTAATTTAATTTACAGATGAGGAAACTGAGGCCTTCAGAGGTCTAGGGTCCTATGGGTAGTATGCAGCAGGATTAGGTAGTTTGATATCAGATTTTCTGTGTTGTTTCCTAATGTCTGTTCCTCTGATCTTCAGAAACATGGAGAATTATTTCTTTGTTTGGCATCATCATTTTCCAACCTTAGCGTGAGATCTGTTTCTTTTTAAGCTGTCCGGTTTTCTCTCATAAATCACTGCTAGCCCCATAATGTTAATTGCTGTGGCATATACAACGCAGTTGTTTAGGCTACAAATTGGATTGTGTGGTTGCTGAAAATGTTTATGAAGAGGATTGTAAAGTCCTTGTGGCCATTAGTCCTCTTTTTTTTTTTTATGCTTCCATCCCTCACCACAATTAGCTCAGTGACTAGCACATAGTAGGAGTTCAACAAGTAGATGTTGAATAGGTCAGCATATTAGTTTGGTTGTCTTTTCTAAGTTATGCGAATTATCCCGTTACTTCACCTACAAACTCTGACATTTCAGTATTGCTGCTCTCCTGGAAGAGAATTTGCTTGCATTGGTTGCTTATATACAAATGGTGTTTTCTGCTAAACCCTTTTCCTTTCTCCACTGTTCTTTTTGTGGATTTGTCCATTTTGACTGCTTATTATAGTCCCACTTTCCATGTCCTAAGCTGTAGTTTCAGATTCTTACTGTAATCAGTGCTGTCATTCTTCCTTCCATTAAAGGTTCCTGAGCAGAAGAGCAACATGATGAAAGTGGGTACGAGATTTAGGGAGTTTGATCTGAAGATGTTATTCTGCAGGATAGAGTGGAGATGAGGAGACAATATTGCTCTTTCTGAAGACCCTGTTAAAGGGCTTGTTCTTGTGCTTTGTACATTAGTGTGGAGGGGATAGAATGGAAAAAAGACCAGTTTACTGGCCCCTGGGAGCTTGCAAAGCAAATAAACACATCTCTGATATAGCTGGATGCTCATATTCATGAAGTATGAAGTAAGCAAACTGATTTTTAATATACTTGAACTTATATATCCAAATAAATGTTACCTTCCATGATCATCCACTTGGGAAGCTATACACTTATCCTAATAATGCTTCCTTTGATCAAAATATTTTTGGAATTTCTTTTGTATATCCTTCAGAACCATATTTTATGGGCCACCCACACAAAATTGTTTTTTTCCCCTCTATAGTCACACCTTACTTATAAACAATAATGTCATTCATCAGCTTGAACACTTACTTTATTCAACAATTGTGGTACTGAATGACTGCAGACAGCTTCCAAAAATTATACCCATCCTCACAAGTCAATTTGCTGCCACTGAGAATATTTGAAAGGATGTGGCCCAGGCTAGGGCCAAGGGCAGGGGGCTAGATAGTAACTAATAGGGCATCATGGAGGGTAAGTGGGATAGAACAGAAGGGAAGGGCTTAGGGAGGTCAGAGATGCTGAAGTTCATGGTTTTTGTTCCTAGATGCTGGTGACGTTCGATGACATCACAGTGTATTTGCTTCAGGAGGAATGGATGCTATTGGGAGAGCAGCAGAGGGAGATCTGTGGTTCTGACAAGCTGGTGGCACCACTGGGTAGGAATTCGAATTTGCTTCCCTGTAGTCATATTAGGGTAACATTTCTTAACCTTTTCTCCACTATTACTAACATGGGAAGGTATAGGAATATGTGTGGGGCTGGAGATTGGGAGGGTAAGGAACGTTCCCTCCATCCCTTACTGGTCATGATGGCATCTACTGTTTTGACCATCTCTCTAGTCAACTTTACCCCTAACCCCACTGTACAAACATGGGATTTGGGAGCCAGAAGGGGCCTTAGAGACCATCTAGTCCAACTCTTCCCCCTTTTTCAGATAAGAAAAAAGAGATGCAGAAATGTTTTTCACTGTTAAAGTTTATTAGTTTATTTATTTTGACCTGTGATTTTTATCAGTATAAGGAACTCTTGGTGAGGAAACTCCCTCTCCCAATGCAGATTATCAGCTGTGTGGCAGTGTTTAGTCTTTGAGAGTTGCCTGGTTCACTAAGAGATGAAGTATCTGAACCAGGGCTGGGGAACCTGTGGCCTTGAGTACACATGTGGGCCTCTAGGTCCTCAAGTGCAGCCCTTTGACTGAATCCTATCCTCAGGGGATTTGTTCTGTGAAGTTTGGATTCAGTCCAAGAGCCACACTTGAGGACCTAGAGGGTCACTTGTGGCCTCGAGGCTGCAGCTTCCCCATCCCTGGCTCTGAGCTATGATCTCACTCAGGTCTTCCTGACTCTGAAGCCTTTTAGAACTCTGGCCACTTTGCAACAGCATTTCCTCTGGGAAGGGCACTGTACAAGGTGATGAAAATAGAAAGAGTTAGGAAGAGACATAGTCCCTGTCATCTGTCTCCTAAGGAACATTCAGTCCAGCTAAGGAGACAGGCCACCTATATGAAAAAATGTGTAACAAGCCAGCACACAATAAATCTGTACGTACAAGACATCACTGAATATATAGACATAGACACACCTACCAGCCTCTTCCACTGTGATTGCTTCTGTTTTCATTTCCTGGTAATAAATTGAAATCATATTGCACTTAAATCTCAGTAATACCTATTTTGGTCAAATTGAGCTCCTTGCACTAAGTTCTCTAGTTTACCTGGTTTATTGCCATTTCTATGTAGATGATCCTCAGATCTATACAACCAGTCCCAGTCTCTCTCCTGGCCTCCACACTCATGTATCCTTTTGCAGGGACGTCTTAGACTGGATGCCCCTTAGGTATCTCAGATTTAACATGTCAGACCTGAACTTATTATCTTTTTCTCCAAACCCTTCTGTCTTCCCATTTTCCTCTTACCATTCAGGATACCCCCATCTTTCCAGACACCTGGACTCACATACTCAGTGTGGTCCTTGACTGCTCTCTGGCACTCATCCCACATGTCCAGTCTGTTGTCACACCTTGTCATTTCTCCCTTCACTTTTCTTGTGTCTCCTTTTCTCCACTCACACAGCCGCTACCCTGGCACAAGCTCTCATCACCTCTCCACTGGAATATTGCTATTACCTTGTCGTTGGTCTCCCTGCCTCTAGGCTCTCTCCATTCCAATCTGTCCTTCACCTAGCTGCCCAAATAATTTTCCTAAGTGCAATTCTGATCATATCACCCTCCAACCGAATAAATTCCAGTGGCTCCTAGTTACTTCCAGGATCAAATATTCAACTCAATTCAATAAACATTAATTAAGCACTACTCTGTAGCAGGCACTGTGCTAAATGCCTCTGTTTGTCATCTAAAACACCCTTCACAACTTGGCCCCTTTCTTCCTTTTTTGGCTGCCTTGTACTGTGTTACCCTCACTTACTGTTCCTTGTATGAGACATTCCAGTTTGTGACTCTTTGCTTTTACACTGGCCATCCTCCGTGTCTAGAATACTCTTCCTCCTCTCCCCTGCCTCTTGGCTTCTCTGATTTCCTTTGACACAGCCACAACCTACCTTCTGATTTTCCAGTTGCTCTCTCTTCTTCCCCAGACCCCTCTGTCTTTCCTCTTGATATCTTATATCTATATAGTTATTTCTGTGTTAATTTCCCCCGTTAAAATGTGAATTCTTGGGGCAACTAGGTGATGTAGTAGATAGAGCACCGGCTGGAGTCAGGAGGACCTGAGTTCAAATCCGGCCTCAGACACTTGGCACTTATTAGCTATGTGACCCTGGGCAAATCACTTAACCCTGATTGCTTCCAAAATTTTTTTTTTTAAAGGTGAGCTGCTTGAGGGCAGGAATCATTTTTGCCTTTCTTTGTATCTTTAGTGCTTAGCACAGACTCTGGCACAAAGGAACTATATAATAAATGCTTATTATATGACAAGGGGTCCATTTGACCATCTGATTTATTTCTCATATTTGTGCATATTTCTGAGGATTTGAATTACTACTGCCTCTCTTTTTTTTTACTCTTTTAAATTATTGATCATTTCCTCTGCTGTTCTTCCTACTATGTTATATACTTCCTACTCTGTGTGGGATTTGCCTCAGTCATTGAAGAGGTCCATACATATATGCACAGTATCTTACACATAGAAGACGTTCAGCAAATCATAGAAAATTAGTGCTGTCAGGGACCTTTGAGACTCCCCCTGTGACCTTATTCCATACATATATGAGCAGGACTCTCCTTTATAACATCCCTGGCAAGAGGTAATTCATCTACCTTTTGAAGACTGTAAGTGATGGGGAACTCAGTATTTCATGAGACAGTCCATTCCGCTCTTGGATAGCTCAGCATGTATAGAAGCTTTTCTTTGTATCAGACTGAATTCTACCTTTGTATCTTCTATTTCCTTATCCTATTGAACATGAAGTCTATTAAATCTCCAATCTTTTTCACATGTCTAAGCATATGTCTCCCAAAATAGGCTTCAAAAAAAATCCCTTTTGTTTTTTTGTAGCATTCAGTGCAAACTTCATCTTGTTTTTGGGCTTTAGGCTTTCTGAGTTTATTCTTATAAGATCATGCCACACTTTACTGTTCATCCTCTATTACCTATCCCTGCTTCACTTTTCTATTTGCCTTTTAAAAATCTAAATTTGTGAATGAATTCCCTTTGTGGGCATGTTATTCATCTTAGATAATGCCTTTCCTTCCTCATTACTGTGTTTGCTTTATCAGGTTTTTTTTTTTTAATTCTCTAGAGAAGGCGTTCTTTATCTGGGATCTATAGACCCAAGGGGTCCATGAATAGATTTCAAGAGGTCTGTGAACTTGGGTGGAAAAAAATTATATCTTTATTGTCACTAAACTCCAATTCAACTTTAGCATATTATTTTATTATGAATTTTAAAAAAGATTCTGAGAAGGGGTCCATAGGTTACAGCAGATTGTCTGAGGGGTCCATGACACAAAATAAGTTAAGGATCCTTGCTCTAGTGCATCCCATAATTCTTGATTTAGTTCTCCTGTAGAATTTTAGGACATGGCATCCTACTGAGATTTTCTCAGAACTCTTGGAAAATCCCTGTTGATTCTACCTCCACAGGATCTCTCTAGTCAATTTTGCCTCGTCATTACTTATCTGGACACCACCCCAGGTCAGGACCTCATTACCTGTGTCCTGAACTATTTCAGTAGCCTCCTAATTGCTCTTCTTGCCTCGAGTCTTTCCTTTCTCCAATCCATCCTTCACACAGCTGCCAAAGTGATGTTCCTAAAATGCAATTCTGATCATATTACTCTTTTACTCAAGAAGTCCAGTGGTTTTCTGTTGTTTGTAGGATCACATGCAGATACCTTTGCTTGGCATTTAAAGCCCTTTGACGTCTAGCTCTAGGCCATTCTCTCCTCCCTTCTACCTCTTAGAATCCCTAACTTCCTTCAAAGCTCAGCTCTGGTGCCATCTCCTACATGAAGCCTTTTCTGTTCCCCTTCCTCCATGCCTCCCTTCCCCTGAAATGACCCTATATTTATATTGTTTATATTTTGTATTGACTTTTCTGTGGATATGTTGCTTCCCTTAGTAAAATGTAAATGACTTCATTTTTGTCATCGCATACCTAATGCTTGGTGTAATGCCTTATGCAAAGTAGGCACCTAATAAGTAGTTGTTCTTTGACTATTGTATATGTATATATTTGTCTGTTGTATATGTCAGATTATATCTGGCATTCTTCCTTCTTAACTATCAGGAATTTTTACGTATGAACACAGTTCTCATGTCCTTCCTGAGTAATGACAGTGCCATACTGATGATAAAGTCCAGTGCTTTATCTATATTATACCATACTATCTCAGCAATCTCTGATACTCTAGGATAGTTGACTGCCTTTATGTAAAGAGCTTCCAAATCTTCATATAATATGTGAATAAATGTGGATTGAATAGAACATCCTCTGGAGCCTCTGTTATGTGTCTTTGTGTCCACTAACTCTCATGATTCCTTACTCTTTGGAATGGTGAGTCTTCCTCCTCTTTCTCCCAACTAATCCAAAGCATCTGCTTCTTTTCTTGACCACTCACCCATGGAGAAAAGTCACTACTCATCTCCTACCTCTATTAAAAAATGGCTGTCAATTCCAAGAGGATGTCTCAAACTTCCAAGGATATTCTTTCTAGAAAACCTTCCTTTGGAACTTAGGACCTCACTGCAATTCTCTCTTCTCTGGAATAGGAACCCCCATCGCTAACCCGGAATTGTTCTGTAAGCTTGAAAGAGGGGTAGAGCCATGGCTGGGAGATGCCCCAGGTAGGAGGAAACTCTTGAGTCATCACCTAGGTAAGTTTGGACTTGCCTTTTGAAGAGGATAGTGAGCTTGAGGATTAGAAGAGGAAAGACGGGGGTCCTAGATTCCCCACTGGCCTCTAACTCTCCCTACTCCCCCTAGGGATTCTTATAGCCACCAGGTTGCATAGTCAGTCTAAAGCAGAGGCATATTCAGTATTCTTATAGCCCCTGTGTCATGTGTCAGTCTGAGGACTTGAGATACTGCCAAGTAATATAGAAAGAAGGGGCTATGCTTCTCTAGTTCTCTGATGACAGAATACTTTGTACACCACAAGTTTCGACAATTAGGACTAGCCAGAATAGTGGGGATGTGAGGAGCTGGAAGAATGGTAGAGTTAAATATGAGGAGGCAGCTCTTGACTCCTCAGACTTTAGCAACTGTACAATTCATATGTATAGATAGAGATATATAGTGTTATACGTATTAAATATCATATATATGAAAGTTCTAAAGTTGCTGAAGTCTGAGGCTGTAAAAATTGTCTATGTATGTTTGTGTATATATGTAAACACACACATACACATGTGGCTGTAGCAATGTGCTGTTTTACGTATGGTCTGGAAGAGAAGATTCATTTGGGATTTTAGGTATTATAGAGTTATCTAAAATCCATTTAATTGAGTTAAAACAGTAAATTAATTACATTAATTTTAAAGAAATGTATTTTTATAGTTAAACAATAATTAAAATGATAAAAATTCATTGTTAATGGCATTGAAACATTTAAAAATAAATGTTTTGCCTTATGAAAGTGAAACTTTAAAAAATTAATGTTTTGACATGCTTCTTTTAATTGTTTTAATTCTTGAATCAAAATTTTTATTTCCTTTGAGTCAGTTTACAAATAGAGCAACCCGTTTATAAGTCACCCCATTTCTTCATGTAAGCATCGGTAACTATATATTTTATAGATTGTAATGGGTTTGTGTGTCTGTTACTGACATCTGCTTTAATTTTTATTTTAGCTTACCGTGTCTCTACTGTTAGACTTTAAATTCCTGGAGGGCGAGGGATACATCTCTTCTATGTTTGGGACCTAGCCGTATGCTAGAATATAGTGGCTGCTTGGGAAATGATAGTGATATGGCTAAGCACGTAGGAGCAGTTGACTGCTCAGCTTCAGGGACTCTTCACTGTCTGCCTTGTTCCCTTTTGGTACCCTCCCCCTTCAGGTGCGTTTCCTGTTTAGAAATGGCACAAGGAATAGTGTTCCCCTGTATTGAGTGATTGGCCTCTGCCCTGAGAGAGAAAGGCGCTAAAGGGGAGAGCCCTAAGGAAACCCTACCAGAAGGGGTCATTATGCCGGAACCACTGTCCTCTTGGATCCCTCTCTCCAGCCCTTTTCATATCTGTCTGCAGTTGACCCAGAGAATCCTGGTACTTTTTGTTTAAGATTTAGCTTGTCTCAGGGACTAGTTTTTCCTCCTTGGCTGGACTCCCAGCTCTATTTTCATCAACTTTTCAGTAATGTCACTAGATTGTCAAGGGAGAGTATACAAGTTTGCAGACCCGTTGATGTGCTTATTGATGCATTAATAAACACTCCCTTTTCTCTCCCTCTCCTTTCCCAGTGCCAGTTAAATAATTCCTGGATGAGAGGAGGAGTGGGACTATCTAACACAGGCTTCAACAAAAGAGTAATTGAAAGAACTGGGGACATTTATTTTGGACAGGAGAAGACTAAGGAGACATACGATAGCTGTCTTCAAGAATTTCTTGTGCTGTCATATAGTGGAGAGAACAAATTTGATCTATGTTGTTCCAGAAGGCCCAATCCACCAGAAGGCTGGTGGATCAAAATTAAAAAGAAGCAGATTTGGGCTTAACATAAAGATAACTTTCTGATGAATCAAGTTGTGAAGCAATAGGATAGCCTTCCCTGGGACATGGGAAGTACCTATTTACTGAAAATAGTTAGACAGAGTTAGGATAGCCATCAGTGAGGGTTGCTGCAGAAGAGATTCACAAAGCGCATTACTTTTGTCTCTTTCTCTAAAGGAAACAAGAAGAGGAGATCCATGGGAGAAATAGACATACAGGGTCCCACTGGAGAAGTTGGGTTGTATCTGCCACCACGGAAAAAAGCCTGTGTTTCCCACCTCAGTCACTCAGAATGTGACAGCATAGAAGACGATTCCATAGGAAAAGCCAAAAAAATATTACGACCGCGTTCTATCCAGAAGTCTTGGTTTCAGCAGTTTCCGTGGTTGATCACGAATGAGGAGCAGACAGCCCTGTTTTGCTCTGCCTGCCGGGAGTACCCATCTGTTCGGGACAAGAGGTCTAGGTTAATAGAAGGTTACACGGGGCCTTTCAAGGTGGAGACGCTTAAGTATCATGCAAAGAGCAAAGCCCACAAGTTTTGTGTTAATGCTTTGGCCTCAAGGGACCCTATTTGGGCAGCCCGTTTTGAGAGCATCAGAGAAACGCCTGAGGATGTGCTGTCCAGTGCAGAGCATCTCTTCAGTGCAGATTATCCTGTGCTTTATCCACCAGGATCCCTGGGCGATTATGACAGTTTGGTTGAGCTTTTTCCAAACTCCAGATCTGAGCTTGGAGACACCACTGAAAATGGAGCAGCATCAGCTCTCTACTTGGATTGTATTTCAGATGTGAGGCAGAAGGATGCCATCAGTGACATCTGTAGCTCATCAAATGTTAATGTTTTATTTGATGACTCCACAGAGTTCTTTTGTCAGGTACTATGTTTGAATGATTTTTTTCATATCCTTAATTAGTCGACAAGCATTTATTAAACATTTACTGTGTGCCAGGCATTATCCTAAGTGCTAGGGATCAAAGAAAGGCAAAAATAATCCTTGTTCTCAAGGAACTTACATTCTAATGGAAAGAGAGTATGTGAAAAAGCATGCACGTACAAGATATATGCAGAGTAGAGGTAAGGAAATCTCAGAGAATCTCAGGCATTAGCAGCTAGAGGGACCATGGAAAACACTCTTTTAAGTCAGTCTGAACAGTAAGTGTTAGAACAGGAATAGAGGGAGTCTTTTATGGAAAGACATACCAGTGAAAAAAACTTTATTTTTGATAGGGAAATACAAAAGGTTGTACTCATTTGCTTTAAAATTAATAAATTCAATGGATAAATTTAAGAAAGATACTTTAATATTTTAATGTTGAGGTTGAGTAAGGAAAATAAGCAGAAGAATGAGTTAGGCACCCTAAGAAGCAAAATTCAGTTTAATTTGTAGCAATTTTCTTTTTCAAAACAAAACAGTGTAGGCCTCTGGTAAAAGGGCAAACACTGCCAGATTTTGTTATAAAGGTATCATATAATCCCTGCTTGGGGGTAGTAGGATGATTCTTGAAACTTTTCTCATTTTCAAAGTGAAGAATGCCATTAATTCCCAGAGTGAATCTCTTGTCTTTTTACCTTCTATAAAGTTGACATGGAGGCAGTATTATAGAAAAGTGTTTGACTCCCTTTGAAAGATTGTTCCAGTGTTCATATCGTCTAGTTCTCTTAGCTTCTTATCCTTGCTACTGTTTTAGGAAATAATGAGAAAGCCTAGCTCTTTGCATCCCCAGCTGCTTTAATGATGGATGATTCAGCCAGTGTAGAATCTGCGTTCAGTGTCTCAGCAGTGAGTGATATTACCAGGACCATTTCTTAGTCTTATCAAGTAGTGGTTGTCAGTGTGGACCAAAGTTTGCATGGAGCCTTACAGTGTGCTGGAAAGAGCACTGTCTTGGGAATCTGGAGACCTTCCTTCCCTTCTGGGGCTGATTTTGCTATGACTGGTTGTGGGACCTCAGGAAAATAATTTCCACTTCTGGGCCCAAGTCCCTTCAACTGTTTAGTTGAAGGTTTGTTGGACTCTAGTCAGAGAATTCTATGACTGTATGATCTTTTATACCTTCAGCTTTAGTTATCAATGAGCTTTCTTGGCTCAGAATTCCCACAGAAGCCATGAGGGTAGCACTGAAATGGGGAAAGGCTACTTCCAGGGGAGACATTAAAGGAAGAAGGGACCATCCCTATATTCTTCTCTGCCTTATTTTTGTGTCTAGCGTATAGTAAGATTTCTTTATGAAAAGAGAATATCTAGCACCAGGGCAGCTCTCCCTTTTCCTTCTTCCTCTGAAAGGACACCCAGAGGCTAGACAGAAGACTGGAGTTCCTAAGAGACGTTGGCCCCTGGTTAAGAACAGAGGTCATGGAGCTCTTCTGGCTGCCTCTGCTAGAGCCTTGCTCTCTTCATCCAGGCACCTGTATCTGTGCTATCCAGGTCTACCTGTTCTAAGATAGCTTTGGGGTCCATATTTCTAGTGTGCTGATTTCAAGAGAGTTGGGGAGAGGTTTAGGAAGTACTCCTGAGGGCAAGGGGAAAGTTTCATTCATAGCTAACCTTTGGAACCATTTGGTTGGGAAGGAACTTCTCAAGATTTTAGAAACAGGAGTATGTCACTGGAATGTGCTTCTATGAAGGCACACTCATGGCTGCCTTTCTTTTTTTCTGCCAAGGCTTACCTGAGGGGATTACTTTAATTATAGGCCTCAGAGTACTCTGAGGCTAAATAAACGTGTCCCTCAGGAACCCCGGGGTGTTTCTGGGACCTTGTTAGACTTTTAGGTGATGTCAGCAGATGGCTCTGAGAAGGGCTATCAGGGAGCCCTTCTGGATAAGTTCCTTCCTCTGGTTATGAAGGGTGTTTGAACGTCTAGGGGTACTGAGTACCAGATGCTCTTTGTTGCAGGATCCTTCTGAAGAGGGGCTGTTTCAGGAGGTGCCGGTGGTGTTTGAGGAGCTTCCAGTGGTGTTTGAGGACGTGGCGGTGTATTTCACCCGTGAGGAGTGGGCAATGCTAGACAAGCGGCAGAAGGAGCTATATAGAGATGTGATGCGCATGAATTACGAGCTGCTGGCTTCATTAGGTAAAGAATCCTCTGTGAGTTTTGTTCACTTCTGTTAGGCTCCAGTGGCCTAGCTCCCCCTCTCTGTTCCTGTTCTTCCATCAGCGGAGGCTCTGACTTAGCTACGCATCAGAAACTCTCAGTTTTGGGTTTCGGCATCATGTTCTTTTCCTTGTGGCTGGCTCTGAGTGGTTCAGGGCAAAAGTAGCATCTGGCTACCTGAGGACATTCTCACCACTGCTATTCAGTTATGGGAACCTGTGTCCTAAGTGTCACCAAGTTGGTCATTAGCAAATTTGTAAAGATGATGAAATGTGTCTGTGCTCTGCCTCCTCCTTTTCTTTGCTTTGGAGATCCTACTTTCATCTAATGCTCTTGGACCAGCTAGCCTCTCAGGAATATAAACAATCTTATTTATTAAAATCAACTTTAAAACTTTTCTTCCTCTCATGTGAACTAATAGAATTAGAGAACTAAAACACAGAGCAGAGATTGCTTTAATGCAGTATGTGCTGTGAACAGAGTGCTCTGCCAGGCTGTGGGAGCTAGTACGTATAAGTTGTATTGAATGTAGTCATAAGTGTCTATGAGTAAGGCTGTCTACCAGGGATAGTCTTTTTAATAGCTCATTTTATTTCATGTTGCCTTATTTACACTAATCTTTGTTGAGTTTGCGGGCTATATAGGTTACCTATCTAAAGATAGGGAGGATCATTGGATCTATATAATACATAGATATAGAGCTGAAGGGACCTTAAAATTGTTCCTCATCATTTTACAGATGAGGAAACTGAGACACAGAGAGGTTGATAAACTTACCTAGGGTCATGCAGCTAGTGCCTGAGGCGTGATTCAAATTCAAATCTTCCTCTCTAACCACTGTTCCACTTAGCTACCTCCCATGGACTAAAGTGCTTCAGGCAAAGTCAGCTCTGGAAAGATGGGAGATGCTCTGTAATGAAATTCTTAAGACACAAAGGGAAAGAATTCCAGTAAACAGGAAAAATGGGATTTGTCTGAAGAGGCTGATATAGATGCACGGAGAGTTTTAAAAAGAAATGTACAGAAGATGAAAGCAAGTCCCTGCACCAGTTGATTAATTAGTGTTAGAAGCATGATCTTGTAAAATAGTATCAAGCAGGCTCAGAAGGAATAGGACCTTTGCTTGTGGGGGCTAAGGTGGTAACAGAAGCAGAGAGAAGGGAGAGCTGCCCAGTTTTTCCTTTTGTTTCTGTTTCCTTATAAAGGAGAATGACGTCTGGACTGGAAATGGCAAAACAAAAGTGACTCAGGCAGTGGGTGCTCAAGATGCATAAGGAAAAAGTAAGAGAACACCTAGCTATTTCTTTATGAATTCAGGACAGTTGGCCCTGATGAGCTATATCCTTGGGTCCTGGAAAAAACTGGCAAATGTGATTCCTGTGGTACTGTCAGTGATGTTTGAAAGACTGGAAGATGGAAGAGATACCACAAGATTGGACAAAGGCAAGCATCCTTATTTTTAAAAAAAAAAGGGAAGGGAAAAAAAATCCTGCAAACTACAGGCTGCTGAATTTAATTTTGATTCCTGGGAAAATCCTGGAGTGGATTGTTAAAGAAATGGTTGGCACTGTTCTAGAAAGGGAAGTGGTGATTCCAAAAGGGCAGCATGGTTTCATTAGCAACAGGTCATGCCTGATTTACCTCATGCCATTTTTGGACACTAGTAGATGAGGAGGACACTGTGGATGTAGTTTGCCTCTATTTTTAGCAAAGCTTTTGATAAAGTATCTCATACTATTCTGGTGGAGAGACAGGTGGACACTAGATGATAAGACAGGTGGATTCAGAACGAGTTGGATTGCTAGACTGAAGGAATAGTTATTAATAGTTCAGCATCAGTGCAGGTCACCATGGTCACCAGTGGAAAACCCTAGATATCTATGTGCTTGACCCTGTTTAACTTTTTTGTCAGTGACTTGGATAAAGGTATAGATTGTATGCTCATCACATTTGCAGGTGACACAAAGCTAGGAAGAAGAACCAGTATGGTGGACCCAAAAGAATCTTGAGAAGCCAGAACATTAGGCTGAATCTATTTAGATGACCTTCAGTTAGGCAAAATATGAAGGCTTCCATTTAGGTACACATGAACTTTATAAGTATAAGATGGGTGAGGCAGGAAAGCTAGTGGTTCTAAAATATCTGGCAGTTTTAATAGGCTGAAAGTTTAATATGAGTCATCAGTATGATGTGGCAACCAAAAAAACTTCATGCAGTCTTGAATTGTATTAAGAAGGGCAGAGCTTCCTGATATAGGAAGGCAGTAGTCGCACTGCCTTCTGTTCTTATCACACCTCCTCTGCAGCATCATGTTTAGCTCTGGGTGCTTCAGATTGAGAAGGACATTGACAAATCGGAAAAGGCCCAGAGGAGGCCAACCAGGCTGGTAAAGGGCCTTGAGCTCATGACCTAGGAGGATTGGTTAAAGGAATTAGGCATGTTTAGCCTGGAGAAGGGAAGACTCAGGAAAGACATGATAGCTGTGGTTAGGTATGTGAAGGGCTGTCATATGGAGAAACAATCATTAGCTGTTTGGTCTGGAGGGCTGATCTGACACAGTGACCTCTTCAAAGAGGTCAGCTTGGACTGGATGTCAGAAAGTCCTCATAATGAGAGTGGGCTGCCTTGAAAGGTACTGGGCCCTTGTTCCTTACAGGTCTTAAGACAGGCTGGATGATGACTTGTTGGGGGTTTATAGTGGATATTCCTGTCATTGGTTTCATTAGCTGGATTCCATGGCTACTGAAGTTTCTTTCTGCCTCTCAAATTCTGTGATTCTATAGTCTTAGAGTATGTAGTTGGATTTTTTTTCCTCTTTCAAAATACAAAAAAAGTACTAATATTTTAAGAAATGATTATAGTATGTGAGGTGTAAAACTTTTTTTTTTAAATCTGTAGTGGCAATTTATCTTGTATCACAGCCTTCCATAATTTATCAAACTCCTTTGATTTGTAAAAATGCTTTTAATTCCATTATTTAACCATAAATAACTTTGCAGAGGTTAGGAGCAAAACAGTAAGCCTTTGCTGAACACATTTCTTAATATGTGGTAGTAGTTGAATATGTCAAGAGTTATCTGTAAATGTGAGGTTTGGAATAGATGATCTCCCTAATTGTTTTGATGTTTTAGTGATTCATTGATACTGACCCAGTGCAACTTTTAATGAAATGGATTTTCACATAGTGAAGTACTCTTTAACTAGACTTAATTATATTGGGGCCATAATCCTCCCTACCCCAACTGTTTGTGTGTGCGCGCGCACACACACACACACACCACATATATAGCCTCTTCACCAATTTGTTGAGAATTGAGGCTTATGTCAGAGAATCCATCAGATGTTTTGTACTACTGCGCAAGAGACTTAAATATGAATGCTTTAATATTCAGAGATTTGGGCCAATATGTCTAGTTTGTGATTCTTTGTGACCCTACTTGGAGTTTTCTTGGCAAAGGTACTGGAGTGGTTTGCCATTTCCTTCTCCAGCTCATTTTACAGATGAGAAAACTGAGGCAAATAGAGTGTCTGAGGCTGGATTTGAACTTGTGAAGATGAGTCTTCTTTATTCCAAGCTCAGTGTTCTATCCCTTGTGCCAGCTAGCTGCCTACCTGGATCACACTACTTTGGGAATATTGAAAATTTGTAGACCCCTAGATTGAGCTGTGAAAGCAGCAGAAGGATGTGAATGGATAGGAGCCTAGACTAGACATTCCTTTCCTCTCTGATCCCCTTCCCCCCCACAAAAAAAAGTACCCAGAGCCCAGTATTAATATCAAGTCCAAAATCAAGATGTAGGCTGGAAGAATGAGCGAACAAAGAACTCCACCATTAATAGCTACTGTGGTGACAGAAAAACTCAAGATGCCAATGCAGAAGAAGAGAATGTTTTGAAAATATCTATTAGCAAAGCCTAAAAGAAGAAATGCAGCTTGAATACAAACCCAAGAAGAATTCTCAGAAGTATTAGAGTAATTTTTAAAAGAAGAGCAGAAAATGATTTTTAAAATCAAGTGAGAGTGGTAGATGAAAAAATGAGAAAAGAAATGAGACCTATGCAAGTAAGATATAAAAAGAGAATTAACAATTTAAAGAGATATAAAACATTACTGAAGAAAATAAGAATAAACTTCTTGAAAATAGCCACATGGAATACTAGCCTTGAAAATGACCAAATGGAAGCTAAAGACTCCAAGAGACATCAAGAAATAATAAAAGTCAGAAGACTGAAAAATAAAAGAAAATGTGAACTATCGTAGGAAAAACAATGGACCTAGAAAATAGATTGAGGGGAGATAATTTGAGAATCATTGAGCTACCTTATCTGAAAATGAGCAAAAAAAAGACCCTAGACATCATATTTCAGGAAATCACAAAAGAAAACTTCTCACCTGTCTTCCAACCAGAGGGCAAAGTAGAAATGGAAAGAATCCACCAGTAACCTCCTTGAAAGAACTCCCAAAATGAAAACTCCCACGCATATTTCCAAATCCAGAACTCCCAGGTCAATGAATGTAATAGCATACTTTTTTGCTGTAAGAAATGATGTCAAATTCAAATAGAAATGATCCCTACTTCTGCATATTGACTTAGAAAACCACAAATTAACATTATCTGTGTTGTATTGGGTTTTTGTTTATTTTGTTAAACATTTCCCAGTTACATTTTAATCTGGTTGTGGCCACACTGGGGAATTTGCCAATGGCAGGAGTTTGACACCTTGATAAAAGCAGTGATTTCAGAGAAGCTTGGAAAGAGATGTATAAACTGATGCAGAGTAAAGTGAGCAGAACCAGAATAGTTTATACAATAACAGCATCTTAAGGACAGACTCTGATCAATACAATGTTCAAACGTGATTCTATTTGCTCCATTCTAATTTTTAAGGAAGTATTTTCTTCAGTGAGCTTTTGGACTTTTCCATTTGCCCAATTCTGCTTTTTAAGGCATTCTTCTCCTCATTGGCTTTTTGGACCTCTTTTGCCATTTGGGTTAGTCTATTTTTTAAGGTGTTATTTTCTTCAGTATTTTTTTGGGTCTCCTTTAGCAAGCCATTGACTTGTTTTTCATGGTTTTCATGCATCACTCTCATTTCTTTTCCCAGTTTTTCCTCTACTTTTCTTACTTGCTTCTCAGAATCCTTTTTGAGCCCTTCCATGGACTGGGACTGATTCATATTTTTCTTGGAAGCTTTGGATGTAGGAGCTTTGACTTTGTTGTCTTCTTCTGGTTGTATGTTTTGATCTTCTTTGTTACCAAAGAAAGATTCTATGGTCTGATTTTTTTGTGCAATTTGCTCATGTTCCCAGCCAATTACTTGAGTTGTAAACTCTTTGTTAAGGTAGGGGTCTGCTTCCAGTGTGGAGAATGTACTGTCCCAAGCTTCGGGGGTTTTGTGCAGCTATATTCAGAGATACTTCTAGGAACCTGTAAATTTTCAGTTCTTCCAAGGTGGTATGATCAAGGGCGAGATGTTTACTCCTTTCTTGGCCTGTGCTCTGTTCTGTGAGTGACCACAAGCACTCTTTTCTGCCTTGGAACCGTGAGGAGGGTTCTTTCTGCACCACCACTACAAGTGCCACCACACCAACGCTCCTCCTTGCCCCAGGATCACCACCTAGAACTCCATTAGAGATCTAAGCATGGGCACAGTAGCAGCAAAGAGATCCCTGCAATCCCCCTCTGATCAGCTACCCAATTCCCCCTCAGTCTGCGGGCTGAGAGCTCTGGAAGCAGCCGCTGCCCTGGGGCTGCACCAGGACTGAGGCTGGGACCGAGCTTCTCTCTCATCATAGTCACAGACCTTTCCTACTGACCTTCTGAGTTGTCTTTGGCATTTGTGGGTTGAGAAGTATGGAAACCACCACAGCTGCCTGTGATTCAGTCCCCTGAGGTCTGCTTCAGGTTCACTGAGGCCTGGTCTTTGCCTAAATACCCACACTGAGCTGCGCTCCAGTCAACCATCCAGGTTGTCTTGGGCTGGAAATTTGTTTCACTCTGTCTTTTTGTAGGTTCTGCTGCTCTAGAATTTATTTAGAGCCATTTTTTACAGGTATTTGGAGGGGTTTGGGGGAGAGCTCAAGCAAGTCACTGCTTTTACTCTGTCATCTTGGCTCCCTCAAACACTGTTCTAGATGACTTATCATGAAGTATGCTACCTCCCACCTGACAGGTGATGGACTCAGGTGCAGAGCAAAATATATATTTTTGAACATGGCCAGTTTAAGAATTTCTTTTGCTTGACTGTGAATGTTTTTTACAAGAATTTTCTTTTTCTTTTTTTCCAGTCAGGGAAGGTAGAAGCAAGGAGGTGGAAGAGAAGAAAAATTGATGTTTGATTAATATTCAGATCCTTAGGATTCAAACAGTCCTTTTACCAAAAACACATTCCAGTATTTCTTGGCAAAAGCAGTTTCAAAGAGAGTCAAAAGCAATTCAGAAGGATAAAAACAGATAAAAGTTGTTGGCAAGGTTAAAAGTAGTTAAGTTTCGAAGTGTCTTGTGAGCTCCTTTTTGAAGTCCTAAAATCTACTTTAATATTCTTTTTCCTCAAGGGACCCACCATTTGGTCTTAGATCAGTCTACTTGAGGGCAAAGTCTGGACCCCCATCTAGACACAAGATGTAGACCACAGCTTCCTTACACACATACTTGTCTTGGCTGGTGTTAATTCACACTATCCTAGTTCCACTATTAAGCATCCTGGCCCACAGCATAGATCTTTGAGTTAATCTTGCAGTTAAAATGTGAGCTCTCTGAGGGTAGAAATTTTCCCATTTCTTATATTTGTATCCCTAAGGGGCCTAACACAGTGCCTGGCATATAGTAAATAGGTGCTTACTAAATGCTCTATTGATTGTCCTCTGTCATTTTTTTAGTAATTGGATTGAGTAGTTTGTTGAATGCTCTGTCCCCATGTCCATCTTAGATTTGTGACATTGATGACATGGTTCTATTACTTTTGTTTTTTTTCTTCTTTTCTCCCTTCATCGTCTGCTTTTTCTTTTCTCTTCCTCCATTTTTTCCCTCTTCTCCTTTGTTATTGCCTTAACACGTATAGCCATGGTCTCCATGGCTAGATGAACTCATATCTGGCCTCACCACCTCATTTTTTAAAACAGAAAACTACTTAGGATCTTAGAGTGTGCAGTTTTCTTGCCCCTAGCTCCTATTCTCACCCAATTTTGTGGGTACTTAGAGGTGGAAACATGACTGTCATTGAGGTTGCTTTCAAGCCATGTTATTTCAGATATTTGGTGTGTGTGCAGAGGGTCTATAGATAGGCCACTGGATTAATCACTTGTGAGTATAATCTCGATGTGATTTTCTGTACTTGAAACAGGACCTGCTGCTGCCAAGCCAGAGCTGATCTCAAAGCTAGAGCGTAGGGCAGCCCCCTGGATCAAGGATCCCAATGGACCAAAGTGGGGGAAAGGTCGCCCCCCAGGTGAGTCTTTAACAAATGAGCCCAAAAAGGTGGTGCCTGGGGTGTCCACACCCAGGGCTTCTGTCACAACTCTTCAACTTTAGCATTACACACAGTACTGGATAAGGGGGGGCCTCAGAAACCTGTCCAGCAGAAGAGAGCAGGGAGAAATTAGGGTAGAAGACAAGGATCCTGAGGTCAGTGCACTTTTTATAAGGGGTCTTGTAGCTGATGAGAAGAGACAGGCAGGAAGCAACAAGAGGTTGTGAAAGGCCCATATGAGCTACCAGACTTTGTTAGGGCCCCCGTTCTCTATCTGCGGCAGTGTAAACCTTCTTCCCAGGATCACAAGAGAAATGATTATTTCATGGCACAATGGATACAGTGTTGGTCTTGGAGTCAGGAAGACTTCTGTTCCAATGCTTCCTTGGGCACTTAACTAACTGTGTGACCTTGGACAAGTCACTTACCCTCTCTTATCCTTAGTTTGCACATCTATAAAATAGAGAAAATAACAACCCCTACTTCATAGGGTTGTCATGAGGATCGGACAAGATAACACAGAAGAAGGGCTTTGTAAACTTTCAAGTGATCATTAAATGCTAGCTATTATTTATTATCAGTGAAGATATCTAGGCTCTGTGAGGAGGAAATGCAATCTATAGGCCTTTGTGTTCTGACAAGTACTGTCCTCCAGTGCATAAGATTCTGTGGAGGTCAAACTCCAGTTCATCTTCTCTTCTTGGTGTCCTCCCGCAGTGGGCAGTTGCTGCTAGTTCTGTTAAAGCATCCTCGGTGACTGTGATTTAGTTGCTTGTCCTTGGGTTTGGTGTCAGATGATCATTTGACCCCAGTGTAGCTGTGGGCTATGAGGGTGTCAGGCAGAAGTCTAAATGGACTGGAGAAATAACCTGTGGGGAGCTCAATGGATGTTTAGAGGTCATGGAAGGCTGATCAAAAAATCTGTGGCCATGGACATTCTTTAGGAAGGTGTCCATTTTTTCTTGGGTTCATCTTTTCTTCTCTGGCTTTGTGGCAGGTGGTACATTTCTTGGTTTGGGGTCTCTGAGCTAATAGGGGACCTTAGAGAAAAAAGGTGGGACCTCTCTGTCTTTGTACAGGTCAGGACAACAAAACTGACATTTTAATCTTTTTCTAAAGGGAAAAAGAAGACTGTTGTTTCCACCAAAGAAGTCGACATACCAGTCTCTGCTGAAGAGGCTGGATTTCCTTTGCTTCCTTTAGTAGAAGTTTGCGACTCCTACCCCAATCCTGGCAATAGTGAAACAGAAGGAGATGTGACTGGGAAAGTCAAGAAGACTTACCGACCCCGGTCAATCCAGAAATCTTGGTTTGGGCAGTTTTCTTGGTTGATAAGTGACCCTGAAGAGACCACGCTGTTTTGTTCAGCTTGCAAAGAACGCCCTTCCCTCCATGACAAATCTTCCAGATTAGTTAAAGGGTACACAGGGCCTTTCAAAGTGGAGACTTTAAAGTACCATGAGGTCAGCAAAGCCCATAAGCTTTGTGTCAGCACAGCAGAGGTCAAGGAAGATGCCCCCCGGGCTGCCCTTGTTCCAGTGGTGCCAGAAATCTCTAGTGACTTAATGGCAAATATGGAACACTTTTTTAATGCTGCCTACTCCATTGCTTACCATTCAAGGCCACTGAATGACTTTGAGAAGGTTCTGCAGCTTCTGCAGAGCACAGGGACCATGATCCTTGGCAAGTATCGAAACCGTACTGCCTGTACCCAGTTCATTAAGTACATCTCTGAGACACTGAAGAAGGATATCCTGGATGATGTCTGTCGTTCCCCTTGTGTGAGTGTGCTGTTGGACAGCTCCACAGACTCCTCAGACCAGTCTTGTGTGGGGATTTACATAAGATACTTCAAAGAGATGGAGGTGAAGGAGTCCTACATCACACTGGCCCCACTCTACAGTGAGACAGTGGATGGCTATTTTGAAACTATTATTTCTGCTCTGGATGAACTGGATATACCATTTCGGAAGCCTGGGTGGGTAGTAGGCCTGGGGACTGATGGTTCAGCCATGCTTAGCTGCAAGGGAGGTCTAGTAGAGAAGTTCCAAGAAATCATCCCTCAGCTGTTGCCTGTGCATTGTGTGGCCCACCGTCTCCACCTGGCAGTAGTAGATGCCTGTGGAAGCATTGACTTGGTAAAGAAGTGTGATCGGCACATCCGGACGGTGTTTAAGTTTTACCAGTCCTCAAACAAAAGGCTGAATGAATTACAGGTGGGTGCAGCTGCCCTTGAACAAGAAATTGTACGCCTAAAGGATTTGAATGCCATCAGGTGGGTAGCAAGCAAAAGACGGACGCTGAATGCCCTGATTGTGAGCTGGCCTGCCCTGGCCAGACACTTGCAGAGTGTGGCGGAAGCTGGGGGCCAGATCGGGCATAGGGCCAAGGGCATGCTGAAGCTGATGAAGAGCTTTCATTTCATTAAGTTCTGCCACTTCCTTCTAGACTTCCTAAGCATCTACCGGCCTGTATCTGAGGTGTGTCAGAAAGAGATTGTATTGATCACAGAGGTAAACTCCACACTAGAGAGGGCTTACGTTGCCTTGGAAACCCTTCTCCACCAGGCAGGGCCCAAAGAGGAAGAGTTCAACACCAATTTCAAGGAAGGTCGACTCCATGGCATTCCCTTAGACAGTGTGGAGATGGCTGAACAGCGGTTCCAGGCAGACAGAGAGAAGATGATTTTAACTGGGATTGGATACCTCCAAAGAAGGTTTGATGCTGACCGGTCACCCCAGCTCAAGAACATGGAGGTGTTTGACACTATGGCCTGGCCAGATGGCATCAAACTTGCTAACTTTGGGAACGATGAGATACTTAACCTAGCCAAACATTTTGAGCTATCCCTCCCACCAGGCTACAGTGAAGAAGGCCTCCTAGATGAATGGCTAGGCCTAAAGACCATTGCCAAGAACCTTCCCTTCTCCATGCTATGCAAGAATGCCCTTTCCCAGCACTCCCGCTTCCCTCTGCTGAGCAAGCTCATGGCCGTGGTGGTCTGTGTGCCCATCTCAACTTCTTGCTGTGAGCGTGGCTTCAGTGCCATGAATCGGATCAAGACAGATGAGAGGACCAAGCTCTCCAATGAGGTCATCAACATGCTAATGATGACAGCAGTGAATGGTGTGGCCGTCACTGAGTATGACCCGCAGCCTGCCATACAGCATTGGTACCTGACTTCGTCAGGCCGCCGATTCAGCCATGTCTACACTTGTGCCCAAGTGCCACCTCGCTCTGATGCAGGTAGGTAAGAGAGGATGGGGATAAGTGTGGTGGACTAGTGACAGTAGAAAAATAAAGGGATAGACAAGATCCCAGTATCGCAAACCTTCATTCTCTGAATAGTTTTGTGGGCCAACTAACCTTATCAATGGAATTCTTTCCCCATTGTTTCCAATCATCTTCTTTTTCCTCCAAGACTTTAACTGTTAGCTGTAGGACTGGGTCCCAGAGTTGATTTCTGTTCTGTAAGTAGCCTCAGAGCCCCAGCTAGAATAACTCCGAAGACTTTAGCTTGATGACCCTGGAAATGGGGAAGAAAAGCCCAGGAGTCAAAGTGTGAGGAGGAGGAATAGGAGAGACTGGATGAAGGTGGAGCTCTCTCAGAATAAGCAGGGGGAGAACTAGGCTTCAAGTAATTAGTCAATAAGCATGTATGAGTATCCACAATATATAGCCTGTATGCTTAGCTCCATGTTTAAGTGCTGTGGGAGTATGGAAGTAGAAGACACAATCTTGCCCTTCATGGAGCTTTCACTCTCAGGGGGAAACGATGTACACATGGGAAATGATGAGGAAGGAATATTGGGTGGCATGTAATAAAGATGCTAATGTTATGGGGACGACAGTAAGTGCAGCAGGAATTAGGACCTTCACAGGGTGGCCCTCCTTTTCTGGAGCAGTAAGTGGGTGTGCTTTATGTGTTCACCAGACCAGCCTTGGGGTTCCTGGGAGAAGGGGAAGGTAATTCTCTTCTTGACTTTCCCCTTCTGGCCAGTTACAGATTCTTCTTTGCCATCAGATGCTGAGCTCAGGAGTGACAACATGGGGACTCTCTCTATGGAGGAGATGGTGTCCCAGGAGCCAGCCACGCAGCCCTCTAGGAAGCCTGTCAAGATACCACAAGATTATGTCAGAGACTCAGCTAATGGACTTAGATGCCTAACAGCAGCCAAGAGACCCCAGAACTGTCCCAATGAAGAAAGGGTCTTCCAGGAGCGGGAAAGCCAGGGGCTACCTCAGAGAGCCGCCTAACGAACTTCTGGGGAAAAGGCAGGGATCATGGTGTCAGGATTTGTACAGAGAGATCATCTGAAAATTCCTTGTGGGCACTGATCAGCTGCATGCTGACCAGAGCCCTTCTCCGAGGAACTCAGGGAGATGCAGCCCTTGCAGGGCAACATCCTTCTCACTAGGCTTAGCAGTATGTCCATGGCGGGGCAAGTCTTTTGTGCATTAATGTGCAGGGAAATTTTTTATTTTAATTTCCTATTTTAAAAGCCCCAGGAACCCACCTTGTCAAGAAGGACTTGCCCTCATAACTGGTAGACCTTTAAGCACAGGAAAATCTGTCTGGGTAGAGACTGTTTGGGACCTGAGCACTTTATTCCCGGAAACCACTGGGAAATATGTCCAGGAGGCTGCCTGCTCCCTTGCATTATGGGTACTACCACATTGGTAAAGAAGGAGGGGAGAACTTGGCTCAGATGGAGGCCATAGTATGAGAGAGCAATGTCTGGTTTATGGGGCTTCCAATCTGAGTATTCTAGGCCAGGGGGCATCCTCAGTTCCAGGGTGAGCCTGAGCTTGGCCAAGGGAGAATTCTTCCCTGCTTCTGGAAGGGCTCCCTTTTAAAGGTCAATAACCCTTTAGACCTAAGCACTGGAGAAAGACCAGTCCCCTGCAGGGTGTGGGGCTAGAATGAGCTAACAGACTTGTGTAAAAGCTGCAAGTTTGAATGCAGTGGGGTCTCATCCTATCTGCTGGGTGTCCTGGCTCACCCAAGGTTATTCCCTTTCTCTCGTCTGTGCCTCAGAGCCCTCTTCTCTGTGCTATACCAGGCATAAGGCTGACTGGCCGGCTGCAGGAGATTATGGAACCATAGTCCTGTTTCTCATCTTTGACTGGTATTTCCTTCAGTTGGTAATGCTTCAAAATCCATTTTATTCCTCTCCAATCCAATTAAATTTGCCATGAACATACCCCCTGCAGTGATGTGGAAGGCCTCATGTCCTCTGAGCAAAATGAGCATTTGTATTATTCCTAGGAGCAGTTTCTTGCTTGGAAACTTAGGGTTAGAGTTGGGGTGTGGCTATTGCTGCATCTCATTTAACCCTTCCTTACCTGTGGATAGGGCCTCTCTACTTTCCCAAACTTTCCTTCCTGGGAAATAGGACTAGGGTGAAAGTGAGATGCATACATGGGCCCTGGACTCAGCTTATTTCAAATCAGGATCAGAAATAGTGCCATTTCTGATTATAAATACAGGCCAAGGGCAGAAGCCACTGGAAATATAAGAGCCTTCTGTCCACTACAACTTTTGCTGTTCATTGTAAAGTTCCTTTTACCCAGATTGACTGCCCTTTTCCTAATAGATTTATTCCATATTCCCAAAATATATGAAGTCTTTCTAAGAACATCTACCCCTTGGCACCTCGTGCCACTCGCTATGCAGACACAACTTTCATGACCTGACTGAGCCTTTTCTCAGCCATGATGGAACCTCCCGTCCCACATTTCTCTCTTGGAACCCAATCAAAATGCCTCAATCAACCAGAGGGTTTCAGGAATTTGAGATACATCTTGTCCTCCAAGCTTTGAGCTGCCTTTTCCAGTATAACTGGATTGGGAGCCCCATTCCTCCCATCTATCCATGTTGATTTAGTGAATCTGTCTTGGGAGCTTGGGAATTAGTCTCAGATGTATAAATGGGTTTCTGAGAACTGGGCATGGATTGGAGGAAGACAAAAGTGGCTGTCCCAGGTCTGTATCGTGAGTGATGGTAGTCAGAACGTGCCCAGCCCCTAGTGGCCATGAGCTAGCTCCAGGGTGACATTCCATAAAATTCCTTCCATCCTGGGGCTGGAGTCCCATTCCTGTCCTATTATCCTCTGCTCTTTTTTTCTTCACAAACACCTTGCCAACCTTGGTCTTCTGAGTGCCCTAATCAGGGCATGAGGTCAGTTTGAGCTTTAATACTGGACAAGGGGTTTCCTCTGTGAGATGAATTTGTGATCAGAGGTGGAAACCATGCTAGAGAAGCCTATGAGGGTCTTGTTGGGACCGATGTCATTGATGAATTCCTAGTTGGATGCACTTTGAAAGAGGCTGTCCATTGCTGGCTTTTTGAGCTGGTTGGCTTTCAGACAGTGGTGACTGAAAATGCTATTTATTTATAAAAAAGCAGTGATTGTAGGGGTACAATGTACAATTTATATAAGCTTCCTCTCTGTGGGGTGGGAATCACAGAAGGAAGGGGTACCTTGTCTGCTAGATATCTTATAACTCTGTAATTAACCAAGGGCAAAGGGACCTTTGATGAAGTTTTTGCTTGAATGGAAATTACAGAATAGAAAGTTCTCTGGCAGAAATGGCCCTAGGGAAAGCCTCAAGGCTAAAGTTTACTCTCAATATGACTTTCATCCTCCATATTGGAAATTGGGCCCAGGAAATTTAATTTAGTAGATATGGTTCCTCTTATGTCACAAATGGCCTGTATAGATGGGTAAGGAGGAGACCACATTTGCCCTGGGTAAGGGTTAAGGCTTGTAATCTCGTCCTTAAAGAGACCTCTGCTGTCAATATCTTTCCATGTGCATATCTCCTTCCCTATGACCGCTGTCATTCTGAGTAACCAGCATTCTAACTGGTTGCTCTAATCAACAGCCATAAGAATTGGGGCTGCGAAAGAGAGGACTTTCACCACTTCATTTCGTCTACCCATCCGTGTTCCATGAGGGGTGTGGCCACGATCTGGGTGCCAGCCATAATTCACTCTTGTCAGTCCTAGTGTGTCCTGGCAGAGAGTTCCTTGTTTTATGAGTACTTATCATCTGGATGATAGTAAGGACAGTCAAAACAACTCAACTTATGCCAGTGTCCACTCAGCCTGGAATCCACAAAATGGGGGCATTGGAGGAAGGTGACCTAGTGGTGTCTTTTCCAACTTATCCTTGTTTCAGATCTGTGCAGAATTTTGTTGTTTTTTTAAAAAACACATTTGATTCTTAATCTTTTGCTATCTGAATAAAGCAGAGTTTTATTTCAGTATCTGCTTCAGTCCTGTGTTTCACATGGGCAAAGACTCTGGGGGATATGGAAGCTGTTTGGAGTTAAAAACTATTTTTCTTCTTTTCAAGAGGTAGAAGGACCAAGAGAGAAATGGTGTGAGGATATGCATGCCTCTCAGGTCTAGCCTCATCTTTTAGGCCTTTCTCTGACTCTGTAAAGAGAGTTAATTGTTTTCTCAAGATGAGTGTAGTGGAAAGAGCCTGGGCTTGGCGTCTGGAAGCACAGGTTCCCAGTGGGGTTCCGCCACTTGGTAGTCATGTCACCCGTCTGAAGCTCAGTTTCCTCATTGTAAAATGTGAATGGTAATAATACTATCTCCCCTCTTCCCTCCCTCCCTCCCTCCCTCCCCTTGTCCCCCATACCAGGCTTGTGAGAGAAGGACTTTATAAAGAATAGAGCTCTATGGAAGCATGAACTATTATGATGAGAAGACAGAAACAGGTGTGTGCTTTAGGTTATGAGAATGCCAGTGATTAATCAGGGAGTGGTCTAGCTTCCCAGTAAAAACTCCATTTCCACCATTGATGAAGGCTGAAAAGCCAGCTTTCTACAGCCCAGGGCCCAGCCCGTTCAAGAAAAGAGTTCTTTGGTTTGCTGCACCTATGGAGGGAAAGAGCCTCCACTTATAAGGGGCAGGATTTTCTCTGGAGGAAAGAGCAAGGATCCCAAGAGGGGTGAGCTGTGGAGAGTTCTGTGGAGCTCGGTCTCTCTGTGGAGAGCAGGCCATACTGCTTGGGGCCAGCTTCTTGGTTTATATGCAGACAAAGTCTTGTTTCAGCATGTTTTCATTTTTGAGCTATGCTTTGGAGGGTTAGGGGACACACTGATTTTTCAGGATGCAGTGTCTTCATGGGCTAACTGATTTTTATAATTCACATGGCATACTTCGGTATGACGTTGCAGGTATGTGTTTTCTCAGGGTGAAATGTGACAGAAATAAAAGCCCTCCTTGGCCAACCCCCTCCTCCACTGAACTTTTAACAAGAAAGCAGAAAGGCTATACAATATACTTTAGTTAATAAAAAACCATTTCTTCTACTTCAGAGTCCCCCCAAATGGAAATTACAGTGGCCCCTAGTACATAATAAAGTAGCCCAGCTCCTTCACCAGGAGGGGCAAACCTGGCTAGTTCTGATAACCCTTTCTGTTCCTTCCTCCACCAGCCAAGGAAAGCGCTCACTGTAGGGGTGGGGAGGAGATAGAATGGAATCATAGGCAACAGAGGGTAGAGGGTAGTCAGGAGAGGCTTCTTCCTTGGGTGGCAGTGATGAGCTATGACAACGGCTAGATGCACACCCCTAACCAGAAAGAGGGTTGTTTTCTCATGAGAATACTACTTTGTGAGAACCAGGAGAATTCCCAGAAAGGGAGGCAGGAACAACTCTCCGTCCACAAGAAGGAAAAGATGGGGGTGAGTGAGATAATTCTACCACTCCCCTGACATTTCATGGGAGCAGGAGGAAGAAGAATGTTACATCAGTGCCTAGGCTGGAAGGGAGAGAGTCCTTAGAAAGAGAGTTGAAAACTTGAGTGATTCTAACATCAAAGATGTGATGAAAATGATCTGTTGAAAAACGGTTGAAAGTGGGCCCGTAGGTATGCTTGGGGTTGAAATAGGGGAAAGGAGTTCACTGAATTTCTCCCGGCCCCTCACTCCCCACCTCCATGATTCCAGTCTTTAATAAATGATTACTCCTTTCCCCACTCATATATCCACATCAGCCTCAGGGACTGTTTTGTGTACCATCTGAGTATGGCTGTATGTCTGATTTACAAAAGAGCTGAAAATACATGGATTAGCCTCAGGGACTGTAAAAATGAGGAGATTCGGTGGCAGAAGTAGAGGTCAGATGCAAGGAAAACCTTTGTGCAAAGGACTTGGCCAAAGAGGTTTGAGTGGGGTCCTACCTAGAAGAAGGGGTCAGGAATGGCTGGCCTTCCAGTTGTGGTTTATGGAATTAGAAAGCCCATCTATGGCCTCTGGTGCCCCATTATAGGTGAATTCAGCCTGGCATTGACTATAGTTCTTCCCTTTCCAGGCTCAAGAAGCTCCTCACCCAGAGTAGGTAATGGGACTTGCCTCGAGTCCCTTCTAAGGGAGTCAAAGTAACCTAGTTTGGGTCTGTCGGCAGTAGGATAGGAAGGACTGACACCTCTTTCTGTGGCACGCGGGCACTGTGATAAGCACTTTTACATCTCCCATTCGATTCCAGGCCTAGTTCGCTGGGCCACTGCAGTGTATATGCTGATGGATCAGTTCTATATGTCATACCGAAGAGCTGTTTCATTTTTATTTCCCAGTAGGAACAAGAGGATGGGAGGAGCTAGATCCTGAACTTCATTGACTGAGTACAAAGGTTACGTGTTGAGTAATGTCTGTGTTTGTTTCTGTCTATGTCTGTGGTGTGGGAGAGGGTTGAGGAGGAGGGAAAACCCAGTTTCTACCTCTTTTTAAAAATTTCGTTTTTCTATGAAGGTTTTCATTTTCTCTCCTGCCCCCAGTGTAAAAGAAAAAAGAAAACCTTGTAACAAGTATACATAGTTAAGTAAACAAATTCAGCTTTACCTTTAGTTAGAATTGATAGCCTCTTACGTGGTATGATTTGGGGGAAAATACCTCTCCAAATATTGCCAAAAAACCCCCAAAGTCATATTAGCTTGCTTCAGTGTCTGACGTTTTCTGTCTTGGAACTGTGAGGAGAATTTCCTGTCCCCAGCTACTACAAGCTCCACCACACCAGCGCTCCTCCTCACCCCAGGACCACTCCCCAGAACTGTGACCCAGATGCAAGCATGGGAAAAGCAAGAGATTCCTGCCTGAACACTGGCAAAGAGATCCCTGCAATCCCCCTCTGATCAGCCACTGGATTCCCTCTCAGTCTGTGGGCTGGAAGCTCAGGAGGCAGCCGCAGCCCCAAGCTTCTCAGGGAATGGGGCTGAGACCCTGAGCTTCTCTCACTGCAGAAACAGACTTTTCCCACTGACCTTCTAAGTTGTCTTTGGCGTTCCTGGGTTGACAACCCTAGAAACCACCACAGCTGCCTGTGATTCAGTCTTCTGAGGCCTGCTCCAGGTTCCCTGTGGCCTGCGTTCCCATGCCAAACTGCATTCCTCTCCCAGCCCGGCACGATGTACCTTTCTGATCAACCATCCAGGTTGTCTTGGGCTGGAAATTTGTTTCACTCTGTCTTTTTGTGGGTTCTGCTGCTTTAGAATTTGTTAGAGCCATTTTTTTTTTTTAACGGGTATTTGGAGGGGTTTGGTGGAGAGCTCAAGCAAGTCACTGCTTTCACTCTGCCATCTTGGCTCCTCCCCTGTGCCTGACATTTTACCATTAAAGTCAAGGACTGAAGTATTGAAAACTTTTTTTGAACTGCATCTCTTTCTTGGGAAGGTGACACATGTAGTAGACACTGTGGCAGATTTGAAAGAATTACAGTGTGGTCTAAGTAGAAAGAATGTTGGACTTGGATTCTACTTTGGCTCTCATTTTAGTTGTATGATTTTGGGCAAATCACTTAACTTCTCAGCCTCAGTTTGCTTATGTGTATAGCATGGCTTCTAAATAGCTCTGGAGCCTCCTTACTTACTCCAGGTTCATTGTGGGGTATGTTAGGTAATCATAGTTATACAAATGCTACTCAAGTCTCCTTCCATTGCATTCTTAACTGACTGATGGTAGGAATCATAAATCAAATGGCAAAATACCTAGAACAGAAGAGCAAATTAGAGAGCGAGGGAAGTTAAATAGTGAAATCATTCTCTGCCCTGGCCCCCATAAATGGAGGGATGCAATCTTCCACACATACCTATACTAGTTGGGTTTGTCAAGACAACTCATGATCTTAGGATCATGGCTTTCTACTCACTGTCTCCTAGCAACCAGTTATACCTTACTGCTGTTCCAGTATGCTTTAAAGCTACAGTTCACTGTCTCTCTTGAGTTACTGATAACTACTAATTCTTTGCTTGCAAGCTGCTGCTGCCATCTGCTGCAACTCTCAACTGTAGCTACTTCAAAGAAAGTGTTATTAATCTTCTGTGAGATGGCCCTGGGCTGAATTTTCTGGGGCTAATCCATGTATTTTCAGCTCTTTTGTAAATCAGACATACAGCCATACTCGGATGGTACACAAAATAGTCCTTGAGGCTGCTGTGGATACATGAGTGGGGAAAGGAGTAATCATTTATTTAGCACCTAATATGTGGCATGTGGGCACTTTTACATCTCCCGTTCAATTCTAGGCCTAGTTTGCTGGGACACTGCAGTATATGTGCTGATGGATCAGTTTTATATGTTGCCCATACAACTGTATTATAGTCTGGGAAACAGAAATTCTTTGTCTACTTGGTTTTTGCTAAGTGGATAGTTAAGTGAACTCATTTTGAGTGAATGTGGTTTCCTAAATCAGTTTGATAATTACTATAATGTTTGTTGACTTTTTTAAAAGGCATATGATTTAGTGCAGGGGTGGGGAAGCTGTGGCCTTTTAGGTCCTAGAGTATGGCCTTTTGACTGAGTCCAAATTTTACAGAACAAATCCTTTTATTAAGGGGATTTATTCTGTGAAGTTTGGATTCGGTCAAAGGGCCACACTTGAGGACCTAAAGGGCCACATGTGGTCTTGAGGCCAAAGGTTCCTCACCCCTGATTTAGTGGAACAAAGCCCTGCTCTGAAAAATATACACATGTTAAAAATTATACAAGAGTGACTTTGGCTTTCCCTGGAGCCCAGTTCCCTGGCCCTTCCTTTTGCTTCAGCCAGTCAACAGCTCAGGTTTCATAGAGGAACCTATGGGAAGAAAGACAGAAAGAGGTGGGAGGAGATGATGTTTACCTGGAACTCTGGCCTATCTAGAGACCACCCTACCTAGGGACTTTGGTCTACAAGGAGGTTGAGTACCTATACCTACCTTCTAGAGGCTAAATAACCTAGCTCTTTCATCAAGAGGGCAGACCTAGTTGGCTCTGGTCATCCTTTCTACACCTTTTCCCAAGAAAGGCTCCTGGCTAGGGGAGGAGACAGAATGGGAGAATGGACAACCCAGGGCAAAGGACAGTCAGATGAGTTATAGACAATGGTGTCTTAAGTGTGAGAGTAGTGCAAAAGTGTGGGGAGGTACTTTAGGCCCATAGTCCAGGGCTCTGGATGGTGCTTGTATGAGGGAACAGAATTAAGGTATTGGCCTACCAGAATGGGCATCCATGTTCCTCAGGGTCCAGGCAGATAGTTCTCTCTGCACACCTGCACTCCAAATGCTACCAGGACAGGGCTATATTTATCCAGATAGGCCAATGAGAATTTGGGCCTTAAGTATGAGGAGGGCATATTCTGGGGAGATAAGTATTGGGAGAACTGGGATTGGTACAAGCAAGAAACTGGGACATAAGTGGCCCTCTTCCTCTCTTACCAAGGGCAGGCTCCTCTCCTGCAGAGTTTACCAGCTCATTGTTCCCCCACCATGTCCAGGTAAAGCGTCTGGCCCTCATCCAGTGCTACGTATTCCACTGGGGACCTGAGTTGAAGTCTTGCCTTCAGCATTTTCTGATTGTGTAACTGTGGTTGTATAACCCTCCCTGAGCCTCACAGAATTAGAGCTGTGAGGAATCTTTGAGGCCATTTAATCTTACCACCTCATTTTGCTTTTGCGAAAACTTGGCATCAGAGGCGAGAGTTGAACCCACTTAGGTCATCTGACTCCAGAATCAATGCTCTTCAAACACTGCCTCCCCACTTTCCTCATCTGTAAAATGGAGATACTTATAGTTGAGAAAAATGTGTTGGAAACCTTAAAACCCCATGAATTAATCAATTATAGATTTAGTGTTTAAGGTGATCTGTTCCAACCCTCTCATTCTTTAGATTAGAAGTGTGAGCTGCCATTTCGCAAACCCTCAGTGAATATCCACCATGTGCATACAGGCACTGTTTAACCTGGTTCCACTCCCTTATCTCTAAACTAGATCCCTCTGGCTCTCCCATACCATCAGAAGATGATGAAGGTTACCGAGGAGCCCCCACCAACTCAAGGCAAACCAGGCTAGGGGTGACCCTGGAAGGTCATTTTGACCAGCCTCCTTCTGGGAAGAGTATTACTAGCTCACTCTTTGCAATACTGGCAGGGTCAGGTGGCCTTCAGTTACTAGAAATCTTATCCAAAATACTGTTTCCTTCTTGTGGGCTTGGCCTTTGTCCTCTCATTCTGTTCTCAGTGGGGACAAAGAGGACACTTCAGTCCTGTTTCCTTGCCTGTCCCAGATCGTGGATTCCAGGAGACCAACTGTAGAGTCATCTTGTTAACTGGGCTTAGCTTTTACACATCTCCCAGAGTTCCTCTTGCTTTTCCTGTCTTTGTATTCCTGACCCTGCCAATGGAGACAAGAGGAATTGGAGGAAGAGAATATGGATAGTTCAATGAAGCTTATCCTTGTGGTTAGATAAAAATCAAATCTTATACTTGATTAATATTTTAAAGTTTATGAAACATTTTCACAACAGTTACTTTATTTGTTCCCCACAACAATCTTAATTACCCCCTTTGAAAGATGAGAAAACTGAGACACAAACCTATGGAGTGATAGTGGATAGAATGTAAGGATAGAGGCAGGTAGGTGGTCCAGTAGTGGGCCTGGAGTCAGGAAGCCCTGAGTTCAAATGTGACTTCAGACATGTACTGTGTGACCCTGGGTGAGTCACTTAACCTCTGCCTGCTTCAGTTTTCTCAATGGTAAAATGGGGATAACAGCACTTACCTTGCAAGGCTGTTGTGAGAATCAAATAAGATTTTTGTAAAGTGCTTGGTACAGTGCCTGGCACATAGGAAATGTTATATAAATGCCTATATCCCTTCCCTGTGGTGTATACAACAGTGCATTTATTGAGAAACCAAATAAAAAATATAAAGGCATACCCCACAGAAACTCATGCTGACCAATGTAATTTTGTAGCAACATTGTTCAAATAACCAATTCCCACTGTACAAATCACAACGTAGCCATAACCTTTTTCGGCAGATCACACATTTAGAATACTGTTCCTTTGGAATGTACTACTCTATAACACTGGGTTGCATGATGGGTTTTCTCAAAACCGATTAACATGAGGTATACCTGAATGTTAGGGCTTTAAATATGTCATAGCTGCACTGTACTACGTTGCCTTTAGATGAATGAAACAGGATAGAAATAAACAATATATGAACGAAATTGGCTTCATCTGAAAGTAAAGGATGTGATGTGATTTGAGGGGTTGAGGTCCTCCCAAGCTCTAAATATTTCCTTCCCCACCTAGCTCAACACCCTAAATTCCACTAAAAGTAATCCATTTCTTTGGATTAGGTATTACTCTCTATAGGCTTCTCTTTAAAATGTAAATGTTCCTGGGAGAGAAATAAGGTTAATTTCTAATACCTTAGTATGAATACTAACAACCCCTTACTTGCTCTTTGCCATTTACAAAGTAATTTCATTTTCATATATGTTAAGTCATTTGCTGCTCACCACATATCTCCAGAAGCAGGCAGGGTTGGTGTTATTTGCATACTTCTGATAAAGAAACTTGTCTGAAAAGGCTGAAACTTGTCTAAGGTCAAACAGCTAATTAGTGGCAGATCCAGAACTGAAACTAGATGTCCTGACACCCAGTCCAGTACTTTTTTCACTGTATGAGTTTTGAGTTGATCACAGAAGGGAAGGCATCCAGATGGCATGAGAACACTGGGAGAAATAAAAAGCAAAGAAAGGGGAAATGGGGGCAGGACAGAGGGCTGGAATGGAGATCTCTGTTCCACAAAGATGCCAGCAAATGGGGCTCTTTCTCCAATACCCAGTATTGACTGTTGCTCTGCCCTCCAATGGTTGCAAATTGTGAAGGTTGGGGTTGACAGGAGAGGAGAAGAAACAAAAGGGATGGGAAGGGGAAGGATGGGAGAAGGGTGAAGAAATAGAGGGAATGAAAGAAGAGCAGAAGGGAAGAAAGAGATGGATAGAAGATCAAACGAGAAATAGGGAAAGAGGGATGGAAGACAGAAGAGAAGGACTGAGAGAAAAATGAAAGAGGGATAGGAGAAATGAATGAAAAAGCACCAACCTGCATGCTAAGTGCTAGGGATACAAAAACCAGAGACAAAAATAATCTCTATATTCAACAAACTTACATTTTAATGGGAGAGACAACACAGAAGGGAGTGGTGGCCAGGGAGGGGCACTTTGGTCCTGAAAGTGATGGGGAGGGGAAAAGATGGAGTAAAAAGGAAGAACAGGAGGGATGGAGGGAGAAAGAAGTAAAAAATAAGAAAGATGGAAGGAGGAAGTAAAGGAGGAAAGAAAGAGGGCATGAGGTGCAATTATGTAGTAGTCCCTTGAATTCCCTGGGCTAAATATTCAGCATTCAACATCAGTTTACCACCCTTTTGCTTAGCTTTTTCTAGCCAGTCCCTTCTTGGCCAACTCAAATTCGGACCCAGATGTCTGATAACAGCATGAAGTTAATTCAACTTTCCTGAATTCCACAAAAGTGTGGTATCTCAACAGCCAATCTGGCCTGGTCCATGCCCATCTGGCTTCTGGGACCACCTGTGGTTGTGAGGGCTTTGGACACCTTCTACTGACCAAAGGAGAGCAGTGAAGAGATCTAGGAGGGAGGAATCATCTAATAGAGAAGCAAAATAATTTACCCAAAGTTGTACAGCTAGTTTATGGAAGAGCTTGGATTGCACCCACCATGCCCTGTCCAAAAATCTCCTCCTTACCCTGGAAACAATATAGTAAATAGACACATCAGGGAGCTTGCAGTGAGCCCACATGGAATAGCAGACAGAGGTAGAAATGCAGGGATGGTAAAATATTATTATGGAAGAGTAAGGATCAGCCAATGTTGTGACCCTGCTTATATGTTCATAACACAGGGCTGGAATCAACCACACAAAAATCTAAGATCATAGGATCATGGATTTAAAGCTGGAAGGAGCCTGACAGGTCATCTAGTCCAGCTCCCTCATTTTACAGAAGAGGAAACTGAGGCCAAGAGTGATTAAGTGACTTGCTCCACTGGGAGCGGAGTAGACCTTAGGGCCCCTGATTCTAGATCATTAACAGTAATTTTTGCACCATACTGCTGCCCTGTAGGAAAAGAAAGATGGTGGATTTGGATTGTTAATGGTGACCAGGGAGGATCACCCTATTCCCTCCAAATGTAAGAATAAATCACAGTACTTTCAGCCTAGACCTCAGAGGACTTGGCAAGCTGAGAGCTATTTGGACCTCGTTTGAGCAGTTTTTCACGTGGTAGAGAAGAGAATGGGGGGATCTCTTTAACCTCCTTTCTAAAGGATCTTCAAGTGACAACTTCTCAAAGATGAGGAACTCATATTTCTGTTCTGTGGGTAGGGCCACATTAACGACTGCTAATCTTTGACCCAGGTGAAAGCCTTTAACACATTACCCATAAGGAGAATTTCTTCCTCTCTAGGATCCTGTCTGGTGGCCTGTGAGATAGCTAGCCATTCTCATCCTGTCTGTGAGAGAAAGTAAGAAGCTATAGGTGGTCTGGCCCCATGGTAATCTTCCCAAACGGCTCTTTGAAGCTGTCCCATTCTATGCTTCTTCCAGTGGCTGGCCATGGCAATCCATGAATAGTCGTGCTGTCGCCTCACAGAAGTGGTCCTTTCTTTCGGAATGTTACAATCCCCAATGCTGGGAAGTGTTTTGGCTCTTCATCATGGGTCTTCTGGTGGGTCAGCATAATCCTTTTGTCCCGGAAGGCCTTCCTGCACACCTTGCACTGGTAGGGTTTTTCTTCCGGGCATGATGGGAGCAGTCCTTGGCCCCCTGCCCGGTGTACCCGCAGGTGGCTTTTCAAATGCTGCTTCTGGCTACAGGCCTTCCCACATTCAGAGCACGTGTATGGCCGTTCACCTGTGTGCACCCTGCGGTGGATGGTCAGCGTCTTCTTGTCCTTAAAAGTCTTGCCACAGCTGATGCAGGTGAAGGGACGCTCACCTGTGTGGATGCGCTGGTGGCTGACCAGGTGGTGCTTCTGGCTGAAGCATCGGGAGCACAGGGGACAAGTGAAGGGCCTCTCGCCTGTGTGCACTCGGTGGTGGCTCCTGAGATGGTGCTTCTGGCTAAAGCACTTCCCACACTGCAGGCAGCTGTAGGGCCTCTCCCCGATGTGGGTCCGCTGGTGGGACACCAAGATCTGCTTGAGGCGGAAGCGCTGGCCACACTCCCCACAGACAAAGGGCCTCTCTGCCAGGTGATCATTTATGTGTTTCTTGAGGTTTCCGGCCCTTTTGAAGCCTTTCCCACACTGGAGGCAGACATGGGGCTTCCTGGGGGCAGGTCTTCTATGCTTGGGGAGGGTATGCTCTGAAGGAGCATCTTTGAGCATCTTTCCCATTCTATCATGCTTCTCTACGTGGATCTTTCCATGCCGCTTCAGGTCTCCTTTGGAAGGGAAACCTTTCCCACACTCGGGGCACTTAAAAGGCCTCTCGCCAGTATGGCTACGCTCATGGATGATCAAAGCTGTATTGCTTTTGAAGCTCTTATCACACTCAGCACAGGTTGGGGGCTTCTTTTTCCCCAGTGGCCTTTGGGGTACACTAGGCCTTCCTGAATAGGCCTGTTTTGTCCAGGACTTTTCTTTACTACTGTTTTTCAGCTTTAGGGGGACCTGAACAATACCCTCTGACTTCATCAAGAATGTAAATGTCTCTGGGTCTTCCATATTATCTCCAATATCTTTAACCTTCTCATTTCTGATCCCATTCCTAGAACCTAATGAGGAGAAAAAGAATCCAGATGTTAGCCTATGGAGAAGGCCACCATATTCCTGTCATTGAATATTAGTTCCCAGCCCCAGGGTAGTCCCCAAAAAAGGAATCCTATGCTAGTCTTCTTGCTCTGTATCTAGACAGGACCATTAATCGTGGAACACCAGCCAGGTTACAGCTGTCAGTCAGAAGGCTGGAACCTTAGGGAGCTGGGATGATAGAGCTGGGGATAATACACACATCTAGATTTGAATGAAAAGAAATATTTAAATAAAACCAAACAAACCCCAAACCCACCCTTCAGCAACATGGAACTGATATCTAGGGAAAATGAGGTTTCGGTGCCTTAAATACTGAGCCAAAGTTATCAGGCTTTGCTGCAGACTGACACATATAATAAAGACACGGACACAGGCTAGGTTGGTGGAGAATACTGACCTTACCTACTTAGTGTAGCTCTGGCTCAGATAAATTTGCAGCTAAGCCAGAGAAATTCTTGGGAGTATTAAAGAACTCTCTAACGTAGGTTAGATACTATCTGTAGAGTAAGGCCACTTAGATGTCCACTGAGGACACAGGGATCATGGAGGAAAGACCTAACTTTGGGGATACTCTGCTCAGGGTGTAAGTTTTGTTTTATTTTAGCTTATGACCAAAGAGCTGTCAGCCTGCCTTTACATCCTAGAATCACTGTATCCTAGGGCTGAGATGACTCCAGTGACCCCCCCCCCCAAGGGAGGAACCCAGAAGATGCAAAGCCCAATGTAGACCAGCAGCATCAAAACCGGGGTCACATGTTGACTTAGAAAACCACATACTAACATTATCTGTGTTATATTGTATTTTTATTTATTTTATTAATTATTTCCCAATGACATTTTAATTTGGTTCTGGCTGCCCAAGCCTCAGTGTTTACCACAACCCCAAAGCACCACTCAGCTAAGATAAGGATTAGAAGAACATTGCACAGAAACCACATCCATCCAGCTCAAGGAGTTGGGCCCGATGAGACCAGCAAAATGACGTTACCAGAAAGACAGTGGTTTGTCGTCAGAGGTGTGAGTTTTCCCTGCACACACACATTTCCCACATGTGGGCCCCTTGCGCTTTATCCTTCTTCCAGCTTTCCCTCCTTACTAATGGTATGTATGTTTGAGAAAGCATGTGCCCTAGGCTTATGAGATGGTTTTTTTTTGCAAATTTACTTCCTCCACTATTTCAATAAATGACTTTGTTTTGAGTTAATTATGTCCTTAGGCTGGCTATAAAGAAAAAGGAAACATCAGTTGGGGGTTGATGAAATATTTTGCGTGAATGTAGATGTCCAGAGTACTCTGAAACTTGAGTAGTTATTCTAGGAGTGCCCATTCCCATGGGGAAAAGGGGGAAGACATGACACCTTTCTGCCAGTACTCTGGCATTCTGGCCTACTTTTATACATTCTTTTGACTTCCTGGGCTGATACTGATAGAGGAGGGTAAAGTCGGACCCTGTACTGAGTTTTTAGACGATCAAAGAGAAGGAACAAATGGTGGCAGAGGTCTATATATACCCTGCCAAAGCCAGTGTTAAATTTGGAACCATCAGGTCCAGGACACTAAAACAATGGATGCCAGTACATCAGAAGTGCTGGCGCAGGGTGAGAATGCTCTTGTTAGAGATACACAGAAGTTATAGAAATGTTCACTTTAGATTTACACCCTAAGGAGGTTACTGGCAGTAAGAAAAGGCCTATTTGTACAAAGATCTTAGCAGCTATTAATAGCTTAGCACTATAACGGCAAAAACTGGAAACAAACCATGTGCCAAATGATAATGGAGTGTAAAAGAATATTGCATAAAAAATAATGGAAAAACTCATAACAAATGAAGCACAGTGAAGAAAACAGAGCCAGTAACTACAGTTACATGAAGACTTTATTAAATAAACAAACCAAAACCTCTGGTTAAGTATAGTAGAAGATGTTGGTACTGTCTTGTTAAAAGTTAAAGCTCACATCCTCTCTTTCTTTTAACAAAGTGTGTGGTTGAAGGCATTTTCCCCAAGTTTAGCATTGTACTCTGCACATGGTAGGAGCTTAATAAGTGTTTGTTGTAACTGCTAAAAGTAGAGCTTCCAGTACAAACTAGGAAGGCACAACTTGTGTGAAAGAAAATTTGTAGAGAAACAAATGCAGATAAGGAGAATGCAAACTGCTTAGATAGAGTTGGAAGGCTTAGAACCAGAGATCTGGGCAGCGATTGAAAGTTGGAAGACTGAAGCGAGACTTACCCCAGTGGCGATTCAGGTGTCTTCTGTGGTTCTGGGAATCCCTCATCCATGGTTCTTCCTCCTGTTCAATTTTACAAATAACCTCTGGTTTGGCAGCAGGATACCCTGGATTGAGAAAGCTGGTTGAAGGTGTGTCTCATAATTACATAGGTAGAAACAGAGAACTCAGATATTATTTATGAAATTTGACTCGAAATGCACATTTGTTATGTCTTGGGCTCACGACCTTTGCAGTGGTGTACTAAAAATGGAAAGATTTAGGTTGAGGGTTACAGCATGAGAAACATGATGTTGGACAGCAAAGAATGGGCAGTGGGAAAGGAGGCATCAAGTCAAGAGTGAAAGGCTGAGGTACTAGGGCATCAACAGGCATTTGAGGGGCTGCATAAAAGCCAGGGGGGTTACACTGACTCAGTATGCTTCCCCTTTTTATAGTGTCATAGGATTTAGAGCCGGAAGAGACCTTAGGAATCCTCCACCCCCTCACATTTTGTAGATAATGATATTGATTGAGGCCCAGAGATGTCATATGATTTGCCCATGGTTACAAAAGTAGTAAGTAGGAGAGCTTGGATTTGAACCCAGTCTTCTGAGTAGAAATCCAATGTTCTTTTCACTTTTACTCCAAATCCCACCCCACTCCCTGCCCCCAGGAGACCAACCAAGCAGAGGTCAAGGCCAGGCCCTGAACATTTTTTGAGCTGTTTGAGCCTTCAGGGATTCTGAGGAAATTTGTGGCTCTATGCTTCCTGACCCCACGCACCTGGGGATTCCTGATTGGACAGCTACCAAGCAAGTAATCAGCGCCCTCACCCAGCGAGGTCACCAACTCATAGGTCCCCCTCATCACGTCCTGGTAAAGCTCCTTCTGTTGTTGGTCCAGTATTGCCCACTCCTCCTGGGAGAAGTAGACGGCCACATCCTCAAATGTCACTGGCATCTGCAATGACAGTAATCACTCTACACTGCTGTCACACCGGACAGAATCCCTGGGGCTATAGAGAGGATAGTCAGGGACCTTCATGGGTCCAAAGCATAATCTCCAACCCCTTCATGGACCCTGGGGCTCCTATACCTTGGGAAGAATCAGGAAGATTCAGTTGAATTTTTAAGGTGGCTCTCTACAGAACTCAGCTCAGTAAACCTTTCCCCCCTTTTAACTTTCTTATTTTAAAGGCTTTCTACTTCCATAATTTTTTAGGAAATTGATGAATACAGATAACAAATAATGGTTATATCAGGTCACACTCATTGAGGACTATCACGGCAACTCTAGCAATGAACCAATCAGAAACATTCACTATGAAGGGTAATAGGTGCAACATTATCCAATGGACTTAGTGGCAATCCTATTAGTAATCGTTGCCCATCTGAAGGTGTCAAATAACAAAAGGTCCTTCACACTGAAACTGTAGCCAACAGCTTCTGCAAGCCAGGCTTCTTTTCTATCCGTCTGTCAGCTATTTTCCTCAGGCTCTTCCCAGAGCCCATTCCTCAGATCTCAGCCTCTGCTCAGGGACTACAATGGAATGATAATGATCAGATAAGCAATTTTATCAGCTGCCAACTCATTTTCCCTTCTAAGATCTTTTTCTAAGATCCCTATTCATTTAGATGGACAATTAGGCCAACAATGTGAGTTGAAGTACTATGAGAAGCTGCCCACATCACAAGCTCACTGAAGAAGGTTGTGCTCATGGGTCCTAGGAGATTAGGAACTTGGCTAGTTGATTCTGGCATTGACATTGTTCTTCCATGGATTATCTTTAGTTAGGATTTATACCTATCTTCCAAAAGAATGAGATAATATTAAAACATAATGCAAAATTAGGAAAAATGCAGCTAAAAACAGAACAGTGTCTATTTTAGTCTTTATTTTATTTGTTTTTAAGTCGCGTTTTTCCTAATTTTGCGTTCCCTAAAGGAAACAGAGGTACCATATATAATCAGGCATCTGTGATGAGCTGATTACTACAGTTAAGCAGTATATTTAATATCTCCTAAGTGTGAAGCTAAGGCAAAATGGGAAATACACAAAATGTTGGAAAAACCTACAGCTTTCATCTTCTGACATCACAGAGCATCCAAATTTACTTATAGGAACAAAGTTTCTCTTAGAACTAGAATCAGAAATTTATCCCATAGATTCTTAGCTCAGAATAATAAGATCCTAGATTTAGCTAGAAAAGAACTTGAGGGATCATCTCATCCAATCCCCTCAATTTATAGGTGAGGAAACTGAGGCCTAGAGATATGCTCAGGGTCTCAAGGGAGTAAGCAGCTTGGCTTCAGACTATCTCCTAACCCAAGCCAACTGTCCCATGAATGGATGCGGTTGGTCATAATCCTCTAGGGCCAGAATTTTGCCCTTGTCCATAAAGCCTTCCCAGAAAACTTAGGTACATGGCAGACTTTCTCTTTTCTGAACTTCTGATAAAAATAATAGAATGTATTTCCACAGCACATATTAAAATTTAAGTACTATCCTCATTCACAGCAATCTAAAACAATCTTGTGAAGTTTGGATTGAAACTATTATGATCTCCATTTTACAGATGAGGACAGAGAGCCTTAATAATACTATGAAGTCAGTAGTGTAAGCATTATTAACCCCATTTTACAGATTGGGAAACAGACTTAGAGAACCTTAATAACCTTGTGAGGTAGAATATACAATTTTGGCCTCTTTTTACGAATGAGGAAACCAAACATCAAAAAGTTTAAATGGTGTATTGTTACAACACCAAAAGTGGTTACCAACAAGTAGGTGGCAGACTCAGGCCTCAAACATCCTGGGTTCTTTCTACTATACCACGTCGCCTCTCTTTCTTACTTATTTGCTTTCATACTGATTATATGGCACTTACCTCATACTCTATAGAGTCAGAAAGAGTCTTGAACTTGAACTAGAGTTCCAGGTTTGGGACTAACTAGCTGTATAAATTCTTTTACCCCACCTAAGCCTGAATTTCCTCAAATGAAAATAGGATAATAATATTTACATCACCTGCCTCACAGAACTGTTTCAAGGAAAGCACATTGTAAAACCTACAGAAATATGCACCATTATTAACACGTCCCTGTCTGATTTCCCTTACTGGATAGTAAATTACATAAGAGTAGGTACTATGTCTTTGCATCCTTCATAGAGCTTTTCCTAACAAGAACTCTCAGTAAATATTTGTTTAATAAAGTGAATGATGGAGATCTTATAAGAGAACACAGATTGCAAAATGTGGTATAAAACATGATGGAATGTTCTTGTGGGTTAGGAAACCAGGAATGAGGAATTCAGTGAAACTCAGGAAGACTTATATGAACTGACAATATAAAGTAAGCAGAACCAGAACATGTAGTGACTACAATAATATAAATGGAAAGAGCAATAAAATGAAACTGAACATTAGATTGTTATATAAAAACTAAGCTTTGTCCAGGAAAAGAGATGGGAAAAATATACCTCCTTCCTTTTATGGACGATTTGGGGGACTACAAATATGGAATGTTTCATATACTTTCCATTCAATTCAGTAGCATTTGTTAAAAATGTAACAGATTCTGTTCTTAAGAAGCTTACATTCTACTGGTGGAGTGGGGTGGGCATGAATGAAAGATCTGTCTCTCAGAGAAATCAGTATATAGACTATAGATCTATATCTATCTATGTACTGAGAAGTAAAAACAATAAAATACAAAGTAATTGGGGGGGATGGATCACTGACAACTGAAGGAATGAGGAATTGGCATTTACTGGTTCCCCCCCACCTGGGCAGTTGGGGTTAAGTGACTTGCCCAGGGTCACACAGCTAGTAAGTGTCAAGTGTCTGAGGCTGCATTTGAACTCAGGTCCTCTTGACTCCAAGGCTGGAGCTCTATCTACTGTACCACCCAGCTGCCATGGAATTGGCACTTATGCTGAGCCTTGACAGGCATTAGGACTTCCACCGGGCAGAGGTAAAGAAGAAGAACAAGGCTGATATTGTGGTTGGTTCTGCTGAACTGTGTATTTTTCTTTTATTTTATGTCTTTGTTACAAGGGAAGACTTGATGGGTAGGGGAAAGGGATGAGCATAATGGAAAATGAATGTAATATAGAAGTGAAAGTCATCAGTAAAACTCATAAGAGCAAGACAAAATATGGATGGCTCATTTCAATCCAACCCTGTGGCTGGAAAAAAAGCTCCTAGTGCATATACTACGGGCAATGGTGTTTCTTTACTGTATGGACATTCACATTTTCCCACTGAGATTTGGAAGCAGATCCAACAACAGGAATGAGGCAATTCCTTCAGAGCTTTCTGTTACCAAGTGTTGCTGATCTCAAACCCTGGGAAGACAGCAGGCAGGTCAGTATCCTGCTTCTAAGACAATCTCCAGGGGCTCTTGAAGGGAAAGCTGCACCTACTGATTCTAACAATCTATCCTATGATTCCTAGAACACAGAGCTGGAAGAGACCTGGGAGCCATCTAATCTGACTTCCTCAGTGTATAGATTTGGGAACAGGCCCAGAGAGGGCAAAGTCATGCAGCCAGTTAATGGCAGAGACAGAACTAGAATCCAGGTCTTCTGACTCTTAGTGTAAATCCCTTCCAGCTCTAATTTTCAACTCTAACATATAATGGCAAGGGGCAGTACAGAGAAATAAATCCTTAGAGACTACTATATAAGATTGGGTCCAGCCCTAGAAAAGAGGGAATGCAATTCTCTTTAGACTCCAGACCAAGTTTTCCAGAATGTGAGCTCAGGATGTGAGGACAGCATCATTGCATGGATGTTCATCTACCCCACTGGCTTCTTATGATTTCTTGGAGTCACCTTGGGAGTAGGGTGGCCAGGAATGCCCTTTGCCCTGGTGTGGGTTACTGGTACATGCCAGAACTGTCAAGGAAACAGCCAGACCCCAAGATCCTATGAAGACAGTTCAGTGTTGCATTTCTTTCTCATCCCACAAACCCTTACTCCTTCTATTCATCCTTTCCATCATAGTCCAGTCTCGCCAGCCTGGTGCAAACTATTGAAGAGGAGGATGGATTCCAGTTCCCCGAGATCCAGAGGACAGAGCTTGTACTGTACTCCCTCCTCTTACCCTGCAGGCTCCCTGCGACCCGAATAGCGAAGAAGCCTCAACCTTAGTCCCAGGACAGGCCCCTCCCCCAAAGAGAACAGGGCCAGGCAGAGAGGTGAAGGGCTCAGTTCCCAGCTGGTCCCAGTGGCCTCTCTTTCCCAGCTGGACCTTCTCTTGGGCCCCGCACTGACCCGAGAGTTGGGCAGGAAGTCCTACCTGCAGAGAGAGCCCTTCGGACACCCGGGTTGCACTCTGGTCCCAGACCAGCCCTGGGCCCAGGCTCTCCTGCATGCGCTGCAGCTGAGGCATTGCAAGCTCCGCGTGTCAACGGAGGCAGGCTGCTAGTGCTGCAGTATGGACCCTGGCCTGTCCCGGCCCGCTGTCCCAGCTGGCTTGTGATGGTCCTGGGCCAAGCCGAGCTGGCTAGGAAACCTCCACGCACCTCAAGCACTCGGGGCGGGATGGGATGGTGATGTACAGGTTGAAGGACAAAGAAAATAGGAGGAGGGAGAGGATGAAGGAAAGAAGCCAGCAAGAGGGAAGGGTTTAGCCGGAGGAAGATAGCAGGATTGGGCCCAGGGTAGGGGTGGAGATCAAATCTGAGACCAGACTAGGAGATGCTGGAGGAGGCTGGATTTAAGAGCATCCTTGCAAGAGGTGAGGTTCATCTTCGTTATTCCTCTGGAGTGGACCAATAGGCGGTGCTTGTTGAGAGACCTGGGCGGCTCCCCTCTATTTCTACTCCCTCCTTTCAACCCCAGTGGCTTGTGGGACTTGTAGTACTTGGCCGCCACTCCTGGAGGCGCCCGCGCCCACACCCACTGGCGACCCTTCTTCGGCCTCACGGCACTCTGGGGGCCGGGGCCGGGAAAAGGGGCAGGCGTGGAATGGCTGAAAGAGGAACAAGGAGAAAATCTTTCTCTGCCTCCTCTAACTTTAGCCTAGATAAGAGGAAGGGATGTGAGGCACTGAAACCGGTGTCTCGAGCTCTGCAAAATCTGGTGGGGAGGGCTGCCGAAGGACTAGGGGAGAATCCCATGGACTACGGTGTGTTCCTGCAGCCAGGGCTGTCTAGGCACGTTGTGCCAAATAGAGAGGAGGGGGTTCGAGTGCTAGAAGCACTCATACTATCCCTCATTTTCCCCTTTGCAACACCTACCTCCCTTTTAAAGCTCAATTTAAATCTCACCTTTTCCAGAAAGCCTCCAGCCTGTTCTCCTCTCCACTCCTTGCCCCCCTCATTGGTAACAACAACAACAACAACAAAAAAAACCAAAACAACCAAAAACCAACCAAACAAACAAAAAACCAAAAACTTTCCCCCCTCCGAGCCTCCCAAGAAACTTTGTTTTGTAACTAATACTCTTATCAAACGATATTGTGAATTACAGTTAAGAGTGCTTAGGTCTTATTTCCCTCCCAGATCTGAAAGCGAGCTCTAGCGCTTTATCTAAATTCTATCTCCGCCAGAGTCTACCCTAGTACGGTGATGTGCACAAAGTAGGCGCTTAATAAATTTTTTATTCGTTTATTAATTTTGAAATGGCACCCGAATAGAGAAACTTAGCGCACTGGAGAGAGCACAAGACTGAATGGCAGAAGACCAGGCTTCAGTTGCCGAGTCTATCCCTTACCATAAAACCACGAGATCTAGTCCAACCCATTCATTCTATAAATGAAGAAACTGAAGGCCAGAGAGGTGAAATATCCTGCCCGAGATTACACAAAACAGCAGAACTGGGAGTCGAACCCAGGTTCTTCTGACTCCAAATCTGGCTCTCTTTCTACTTACGGATTGAACAACAGTAGGTAAGTCATTTTATCTCTCTGGCCTCAGTTTCCTCATCTGTAAAGTGAGGATGTCCGAGTTAATGTTTGAGGTAGCTTCCAGGTAACATTCCGTGATTTCTGTGAAGAGAAGGAAGAAAAAGTGCGATAATTTAATCATATCTGGAGAAGAAGAATCAGAATCCAGGCAGATACTCTCACTTCCTTAACACCTTGTTCCCTCCCATCCTACCCCACATTTCAAGCAATCTCCAACCCACGTTCTCCTTTGCTCCGCCCTTGCCAGGTATGCCTTGGGAAACCCGTGCATTTGCTGAAGAAGGGACCGACATCGCGAATCCCACCTGGGTCCTAAAAGCCTCCCGGTCTCTTCCCAGCCCGAGGCTGAGGGAGGCTACTGCGCATGCTTCCGCATGCTGCGCTCGCTGGTTCCTTAAATCTGTGTGCTTAATCAAAGGCAGAGAAATCGGACGCTGCGGTTGGGGTTCCTTTGCCCCGGCTCTGCGCTTGCCACCCCGGGCCCCTTCCTTCTGACCCGTCTCCGAACCTTGCATCTGGTGGTCCGAACGTTCCAGCCCGCTTCAGCCATGACAGCTCATTCCTTCGCTGTCCCCGTGATTATCTTCACTACCTTCTGGGGCCTTATCGGTATTGCCGGGCCCTGGTTCGTGCCCAAGGGGCCCAATCGCGGGTAAGAGTAGCGCCCCCCGAACCCTCGTGAGTCCCAACTTGGTACCTTGGTTCCCCTGCCTTGTCTCTGGCCCTGCAAAACGTGATTCCTGCTCTTACCCGCCAATCACCAGGTCATCTTTTCGCTTGCCCCTGGCCCTCTTCGCTGCCTTAAAGCCCACCCCCACCCACGCCTCTTTCCCCTTCATCTGCCCGCACCACTGCATTATGTCTTTACTCCAGCTACTGATTAATTCAGTCAGTAAATATTTGTTGAATTCGTGCTGTGCCTCTATCTGGCCCACGAACTGTGGGGATAGATACCAAAGAAAAAGCTGTTTTTTTTTCCCTGTAAGCTTACTGAAGGCAGGCACCATACCATCCCTTATCTAACGTTTGTAGTTAACTTCTTAGCTCCTGATATTGTGCTCTGCACCCAGTAAACGATTAATAACTGTGTATTGAGTTGAAAGACAGGATAACTTGCCCCAGAGGAGCTTATAGTTTAATTAGAAGATGCCAGACTCGGGAGAGAAAAATTTTGTTGTTGTGCTATTTCAGTCATGTCCAGACTCTTTATGACCCCGTTTCGAGTTTTCTTGGCAAAAGTATTGAAGAGGTTTGCCATTTCCTTCTCCTGCTTATTTTGCAGATGAGGAAACTGAGGCCGACAGGGTGAAGTGACGTGCCCAGGGTCACACAGCTAGTATGTTGGTTGCTAACTCCTTGATGGGGACTGTCACTACAGTAAGATTTAAGAGGGCAAGCAGTCAGGATGAGCCATGCATCTGTAAAATGACTGTTTCCTGCATAGGTGGGGATCTGGGTAAAGAGAATGACTCCAGGCTACCAGGCAAATCCACTTCTAACTTCTGGCTAGACAAGTGGAACTCTATTGAGACTCTCCTCTTAGGCAGCACAGTATAATGGAGAAGACCAAATGGCAATATATTTGCCATTTGTTTACTAGCAGTGTGACCTTGGATGAGTCATTTCAATTTGACAAACACCAATTAAATGACTGTGCAAGGCACCATATTAATCATTTGGGACAGAAAAAATGAAAAATTATATTGTGCCTTCCTTTGAAGAAGCTAACACCCTCTGGGCTTCACTTCCCTCATCTTTCACACCTACCCTCCTTTTTTTTTTCACAGGGTTGTTGGAAAAAAACTCTTTGTGAATTAATTTCCTATGAAGTGGATGATTCCCCAGTTCATTGTAACCTATGTCAGGGTCAAACTACCTCTGCCCTCTGGAATCTCTCAGTATGGTGCCTGGCACACAATAGTCACTTAATAAATGTTTATTGACTGACAGACCTGAAGTTTTTTCTCTGATGTGACTAAAATCTCTTTTGATGTGTTTTAAGAGCCTCTCTCTTCTGTTCCATGTGGACCTGAAAAGTAGCTAGTTGGGATTTTGATAAAAACAATTCATTGCATTTCATACATCTTTTCTGTTTTCACCATTTCCTTACATATCTTCTGGTCTCCTGTTGAGCCTCTTATTTCCATGACCCTTTTCCCTTTAAATTTTGAGCTCCAGAGCTGACTCTGACTTCTACAGATTTACAAATCCTATCAGCTTTAAGTCAGCAAAAAGGACATCTCTGTGCTGCTGTTTCCGGGCACCCCTCTGATTGGTGGGCTGCAGTGGGGGAAGAGGCTGGAGTCAAGGGACCCTAATGCTCTCTCCAAGTAGATCCTAGACCTGTCTGTCTTTGTGCAGCCTAACCTCTCCTCTCTCTCATTGCAGGGTAATTATCACCATGTTGGTCACCACTGCTGTCTGCTGCTATCTGTTGTAAGTAACTCTCCACAAAGTCCACACCCCCCCCCAACCAGATATTTTCCTGATCTTCCCTTCCCCACATCCCAAACTCTGCCAAACTTCCCTCTTGATTCTGTTGAGCATTTAAAACATCATATGCATTGCACTGGTACCCCTAAGGAGGTAAGGTTTGGATGACGATTTGCTAGTAGGGTGCAGGGAGTGATTCTTGCTCAGGAAAGGGTTGGACTAGGTGGCCACTGGGCTCTTCTGATACTGAAGTTCCATGGTTCTCTGAGATGAGGTGGAGTTTACAGGGGTTCCCTGCTCTGAGAAAATCCAATACATGACAATTTAACTTAAAAATAGATAAATGTGCATTATGGAAGTGTTCTTTTCATTTGTTTTGTGATACCTTTATTGTCTGTCGGTGATACATTGTAGGTATAGCATGAAACACAGGAGACATTGTACTAGTAGCAGTGACCCAAGCTGGCTGCCTTCCTTAAGTATACCGAAAGGCAGTGTGTTGCTACATTGATTATCCAACAAGGGAGTTCAATGTAAGTTATCTTTCTGGTGCTACTCTATTTGAGCCACCAGCCCAGAAAAACCAGTTGCCTTAATTCTTCTCTGACGTATGTGTACAGTCCAGCTTCCCAAAAGGCTACAGTATTTTTGCCAGCTACCATTGGGTGCTCAGCCTGCAAATGCCTAGACTGTTCCTCCTGTCCCTGTTCTCCTGCAATTACTTCTGCTACTCAGATCTGAAATTTAAACTAGGGGACATCGTGAGTTATTGCTCTAAAAGATTTAAAAGAGGAAATGTGTGAAGCTAGAGTCTCCAGCCTGTAGCTGTAATTTCTCTCTTGGTCAATGGTCCCCATGTTCACAGGGTGCAGGAACTTAACATGGTATGACGACAACAATAATAACTAATAACAACAAGGCTTAATAATAAAGGTTCTTTAAAACTTTCAAAGTGATTACATATATCATTTGGTTCTCATAACAACCTTGTGCTATTAGTATTCCCATGTTCCAGATGAAGGAACTGAGGCAAAGAGAAGCTAAGGGATTTTCCCAGGGTCATTTAGCTCGTAAATACTTGAGGCAAGATTTGAATTGTGGTCTTGTGGACTTCGAGTCTAGCACACTGCCCACTATGCCACCTGTGTGCCCATGACATGATAGATAACATTTATAAATAGCACTTTAGGATTTGCAGAGTGCTTCACATATATATATATATATGTATGTATATGTATATACATACATATATATATATATATATATACATACATATATATATATATACACACATACATATATATATGTATATATATATATACATACATATATATATATACACATACATATATATATATGTGTATATATATATATACACATACATATATATATATTTTATTTAATCCTCACAACAAATGTGTGGTATAGGTGCTGTTATTATCCCCATTTTACAGATGAGGAAACTGAGGCTGATGGAGGTTAAGTGACTTGCCTCGAGTAGAATAGCTGGTACAAGTCTGAGATAGGGTCCAACATGCTGTCGCCACTCAGGAAATCTCCTTTTCTTTGAAGAGCTCTGATGGGCTATGTGCCTCATGATGCGGTGAAAACAATAATGGACTAGTGATTAGGAAACCTGAGTTCTTGTCCAGACTTTGGCACTTCCCAGGAGCTGTGGATAAAGCATGATAATGGCTAGCATTTGTATAGCATCTACCATGTGCCAAGCTCTATGCCAAGCTCTTTACAAATATTATCTCATTGTATTCTCACAACAAACCTGGGAGGTATATGGTATTATTATTATCCCCATTTTACAGTTGAGGAAACTGAGGTAGACTTGCCCTAGTTTACATAGCTAGTTGGTGTCTGGGGTGGGATTTGAACTCAGGTCTTCTGACTCCAGGCCCAGCACTTTATCCACTTTGCCACCTAGCTTCAGTTTCCTCATCTGCAAAGTGGGGATAATAATAATAATAATATCATCTTCCTTCCCTCCCAGGGTTGATCAAAAGAAATAATAAATCTTAAAGTGTGATCTATATCCAGATGTTGTTATCGTTGTTGTTATTTTGTTATCTCAAGGAAAGCACCCTGAAATGTTGAGACAAAGGGAGGGAGTGCTGAATAGAAGTTTTTCTTGCTCTCAGTAAGGAGCAGTATGGAATGAAAAGTAAAGAGGCCTTGACATTAAAATGTAAGTGAGTGGGGAGGTGATCTGATTTACAGATATTCTGCTTTTTGAGGAAGTTTATCCGAGACGTAAGAGTTACATAAAGCAGATATGCCTATGAGAAGGAAGGAGGGTGAAGTACAGTTAATGGAGACTATTGATATCCTGTCTCATGAAGGAGATGGGAAGAAACCCATTCCTTTGTCTGATTGTTAAAGAAAACCCTGCCTTTGGGGACTGAGAGTTGATTTCACTGGGGGTAGAGGCTCTCCTGTCCATGGTTTCAAATAACCAAGCCGAGTCTGTCCATCTTACTTGGTTTTATTACCTCTCAAGCAAGGATAATTCTGACCTATTTCCTGTTAGGCAGGCATTTTGGCATAGTGGAAGAAACCTTGGACTCCAAGTCACAAGACCCATATGTATGTTTGTTCTATCCCTGCTATTTGTTAGCTATGTGACCTCGAGCAAGTCGATTGTTCTGAGGCAGGCAGGTGTTGACGTGTATAGAGCATGGGGCTTGGAGTCGAGGAAAATTTGAATTCATATCCAGCCTCAAACACTTACCAGTCATGTAACCCTAGGCAAGTCACTTAACCTCTTATAGCCTCAATGTCTCTGTCTGTAAAATGAAAATACTAATAGCCCCTACCTCCCAGGGTTGGTGTGTCAATAAAAATCAGGCAGCATTTGTAAAATACTTTGCAAACCTTAAGGCACTGTAAAAATGCTACCTATTACTATTATTATTATCATCATTATCACCTCTGAGCCTCAATTTTCCTCATTGTAAAATGGGGCTAGTAATATGCATACTACTCATCTCCTAGGGTTGTGAAGTAGTAAACTGCAAAGAGGTATTATTATTCCCTTCCTCTAGGAAGCCCAACCTGATTAAATAGGATAGGATGGAATAATGACCTCAAGCACAGATAGTGTCTCAGCCCTGATTGTGGAACTCTCCAGCACCAACCTTCTTTCTCCAAATGTACAAAAAAGAGAGAGCTATCTTTTCTCTGTCAGCTACTGATGTAGCTGACCCATCACCCCCCTGACTCAGCTGAATCCTCTATTTGTACGCCAGCTGAAGACTTATAATTACAGAGCTTTAAAGAGCATCTAGTCCAGTACCCTCATTTTACAGTTGAGGAAAGTGAGAGGTTTAACATAGGCTTCTTTCATTTTTGTCTTTGTATCTCCAGAGACTAGCATGGTGCATGGCACACAGAAGACACTTACTAAGTGTTTGGTGAATGACTGATTGTCCAGTGACGCGTGATCAGTTAGTGGCAGAGCTGAGCGTAGGGCCCGATTCAGTTAATAAGTTCAGTTTCCAGGGCTCTAGTCAGTAAATTCAGTTTTGTATTTAGATCCCAGAAGATCCTCAAGAAATATTAAGTCATTTGAGGTTATTAGGGTCATTTGGTTAATGTAAAGTCATGGGTTTGCTCTCTGTGGGCCAGCTAGCCATGCAAGGGGAACAATGATTTATGGGCATAGGTTGTCCCTATAACCCTGGCTAGCTATCACATAAGCACATGTGCTTAGTCAGAGGGCAATCGGGGGTACACAGTACTGGGTTCCATGTAATCTAGTCTCATTAGTGGAAAAAACAAAGCATAAGCCCTCATGATTGACAAGAGAGCAGCAGCATACTGTTTGCATGGAAAGATTATCATATTAAATAAACTCATTTGTCTGAGGTCCAGGGTGGGGTTCCTACTCCTTTCAAACTTATCTCTTGTCATTGCTTCTGGTAGCTGGCTGATTGCCATCCTGGCCCAGCTGAATCCTCTGTTTGGGCCCCAGCTGAAGAATGAGACCATCTGGTATGTCAGATTCCTGTGGGAGTGACCAACCGCCATCACCTGTTGCAGGTACCAGGGTAGGCAAAGGAAACCCTACAGATCCTCCCCTCAGGCAAAGGGGGACTGTTTTCCTTTTTCCACACCCCTAAAACACTGATCTTTTATGGTTGAGGAAGTCCCTTTTTTTCTCTCCCTCCCGTTTTTATTAATTTATTTTAATTTATTAACAATCACTTCCATAAGCTTTTGAGTTTTAAATTTTTGTCCCCCTCCCTCCCAAGACAGCTTGAAATCTGATATAGGCTATACATATGCATTCCTATTAAACATATTCTCACATTAGTGATGTTGTAAGGAAGAATTAGAACTAATAGGAGGAACCACCAGAAAAAGGAAACAAAACACAACAGAAGAAAAAAAATAGCAAATAGTATGCTTCATTCTGCATTCAAACTCCATAGTTTTTTCTTTGGATGTGGATAGCATTTTCCATTATGAGACAAGGAAGTCCTTTTTGCAGGAGATGCTCTAGGGCATTGACTCATTCTTTTTTGAGTATGGGAACCTTTTCTTTTCTAAACATCAAAAAATTTCTCAGATATCCTCCACATGATAGTAATTATATTCACACAGCATACTTTGTTGGAGCTAAAGAAAACTCAAAATGGCAATGCTTGGTGTGCATTGGGATTCATGGACCCCTTACAATAACTCTGTAGCTCAAGGGGAAATGTTATAGAAACATTTTGGTTTGGGTTGCTTAATTGCAAGGTTAGCAAAAACTTTAGCCCTAGTTGAGCTTAGTAGTAGATGCCTCTGGCAAGCTAGAAGTTATCAGTTTGGGAGATATAGGAGATAGAGGGTGGTATAAGTGGTGGGGAGTAGTAATCTTTCCCACATCAGCAGAGTTGGCCTCAGGTCATCCTTAATGGCCCACTCCAAAGGGTCCTTCCAGTATCTGCCTTGGCAGAGCTTACAAGTCTATACTGTCTAGAGTAGGTACGAGGCACCCAGGGATGTGTTGGCAAACTCTCTCTCTGGTAAGCAGGACACACGTCTAAGTTTAATCTTCTGTATTATTAACATTTTCTCCATCACTTTCTTAAGCTTAAACAACCAACAAAACAGATCAAGCTCAGGTTGGTTTCGTTTGCTGATTTATGAAGTGTGAATGCCCTCATTTATACTTGCTCTTGAAAGCCCGTGTGAGCTGGCTGCAGCACACCCCTGGATGAGCCCCTGCTTTCTGAGATTTTCAGAGACTCTGTTCTAGGTAGCTCAGTTCAACAAACTGTGCACAAGGTACAGTGTGATGAGGGTAGGAAGAAAAGGTATTCTTTTTCTGACCCTCTCCTTAAGTAGCTCACAGTCTAAAGGGGATACATGTGCATAGATTTTAGAGGTGTATACCAAGCATTCTGAGAACATTTGAGGAGAGGAGGGGTATTAGGGAAAGCTCGACAGAGTAGGTGGCTCCCAAGCTGGGAAATCTTTTGCACCCCCTTCTCTCCTCTCATGTTGCCATCCTATTTCAGGCCATCATGACTTCTGAAATAATGTTCAGCCTCCTAATTGGGCTTCCTGCCACCATTCTTTCCTTTCCAGTTTATCCTCTACATATTGGTCAAGTAGAAATTCTTAAAACCCAGATGTGATCACGTCACCTCCAACATAAAAGTCTTTGGTGGCTACCTATTGCATCAAGGATAAATATGCAAAATCCTCAGTCTGGCATTTAAACCATTTGCAACCTAGCTCCCACCTACCTTACCAGGATTGCTTCATATTACTTCCCCATAACACATTTTCTTTTCCAGTCAAACTGGTCTGCTACCTGTCTCCTGTACTTGACTTCCCATCTCTCACCTTCATGCCTTTCCCTAAATGTTCTGTGTCTGGGACGCACTTCCTCCTTACCTTCACAGAATCGTTGGCTTCTTCCCTATCATAGCTCAGGCACCATCTCTTTCATGAAATCTTTCCTCCACTTCCCCCACTCCTTCCCCTCCCCAGTTATTAGCAAAATTACTTTGCATTAATTTGAATAAACTTTGTACTTATTTATTAACATGTTGTATTCCCAGGGTATAATATAAGCATGAACTCTTTGGTCTTTGCCTTTGTACCTGTAGCATATGTTAGTTGATTAATAATGTTTGTTGTTTTGAATGAAAGGAAGAGAATGATTTGAATCCCCTGCTGGGTCAGGGGAGCAAGGAGGCATACTGGAAAGCAGAGGTGGCTCTATTCTAGGTCACTGTACTCTAAGTGTGCAGGGCCTCCCTTTTTTGTTTCCTCTTTCTGGGGTGGATGTCATGGAGAGTGGGAAAAAGAGACACAATATTTAAAACATGGGAAAGTGAGGCACTGGGGGAGGAGAAAGGGGTCTTGGGGAAGGGGTTCAATTGTGTTTGCTACCGTGGGAAACCCAACTAACACATATCTATATACCTGCTTTGTCTTTGTCTTTTCAGCTTCTCCAGTCCTCTTGCTCCTCTGTTGATTTCAGGTGCAGTCAACCCCCGATGTCTCCTCCACTTCTGCATCCCCGTGTTCTTGGTGTTGCTCTTTCCTGTCTTCAACTTGGTTACTCCTAGGCTTAGACCTTCCCATTGGAAGCCCATTCCAATTCTAGGAAATAACCTCTTCCATGGGAGATCTGGACCTCAAGGGAGAGGGGCTTATAATCAGGTCAGAGTGAAAGAAGTCTAAATTTTTAGCCCTCCCTCCCTTTTTCTCCCTCATTATCCTTTTATGATTCTGTGATATACTTTGTTATAAAATTTGTAGACATTGTGAGCCGTGGGGGGAGGAACTTCCTTTTCTTTCTTGGAAAAGCATAGAATTGGAGTAAAAACTAAAGTATATGAAATAATTGTTAATTCTCTTCAGAGCTGAAGTCACTTTGCTTAGGAAAGCACAAATATATTTATTATGTGTCACTTGGTCTTCGAATCACATGAACGTGCTCATTTTATGTAAAGAGTGAAGACCTAGAGTAAAACTGGAAAACAGAAATGGAAGGGACCCAGAACATTTTTATTAAATCCTAATTTAAAGAGAAAAAAAACCAAACAGCTAGATTTCCCTCAACAAATTTTTCTGCATATAGTTTTTTTTTAATCCCTAGCCATTGAGTTTCTTGAATACATTCAGCTCCATTTCATCCAATATCCTGTTGATTTGTCATCCCCGTTCCTCGAGGGGAGTGCCAAACCCCAAAACTGGCACCTTGGAGCCTATAGAAGACATGACCTTGGGTTCTTTGCTACTCCACAAACTGGTTGGACATACAAGATAGAAGAAGGGAAAGACTTGAGAATATTCCCATAACAACTTGTAAATAATTGCATGGTACAGTAGAAAGGAGCAGCTGGGTGTCGGAAGTGGTGCTGGATCTAGAGTCAGGAAGACTCATCTTGCTGAGTTCAAATCTGGCCTCAGACACTAGCTGTGTGACCCTGGGCAAGTCACTTAACCCTGTTTGTTTCCGTTTCCTCATCAGTATGATGAGCTAAAGAAGGAAATGGCAAGCCACTCCAGTGTCTGCCAGGAAAACCCCAAATTCATTCATGAAAAGTCAGGCATGCCTCAACGACAACAACAAAGAGCACTGAATGTAGAATCCCAGACCTGGCTGGATTCGAAGCCAACTGTGGGCTCTGCTGGTGACACCTGGAGGTGCTGGGGGCCAGTCACCTTGGCTTTTGGAGCTGCCGTGTCCTCCTTTCTAAAGTGAGAATCTTTTCTCTGGATCTTTGTTTCTTCAGGCTGAGTGCTGATGGGATGTATAGATGTAATGGAATGCCGGGAGTTGATATTTCCCTCCCTTTCACGTTAGAATCTTGGAGGAGCTCTTGGCTTACATCCCTGAGAAAGCATACACACCCCTCCAAGCAGGGGAAGTTTCTTCTTCTCTGCTGTAGGTAACTTCTGTTTCCTGTGGGTGAGCACACTGTCTTTTTAAGTTCTGACCAATAGCTACATAGGACAGCATCTAGCTTCCCAGAGACATAATTAATGTTAGAGAAGGTAGAGCTGAGAAGGCTGTTAGCCACTACCTAGTTCCACTTCCCTGTTTGAAGATGATGAAGCAAACCCTGACAGGTTAGGATTGTCCAAGGATGAACACCTGCTTTGTGGCGGTTCTAAGGCTAGGCTCCAGAGTACCCAGTGCACCTTCCCCTGAACCAGACTCACTCCTAAAGGAGCCTGGTTCTCTTATTTGTTTATTTATTTATTTAAAATTAATTATTTACCACTTAGAGGGCACTTATGAAATAGGTAAGAGAACTATTCTTTGTCTACATTTTCTGGTTCTGGTGTTGACCAGCTCCACCCCCGTTCTAACCTCCATCCCCACACTCCAGGAGCATTCTTCTCTCTCAGATTCCCTGCTCTTGGTTCCTGGGTCTGTGTTTTGTCCTATGGATGAATCACCTGCATTTGGCTCCTATTTTGTGTGGTGATCTAAGATTAGTGAACAAATCACGGTGTTTGCTGGCAGTTTCCTAATCTCTGTTGACTTTGCTCTTCTGACTCTTTCTCCCCAGCTTTCTGGTGTGAGCTGAGGAGAAAGGAAACATCCTGAGAGCTGGAAAGGAGGCTTAACACTGCAGCCTGGGGTGGGGGGGAGTTGGATGAGTGGGAAGAGCAGCAGCAGCAGCGGCTAGTATGGCAGCAGCATCCCAGGGGCTACACATATGGTCCCAAGGGGATGAACTTGACTCTTTCCTGTCCCTGGGAATGGTACGTATAGGCTCTGTTCTTCCTTCTTCTTCCCAGCTGCTCCAGGCAGAGGTCAGGAGCAGAGAGAGTTGGAAAGTTGTGTTCGGCAGAACTTCGATCCCCTGTGCCCCTCCCTGGCTCTTGTACTCAGTAGAGATCAGTGATTCTTATTGCAATGGATGTTATGAATGTTCAATAAATCTGGACACAAATCATGTTACTGATACCTTTTGTTTTTTATACATCAGAGTCGTTTCTGGATCTTCTCCTCTCCCCCACCAGGGAGCCCTCCCTTGTAACAAAGAAAAGAGTGAAACAAAACCAGTTGAAACTGTGACCTTGTCCAAAGCGTGCATCCTTTTGCCCTTGCCGTTTCTCTGCCAAGGGGAGGAATGTATTTGTTCACTGGGAAACATGACTGTATGTTGCAATTACTCAGAACTGTTTCCCTTTGGTCAAACCAAAAAGTCAACAAGCATTTGCTAAGTGCCTACTGTGTGCCAGGGACTGTGTTATGCCCTGAGGATACAAAGAAAAGTAAAACCATGCCCTGTTCTCAAAGAGCTCACATTCTACTTGAGGCTACAGTAGGTACATACATAATTAAATAGGAGGTAATTGGAGGAAGAAAGGCAGTGTGGTATGATAGAGATCATGGCTCAGCCAAGAAGACCTGGATTCAAGTCCTACTTCTGATACTAACTGACCTTGGGCAAGTTACCCTCCTATTAAATGCTCTAGGATACTTTTTCAATTCTTTTTTTTTAGATATTAACATTTTTAAAAATTAATTTTTAATTTTTAGTTTTAAATTCTTACCTTTTCTCCATTCCATATCCTACCCATTGAGAGGGCAAGCAATAGGATACCCATTATACCTGCAAAGTCAAAAACATATTTCCATATTAGCTCTGTTACAAACAAACAAAATAAAGTAGAAAAATATGCTTCGGTCTTTACTCAGAGTTCATCAGTTCTCTAGGGTTGGATATAATTTTTCATCATGAGTCCTTTGGAATTGTCATGGATTATTGTATTGATCAGAGTAGCTAAGTCTTTCACAGTTGATTTGTGTTATATTTCTGTGACTTGTGTATAATGTTCTGGTTCTGCTCACTTCACTTTGCATCAGTTTATATGTCTTCCCAGATTTTTATGAAACCATTCTCTTGTGAGTATTATTTATTGATCCTGTATTTTATATTTTATTTCACTCTGATTGTATTCTGCAACTGTATTCTGTATAACAGACCTAAGCCTCCTCTTTGTCTTGAAGTGAAGAAGCATGAGTTCAAAAGTTCAGTCTTACTCCCTCACAGATGTCAAAGTTTATTACTATTTATTTGTTACTTTTAGGGAAAGAAAAACTCTGAACTAAGTTTAGAAGTTCAGTACTCTTATAAAACCCTTTCTCTCTAAGGAAACTCTTTTCCTAGCAACACCTACAGGAGGTGCAAAGCTACCCAGGTCAGAAAAAAAGTGCAGGTTAAAACTTTGGTACTCTTCAGGTGAGTGGCTATTGCACTTTCATCCTGGGCAAGATTAAATGCCAAATGTAAAAACAAAACAAAACAAAAAAGAACCCAAAAAGATTCCTGGTTCCATTAAAATATAGAAATAATCTCAGCCTCCTATCAGTTGTTAAATCCCACAGATCACACCCCATTGGAGGCAGGAGGACAATTCCTTTGAGTCTGGCAATGTCTAAAATGCTTTAGTCCAAGGATTCCAGGAGAATAGAAACTCATGGGTCTGGCTTCACAAAGTTAATTAAACTATGAATTTGTTTTATGTTTTAGGAAATACTGAAAATATGTCTGGCTTCATAGAGGGCAGGAAAAAGTTTGAAAAATGAAACTAACCATTTTTGGTAACACCTTACTTCTTGGACAGAACTTTCCAACAATGCAAAGATATTTCCTGGTAAAAGGTAGCTGGTAGAACATCAGACACTAATTAATTACCTGTCACATGTAGTTTCTTAAGAAGAGACCACCACTCTGACAGCCTTAAAAATTTCAAGTATGAAAAGGATATGAAGGGTTTATTTAACATTTTTTAAAAATTTAATAAAATTTAAAATTTTATTAGAAAATTTATTTAAAATTTTTAATCCATCTGTTTATTTGGAACACTAACATCCTTTTTTCTGTGTGGCTAACATAGTGAAGACCACATGAAAACAACCATGTACAACAGGGTGACTTGGGGGTAATCTCTGCAGGAAGGCGCTAGAATTAAGGGGGAAGGGGAAAGGCTTCTAGTAGAAGGTGAGATTTTTAGCTAGGTCTCCCAGGGTGCCAGCCAGGAGGCAGAGGTGAGGAGGGAGAATGTTTCAGTCACGGAGGACAGCCAGGGAAAATGCAGTGTGTTGATGGAGAAACAGCAAGGTGTTCAGAGTCACTGAAGAGAAGTGGCATAGTGGATAAAAGTGCAGCAGCTAGAGTTGTGAAGACCTGAGTTTAAAATCAGCTTTAGTCACTTACAAACTGTGATCCTGGGCACATCTCTTCTATCTGTCTCAGTTTCTACGTTGGCAAAATGGGGTTAATAATAGCACTAACTTTCCAGGGTGATATTGAGGATAAAACGAGATAACATTAGTAAAAATGCTTTGTAAACCTTAATGCAGTATGTAATTGCTAGTTGTTATCATTCACTGGATTGTAGTGTAGGTGGGAGGAAGCCAGGTGTAAGAGATTGAAATGTTACCAGGTTATAAAGGGCTTAAAAGCCAAAGAATTGTATATTTGATCTCAACCTGGAGAACTTGCCTTTGATCCCAGAACTTTTTTGGGCTCTCCAATATTAAAGCTTTGCTGATCTCCAAATCCCAAGTGAAAGGAAACACCAGGCCTCCAGGCTTTTTTGGTTCTCCTTGGGTTATAGAACGATCAGCCTGTATCTCACATTGCCTTTTCTTTCTTTCTTTGCAAATTCAACCCTGTCTTGGTACTTGAATCTGTCGTCCTCCGCAGTTTCTCTTGCCCTAGTCCAGCCACCTCAGGTTTAAATGAGAATATTTATTTATGGGGGAAAAGAAAATGTAGATTCAGAAATAACACATAGTAGTATGGTAGATATGCATACCAAAGATTCTACTTTGTGCAATCTGGATGATACTAAAACATCTAAACTAGGATTTCTGATTACTCTCTACTCA